AATAACAAAGACCTCTCAATAACAGATACCTCTCAATAACAGATACCTCTCAATTACAGATACCTCTCAATAACAGATACCTCCCAATAACAGATACCTCTTAATAACAAAGACCTCTCAATAACAGATACCTCTCAATAATAGATACCTCTCAATAACAGATACCTCTCAATAACAGATACCTCTCAATAACAGATACCTCTCAATAACAGATACCTCTCAATAACAGATACCTCTCAATAACAGATACCTCTCAATAACAGATACCTCTCAATAACAGATACCTCTAAATAACAGATACCTCTCAATAACAGATACCTCTCAATAACAAAGACCTCTCAATAACAGATACCTCTCTATAACAGATACCTCTCAATAACAGATACCTCTCAATAACAAAGACCTCTCAATAACAAAGACCTCTCAATAACAGATACTTCTCAATAACAAAGACCTCTCAATAACAGATACCTCTCAATAACAGATACCTCTCAATAACAGATACCTCTCAATAACAGATACCTCTCAATAACAAAGACCTCTCAATAACAGATACCTCTCAATAACAGATACCTCTCAATAACAGATACCTCTCAATAACAGATACTTCTCAATAACAAAGACCTCTCAATAAAAGATACCTCTCAATAACAGATACCTCTCAATTACAGATACCTCTCAATAACAGATACCTCTCAATAACAAAGACCTCTCAATAACAGATACCTTCCAATAACAGATACCTCTCAATAACAGATACTTCTCAATAACAGATACCTCTCAATAATAGATAACTCTCAATAACAGATACCTCTCAATAATAGATACCTCTCAATAACAGATACCTCTCAATAATAGATACCTCTCAATAACAGATACTTCTCAATAACAGATACCTCTCAATAACAGATACCTCTCAATAACAGATACCTCTCAATAATAGATACCTCTCAATAACAGATACCTCTAAATAACAGATACCTCTCAATAACAGATACCTCTCAATAATAGATACCTCTCAATAACAGATACCTCTCAATCACAGATACCTCTCAATAACAGACACCTCACAATAACAGACCTTTCCAAATTTTAACAGCAACAAATGACAACAGGCAACTCTCAACGATGGACAGTAACTCGGTGTCCGTTGCATAAAAGTTTCACCCCAGATCCGGATAATTCAAACTTAATGACGAGACTCGACGTTGCTAATCGCCTCGATGTTCCTACCAGTTAAAAGAATATTTCCAACCACCCAGTTACTGCACCTTTACAGCGACTAGGAATATTGAGGAAGTGCCTCAAGAATTACAAACTAAACCACATGTCCACATTAGGCAATTGAGAATGATTTAAAAGCAATCAGATGATCTAACCTTTGTTGCATGCATTCATCGATGACGTCTGCATCACGTGACTTTCAGTTGTTGATGAACCCATCAGTGCACTTAACGTCTGTTTTTTAGTGTCTGCTTTCTTCTTCAATGCCCCTTTATCATGCCAAGTAAGAGCCTGCCCTCCGTAATACAGCTGGCCTGAGTGAATTTCCTTCTTCACTGATTTCATATTTCGAGCCTTTCTAGCATCAGGGCCGACAGACCTGTAGGAAAATGTATCTTTATAAAGCCGAATGCATTGCTCTTTGATACAAGAGTTTTGCACTACGGTGAAGAACCCGCATAAAAGAACCTCCATGTTTTCTTGGAAGAAGGCGCCAGCTATCTTACTGAACGATTACAATTCACATTTTAGTCTTATGTATACAAGTACCTAAAATTTTATGAGATCAGTTGTGTTTTTATTAAATTGATAAAAATAATGTAATTTTAGGGTAAAGGTCCTTAATACTGGTGTTTCTTTTATGCGGATTTTCACTGCATCCTAACTACGTTCTTAGTTTGTGACGTATAAGATCTCACTTGCACCGATAAAGGCGGGAGCTATTGACGTTAGCATTAGGCCCATTCTTCAAATAGGCTCAGGTGAAAACCGACGAGAATTTTCCTGAAGCTGAAGAGTTTTTCTTCCTTTTATTAACTCATATAACTGTCAAGTTGACTTGCTATGTTTTGGAGCTTCAATGAAGAAAACATCCCATCATTTTCTGAGGGAGGAAATGTTGGTTTTGTCTAAATTCTCTCGAATCGACCTCCATATCTAAATGAAATAGCTAGTTTTGCGCCCTCAGTTTTTTGCATATTACGCATTTTTTCGTTGCCAAGTTGACTTTTTGATTTATAACTAACGCCAGGTTGCAGAATTTGTCATCAGCAACTGATACCGAATCTGCTGAGTAAAAGACCATTTCGTTGCACTTGGAAGAGGGAAGGGGGCACGTCAATAATACTATATTGAGTGTTTATGCTTCACAAGTTAATGTCCTGACAATATGTCGTTGCTGTCATAATTTTTCATGTGCAATAGGGGCTAGACAAGTAATGATTCAAGTTAAACCAAAATCGGCCATTTTTGCTGGAGGATCAGGCCATATTTAGGCTAAATCCGGCACTGCACTTACACAGTATTGTTGATAGTTTCAATTTTAGGTCAATTTTGTCCTTCCATCTAAAACTAGGCGCTGTTACAATGGACAAGAGATCAAGAAAGACTGACACGATAATATTCTCTATAAACTGTATAAAACGGAGCAGTTCTAAAAATCCAGAGTCATATTACCTTCATCCATATCATATTATCGGAATCATATTATTATCTATAAGTGTTCCTTATCAGGGAAGATGTTTTGGTAAGAAGGCATCATTCTGGAAAGGTGTTATCTTTAGGGAGGTATCCCCCTAAAGGGATTTGGCCTGTTTCCGGGGTGATTCCCTTGAAGTTTGGTGAGAGTGGGCGTGCCTTCAAAGTTGGTTCATTTTCGAGCATCTATGGTAGATTTGCGAACAGACAGGGTTATTGGACAAAATAAGTCGATTGAAAGAAGAGCAATTTTCGAGACTTACGCAGATTGAAACTCCATCCGTTTTGATTTAATCTTCTTGTATTCGCGTGAAATATGGTGCTCACAGAAATCTCCGTGAAACCTAAAAATAGATCAATCAATATAAAGAAAACGTCATAAGGGAGACAATTATACAAGAACAAAACCACAGTCTACGGTGAAACAGCAATAATAATTGCATTCAACCTAAACATGCAATCTTTTAGACAAAAACGTAATGATATAACAAAAAATAATCAATTTAAGAAAAGATTCATTTCAACTTAACAATAAAAATTAATTTTTACAACGAAAATCAATATTACGTAAAACAAGCTACTCCCGGCTTCAAAGCAAACATGATTTTTCAAACCTCCGATATTTACATCAATCTTTAATTTTTTGAACAACGTAACAATCCAATTTTTTAGATATTGGGACCAAAGTGAGGGAAATCTGACCAAATTTTTATTATTAATCTTCTTATTAGGTTTTGAAATTGATTTTCAAAGCCTGCTATAAACGAGAACAATATGACTTGCTATTAAAGTATTTCACACTTTGAAATCCGTAAAATTGTCAGTTATCAATAGAACGATATTTACATCAGAACGATATTTATATCAGAACAATAAATAGAACGATATTTACATCATTCAGTTGCTTTCGCAGCAGTAAGTGCCTTAAATCACAAACAAATATTAATTAAGCGGCATAGAAGTTGACTACTTACTTATTCACAATAAAGCTGCATTGCTTTCCTACTTTAGTAGTTGCCTGGCAATATCCAAAATCTTTTGATGTGCCCAGTATCATCAACTTTCTTGGATTGTCCAAGGTGATTGCAACGCAAGATGATTCATCGTTCTGCAAAAAATTAAAAATCAACCAGATGGATCGCAAAATGGAGGTGCTGATGAGGGACGTAAATTGGCAGATATTTTTTTGGGGGGGGGGGGTGAAGGGGTCAAAATTTCCGACTGACAAAGGTCAATTCTATTATTGTTTAAGGGCCTAAACTTTAATAATTTTTTACCAACGAAACCTTATAAATTGTCTCTTCACTTTCTAGATTTCGTAAATTTGGAAGATCGAGCATAAAGAATGTTAGTTTAATTAGTGCATCAAAACATACGTAGTCCAAAAATCAGGTATCAGGTATCAGGTAATCTTTCTCCTTCTACGACTTGCCCATTGCTCCACTATCTTATCTAAATTTACGTTGTCCAAAATGTCTTTCTCGCAAGTAAGAATCATGAGGTCGTTTAGACTTTCACAGAGGCGGCGCCCAGAAATTCAAAGTTGGGGGAGGGTGCTCGAGTTGATAGAATTATTAGACTAAACAACCATCTTTTGAAAAATTCATTAAAACGATTCACGATATTTTATGGGGCACTCATTATGCTAGCGGTACGTTTGAAGGGGCCGGCGGGAGGTTGGCGGAGGCCTTAGGGATTCCCTGAAGAAGTGGCTTCCCTGCGAGCGAAAAAATTTTCACGACCACGCTTTTTAGATTAGCTTAAAATAAACTTCAGAATACTTCTTGCAGGTATTCTCTTGCAATCGTTTAAAGCATTTTGTTATTTTTAAGGCATGCTCTTATTACGTTTGATTAATTCAGTCTTAAAATAGACTTTGGCGTATTCCTTGGAAATTAGGCAACTAAAGGATTTGTAGGATTATTCTTTTCTTTATACTTTTTTCTTTACTCTTTCTAATTGCTTAAAAATACATTTTTGCAAAAAAGTGGGGGGCTGAAGCCCCAAGCTCTCCACCTGGCGCCGCCTATGTTTCATCAGTCGACCTCGAACGGAGAAAGTTCTTGACAAGTCATGGGAAATGTACTGCGGTTCTTTAAGCATTACTGTTAAATATTATTTAAAAAATTCAATTTCGTATCCCGTTTTTAGAAGCAATTTGATGGAATGACCATCGCACTATCCCCATTACGACGAATGGAGTTGAAAGTACTTGCATTTTAATACAAAACTTCGTTTTTTCTGTATTGCGTCGCCTCTCATTCTTTTTAGGACTGTTTTCTTTTGAACTTATACCTTTCTTATGCTTCTCTTTGAGCTACAGTTCACAAGGTCATTTGAGTCAAAACTTCAATTTTCACAAACAATTCAAATTGTTTCCGATTAACCTAGCTTTCTACCAACAGCTTTAAATTTTCCGACTGTCCTCAAATTTTCCGACTGGATGAAAGATTGGGGGGGTGTCACACCCCCCACACCCCCCAGTATTTACGTGCCTGGTGCTGATGTTCCCGTAAAAAGCAAAAGCCCTCAGAAAAGACTTCAAGCGCCTTCTGAAGTATTCTTATGCCTCATTTACAACTGTTTTTTAAGGAAAGGCCTGATAAATAAGATATATGTTTCGAAACTCAAACTTTGGAAAGGCATTTGACAAAGGCAACCTCAAGGCATCCCCTATGTTATACTGTGATTATCTTGAAAGCTTGGAAAATGGAATGTGTCAGTAGTTGAATGCTTGGGCAAAATTCTTTGCCTGAACTGATCACCTCTGATCACAAGTAGATATCCGTCTGTGGAATACCAACCATGGTATTTACTACCAAAATGAAGAGTGTTTGCTAGATACCAGCGAACAATCAAACCATTAAAAATTAATAGACATTTCTACAGACGTCACGGACTGCGTTTAACTAACTAAAAAATCGATTACCTAGCAACGATCGTGATTGACAGATTGGTATGATTAATAAAGAGTGCTAAAAAGAATCCTGACATCAGTTTGGCAAGATCAACGTAATACCATGAACAGCTTTGTTGGATCTATCGTTGTACTCTCTGGCATCGCCAGCAGCTTCAAAGTTATTGCCCTCAGTGAGGCAGTTAATAATGAGCAAATGACTGATGATTTAAAACACTTTTGCAAGATTAACAACTGCCAAACAGACCCTGATATAAATTTTCTGTTCAACTGGAAAAGCGTTCTCGAACCATGCAAATTAAATATCTCATGGGTGGACAGAGATCAGAGAGCGGAACTAAACGGTATGGAGACAAGTGCAAAGAGAACTTCAGTAATTATGGAAAATATCAACTTTGTGAACTCGTACAGCAGGATAATAATACAAACATATACAGATGGTGGTATTAGAAAAACTGTCGGTGGTGACTCGTGGCGAGCAACATTACGCGGCCAAACAACACTGAGTGACGAAAGAACAAGGCAGATGGCTTACGTGATAGATCGCATGGATGGGACATACGAAATTACGTTTTGGGTTCACGAAGTAGGGACGTATCACTTGGATTTGTTACTGCAATATTCAATGTGCAACGGACTAAGAGATCCTCCAATTGGCTGGTTTGAGATGGGCAATAAGCAGGGTCAAAATCAGCCTGAAAGTCTGATGAGAAATAACACTGATTGGCTGTTCAAGGCAGTTTCATTCCCAAAGTTTGAAGTCAAAGGGTGTGACGAGAGGATGAGAGAAGAAGGAAGCGAGCCTTGTGGCATATCAACTGATTCCGACAAACTGAGCCACACTGATGCCAAAAAGCTTAGTACCTGTCGGTTAATCTGGAGACACTTTTGGCACTGGAAGGACATAAAAGGTAATATTCAATGGTTTCCTGAAAGAGAACGATATGAGAGCCTCTCTGAAAGCCTAACTGATAAATACGATTTCTTGTGGGCATACGGAGATTCTCTTTGCGAACGATGGTGGTACACACCATTTCGACAAATGCTGTGCCGGAGAGCATTCAGGTCATGTGACCACACATACACTCATACCTATGAAGATAGAGATAGAGGGCAAAAGATACCAGCTGGTCAGAAATTCAACAAAACGCAATTCTTCTCACCAATAAAGAAAATATTATACGACAAAAGAATGACAAACAACAGTGTATTGATCATTAACTTTGGGCTGCACCTGATTACCGGCCTAAATATCAAAGAATTAAAAGATGTTGTCGATTCCTTTGCTAGCATTATCTTGGAATTGCGACGTGAAAAAGGCAAGTTTGGCGCAGCGAAAGTAATCTGGAAAACAACAACATGTGCGGTCTTAGAAAACAGTAAACATCCTTTTTATGGCAGATTTTTCCTGACAAACCAGCGAATTCAGCTTTTCAATTCCTACGCTAACTGGAAGCTATGCTCCATAGGAGTTGATATATTTGATGTATATAGCATCACTGCCTCATATCCAAAGGGCACACTTGATGGGCTACACTTTGAAAGTGAAGTTTTCAATCCAACTGATAACGCCTTGGCGAAATTTTTAGCGGAGATGAAGCGATAGAGATTCAATTAGTGAACAGGTTCATTGACAAAAACTGATCTTGTCTTAGCCTTAGCTTCAGACACCAAACTATTCGTGTTTAATGCTATACACGTTTTTGGAAATTTGAAATTTGAAATTCTTATTACGTGAATGGGTATAACAAATTTAGCTAGTTGTACATAAGAAAAATCATTATCTGAAATTATCAGAGATTTGTCAGGAATTATCCTGTTCATTAAATAATTGCCGTTTGACCATAGTTTGACTCGGACCGATGTCTTGGCAATGTCAAACCGTCCTGATTGTTCTATCCATTTTTTTGAACCCGTGAGAAAAGTGCACCATATCACATTAGGGTAAAGGCTCGCAGAGGTAATTTGCTCGCTTCACAGCATTCGCTGTAAACCATTAACATGATTTCATGATATATACTATAGTTTCATTATTTTCTTCTCAAGAAATCCTTTCTCTAAATGTTTTCCGTCAATGATATTTAGGACTTGCCTATTTTTATAAGACCCACGAATGTTCATACCAAAGAATACATTATATCATATGAAAAAACCACTATCGATTTGAACTGTGTTTGGGCATATGCTGGAAATGTATAAAGCCTACAGACCTTTGAACAAACGCTGGTTCTTCTCACAAATAAGTCATGAAAGAGTCGGAACGTACTGACACTAATTTCCTACCTGGCATATTTACGTTTTACTTTAGTAAAACATAATAAACTTATATCATATGAATTGCCAGATGATGATTAAGTGCAAAACTCGGAGTAGTAATTTACAGGCGTCCTGTTCTGTATACCAAAAGCGTGTACAGCCATGTATATACGGCATAGAACATTTTATGACAGACCAGTGAACAGTAATTTTAATTACTGTAAATTCTCTGTTTAGCCCCCCGTCTCAATTAAGCAACCTCTCTCTCCCCCTTTTCAGAAGGAAAAATTTAATTAGCCCCCCTCTCAATTTAGCCCCCCTCCCCAAATTTCACTGATGCTGAAATAAGTAAACTTGACATAAAACAGAGATTCTCATTTCATTCATTGGTCGTTCAATTCTTCGCATCAAATCAAAATTCACACCATGCCTCTAGAATTAATGATTTTTGACGATGACGATGACAAACAATAAGACCCGGCGGGGCTAAAAAGAGAATTTACGGTATGTTTACATATATTTATAAGAGACCAGTAACTTGAAAGTCGATTTGCCCTGTCACGTGAGAATCGTTTAAAACAGGATTAAAAGGGGCTATCGAAATAAAAGCTATAATTTAAAATACATGAAATGTTCTCTTGGTGGTCAAACAAATGTGGACACATTGGGGGGAGCAAGCCTATTGTTTTGGCAAGATGACATAACATTTTCACATTGTTTTAGAACAAAAGACCATTGGCCTCCAAAATATTAGAGACGACATCCCCCCTCGCCCCCCCCCCAGGTGTCCGCCACTGGTCTCAAACCATGGACTTACATCTCTCTGTGGCATTATAGCGGCATTGAGTAATGCAATCACGTTGCCCTCTGCCATCTTCCAATACTCTTTATATACATCACCAAAAAGAAAGAAGCTAACAGCCGAATTTTCTTTGCCAACAGCCAAATCTGAGAGCTTCCAAATACTGAAGGTTTTCCCCTGCAAAAACCAAGCTGTCTTGAAACAAGAAAATATGTAAAAGAGAGTACTGAAGGTTCGACAAAACTCAAGGTAATAAGAAATTTTTAACGACTTCAAGATGACATTGCAAATGAAAATATGATCTGTTACCCATCTGTTACCAATGCAAAACTGGCTACTTTGCAGTGATTGAAATAAAGAATGATTTTTTACAAAAAACAGAAAAATTCTACTAGCGGAAAACAAATTATAAGTTAGAATTCTGACGAGCAAGGACATTTTGTTATGTAATGTTTTGCAATAACAGTTTTCTTTTCAAAAGCAATCAACAGATACTGAAGCGGTTAACTGCAGCTGTCACTCAACTATCGGTCAATCTCTAAACGTGTGGAGATTTTTACGCTTATGAAAATGGTCGTATAAAAGAGAAATCTTCAACGCTGTTTATATCCCGATAGGCTGCCGGTTTACAAAATGACAAGAACGAATAAAGGTCTAAAAACAATACATAAAATAGTGTTTAATTATCTAGATAAACTGTTTCTTGTGATAGTTTCACCTATGGTTTAAGCCAATTTACCAACGGAGACAAAATGCTGACGGGAACTAAACTACTGCTGTTCTAAGAAAACAAAACTCAGCCTTTAAGATCGCCTTTAAGAGCAAATTTTCAACTCACATTAGCAGCAGTTTTCGGTAGCAATTTCTTCACAACCACGCCCATTGTCACCCAATCTCCGGTTATTTCACCCTTGCTTACGTAGTTTGACAGCATGTGCAGCTTGATAAACCGACGGTCATCCATTTTTGTCTCCATTTCTTGGATCGAGATTCGAGGATTTCTACATGAATAGCCACAACAATGAATAAAAAAGGTGCAAAATTGAAAGAATTAATCAAAACACAACTATCCCTCATTTATCATTTCATGAAAACAATGAAAACAAACAAACAGAAAACAATGTTTTTGATTAAAAGGTTTTTTCTCAAAGTAATGTTTTAAAGTAAAGGAAATCCAGGAAGTTTGTGTTCCTAAAAACAGTAAGAAAATTCATAATCAAAAGCAGCTTGCAAAATCTTCAAACTGCAGGCAACAAATACTTGAGTAGCAAATCTAGATACTTTGTAATTCAAAAAATTAATTTTTAAAGAACAAATTTCTGCAAAAGGCTCAGTCTGCTGGCAATTAGGTGGCTGAGTAGCATGGGTGTAGGAATCTATGGTCATTCACCAATCTTCTTTTCTAAGAAATGTTGTCTTTGTTGAAAATTTGGGATAAATTTTTCAAAACAATAGATAAGAAATATTACAGTTACGCTTCTTGAATCTCAATGCTAAAGCTTGTTTTCATTTTGAACAACCTTTCCCACAACCCCTTCTCCCCCTCCCCCCCCCCCTCCTGCTCTCTAGAATTTGATCATCGTGGCATTCATTCCTGTACTATGAGCATAGCCATAGATTGGATGATACAATAACAGGATTAGGAACTTTAGGGCCTGTTTAAAGGGAGTCTAGGAAACTTGCTTGAAGAATAAAGAAGCAAAGAAGACAGTACACAATTCGAATCCCAGAATATGATTCCATCTGCCACGGTTGTTCCTCTTCATTTCTTTTTGAAGATGGTGCTCTCTTTTTGTCAATGTACATTTTCTTCTTCTCATGTTGGATATTGTCAATTCCACTTCGATCTAGGAAAGAAAAAGATAAATACTTCATATCAATCAAAAATAACTTCCATTTTTTTATTACATTTAGTTGCTTTTAGCAGTTAATTACAGTTATGATTTGTACCAAAATGATCCTGACATTAATCTACATAGGAACTTGCTATGAGTGGCAAAAAATTTATGTTCTAAGCTGATCAAACAGCATTAACTATAGAATTACGAAGCATTTTGAAACTGGGGGGCACATGCAGGCAAAAAGAGGCACCTCTATGAGCTGGAAACAGGCACTTCATCATTCTTTCCAAAAATTGGGGGCACAAGCACCCCCATGAGCCAATAAGTTCCTATGTTGATGGCATTAAAGTATATATAATTGTCATACCCATTTTAGGTTCACGCTTTGTTGCATGAGCCACCCTTTCTGTCTTCTTAAAAAGAATATTTGATTCTTCAGGTGTCTTTTCTATTTTCTCCTTCGCATGTGACTCATACTTTGTTTTTGTTGATGATAAGTTCACTTGATCTGACTTCTCAACAGTCTTTGACTTCTTTGCATCTCTTAAATGCTCTTTTTCTGCTAGTTTCTTTTCTAAAATTGCTAATTTTTCTTTTGTTGATTTTATTTCATCTGTAATTAAGGTAACAGAAAACAGTCGCAAAAAGCCAACAAAACTGATGAATAAACAAATAAAACATTGATTAAAAGGTGTAACGTTAACCTGGAATTTATACATAAGGGTCATGACAAAAAACCTAACAATTCAAACATGAAAGGACATGTTCAGTAATATACATACATCCTATAAGAGTTCAGTCTTTGTAGCATGAGGCATGCAAGTTTCTTAAAAATTGCTTATGTTTTCAAGCTTTCTAAAGCAGCAGCCAAATTCAAAGGCAGCTCTATCGTTTTCTAGGGTTTTGTTGAATTATTCCCATACGGGATTTAACAATGGCGTCACAATGTAGCTACGACAAGATCCAAGATCGCTTGACATAACAGTTATTTAACCAAGGGGGTGCCAGATAACTATCTGCAATCAAAACCTACTCCTTTAAAGTAATCAAGATGTGGGAAATGCCGCACACAGCCTATTTTCATATTATAAAGACTGAAAGTTAGAATATCATGCTACAGATTTGCTACAATCCTTGACACAACCTTTTTAAAAAAAGCAATAGAGTGCCAATGTATTGGCAAAGATTGTAGTTAATTCCATATTTGCTCACAATATGATATTTGCAATGATTTTTATACTTGAATTTAAATAATTTGTCAATTTACCCAGCAGTGCTATTAACCAAAATTTACTTGGAAGGTACTTTAATATTTCAAACTACCTCAAACACTCACATTTTTCAATATTGTACTTCTATCTCATTGCAGATGGTGAAATTGTATCAAATTACAGAACTGTTCAGATTGACATCAAATATACCCATCTGAATCAGGGAAAGAAACAAAATGAATAAAGTTGAGCTGAAACTCATGACCAGAAATCTTACCTTTGATTGACTGGATTTCCTCTTCTTCACTTTTCTCATTTGTAGGTTTCAGTTGAGAGGAATCAGCTAGCTGCTTTTTCTTGCTGAATTTGTCATTTTTGCATTCATTGAAGGTTTCTGTTTCAGCAACACATATACCACAATCATCATCAGAATCAGAATCAACACATTCAACATTATTCTTGTCTGAATTCATCAATTTGTTTTCATCAGAGTCACTATCATCACCCATATCAAGGAAGTCAACCAAATCATCTAAATCATCATCCATCCCGTTGACTGCAAGTAAGGATGGGTTATCAAATTCTGACATCAAGATAGGAAAAGAAAAGGTCTTTTGCCTAATTCCAGATGTTCTAAAAAAATAGCAATGTAGCCTGTTATCACTTCAACAATGTTATGCAGGGCTGTCAGATGCAGAGGGCTGGGTAGCCCCCCCCCCCCTAAAGCCCCCCCCCCCCCCCCCCTTAATTCTCAAACTGTAATATATTATCTTTATAACAGTGTACAGAATGAGAAGGAATACAATGGGCATGCACCCAAAAATGAAATTCCTTCTGACAACACTGGTACAATAGAAAAAGCCTGAACTACCGAATTTCAAAAGAACAGGTTTTGAAAAAAGGAAACAAAAAAGGTGGTATGATTAATGTTCATGGAAGTCAAGATAAACTAATATTTTGAAAATAAGTTGAAGTTTAAAATGAGATTGAATTTGTTGGTTTAACTCAAACAACATCAAGACAAGAAGAAGCAAAATATTATATGACCTGATATTAATATGGCATAAGCTGAAAATAAAGATATGCAAACTTAGGGGCTTTCATGTATGAGGTTTCAAAGTTCATACTTTAGTGCCAGTCTTTTGAAAGTTCTACTACTACAGAAATGTTAATATGTTACAGTTGTTGCAAAAAGGTTAGTACAAGGTGAGTAAGTTACAAGGTGAGTACAAAAATTGCTTTGATGCGTGGCAAAAATCCATAATGTGTCAATGGACAAAGTGTTAAGGGTGTATCGCACCAACCCACCCATAAAGAATTGCATATCTTATGGCTAAGATGTTTTTATTTTTATGCATTGTGGCGTTGATAAATCATATCTGCTTTAATTTTATCAGAAGTAATAGCCTCCAAGGTAACTTAGCCACAATATTTTTTTAACATAAGAATTGTCTTAAAAAAATTTTGAAGGAGCATTCCCTGAAACCTCAAGAAAAGTCTGCCTTCAACTTGTTTTGCTATTTATCTTTCCTCCTGACCCGGGGCTCATAAATCCTCTCTGCAACCCTACCTGTGAACTATGGGTTATTCCAGAAAAACAAAAAACCTCCAGCTTTTGTGATTCGAACTCTAAAAAAAACTTTCATTCAAAGTAGTTTCTAATCTGTGCTGATTTTAATTGACTTTTGATCTCTGCTGATTCTTGCTGTTAATATTCAATCTGAAATAATTTTTCAAAATCAAAATACATATATCATCAAATCATATCAACTGGGCACATGGCTTTGATAGCTCTGTCTTGAGTTTTTCCATGTGACCATCAGGTAACTTAGTGAACATTTATGTGGCTTATCCTTAATTTTGTGAATCAAATCTCACAAATTACACTTATGATTGTAATTAAACAACTATAAAGTGACACAACTTGCAATTGCTTGATATGTTGAGGAAAAAGAAGCTAAGATAACTTTATACCTCACATGTCCCAAAAATTATTCAATGTTAGTAACATGCTAAGTTTTGATATGCAGTCAAAGACAGGCACCACTGGGAAGGGGGGCTGGGAGGCTATAGCCCCCCTACTTTTTGCCAAAAAATGCAAAAAATGTACCAATAAATCAGCAGTCAAGCCACTTTTGATTTGGTTTTAGCCTTTTCTTAACGCTTTGCGGTGCCTGAAAGAAACTAGTCCATTTGTCAGTTCATAGACAGATCAATAGAATTGTTTCTGGTGGGGTTCGAGGCAGTAAGCAGTAATTTTGCTACACACAACGCCCTCCCTCGCGACACACTCCAAAAAACACTTAAACAGTTGATTTAGAAATTCAAGCAAAAATTAACAAGGTCGGAAAACATTTGTAGAGTATTCAGTTGTTTCGCACTGCTTTCCATGGCTCAAACATTACACATATTAGCTCATTGAAACCTGTTTGAGTCACTCGGAAAAACTGGCTGCGGAGCACATTTCCAAATGTTGTCCTAGAGGCACTAGGCCAGGCCTCCCTGTAGTGTAGAGCGCTTCACCATCAAAATAGCAAATGTGTTTATACATATTTGAGCGATCGGAATAAGCTAAGAAAATCAGAATACTTACAATCAATGTTTATGTCTTAGATTTGTCTTTATTCTTGTTTCGATGTTCGTGATGTTTAGAACACGCAGAATCTCTATGCCTGTTTTCGCGCCTGAACTTGCTCCCCTGTGATTCGGCTTCAGGTTCGCGCGCGATTTTGTTACCCAGTCCTCTTATCTAAATGACGCTCGAGGGAACTTAAAAATACACTTACGTTCGAAAGTATTGCACCAACCGTCACAGAATGGCAGCACTGCCGCCCATTTTTTCTAGCTAACCGAAATTCAAATAGCTATAGCAAGTTAAATAAATGTTTCAAGATTACTGTTTGTGTGGAAAATAATGGAAAATTCATTACGGAATAGTGTTTGTGTGGAAAATAATGGAAAATTCATTACGGAATAGTGTTTGTATGGAAAATAATGGAAAATTCATTACGGACAGGGGCGGATCTAAGCAACAATGATTGGGGGGAGGGGTGTTAGACACTAATTTTGGTCCCACACCCTTCAGGTCACTGGTAAATTATGGCAACGCCCATTTTTAAAATTCCTTTTTTAGCTTTAAGGTAAAGACGATAAGAAGCAGTGGCGTAGCCAGGTTTGAAAGATTGGAGGGGCAAAGAGGAGAAAATTTTTGCTGGCTTTTATACGTGGCAATTTCGCTTTATACAAGGTCATATCTGGCTTTTTATGGCTGACCCCATTCTACAACTGCCTCTTTCCTTGACAATTCATCAAACGCTTACATTCTGAAATGTGTAAGGCGAGGAAGCACTACTTGGAAAAACTGTCGGGGATTCTCCACAGTTTTAATCAAATATCTAAAAATAACAAACAGGATTCAAATGTTTTAAACTAATTCCGTTCTCCTTGGAGCAAAATCCCCGACAAGCATTTCAGAATCCAATTTTTTTAAGGATTGAAGCGCTTTAGCATTTTAGTTTCTATTTTATCGGGATTGTCTAAAGAACGTAAACGACTTTTCTATCTAAATCCTCTAACGTGCGATAAATTGTTGAACATTCTGCAGAGTTATAAAAAAGGGTCTCTGTGCGAGCGAAGCGAGCAGAAAATTTTTGCGACGACGCCCTTCAGATTAGCTTGAAATACATTTCAGAATATTTCTTACAGTCATTTGCAGTCTTCAAGAACGTTTTAATATTGTCTGAAATATAAAATCCCCCTTTAAGGTACTAATTCTATTGCAGATTTGTACTTTTGTCAGTCACCGACTTTCTGAGCGGCCGCTCCTTTTGCCTCCACCCGCTCCGCTACTGATAAGAAGACAAATAATGATATTGAGGAGATAAATAAAGTGAAATCTTGGCGTTAATTTGTTACTGCTGATTATCAAAAAATGCAAGTTGCTTCCGACTTCAGGACCTAGATGGGATAAACTTTTTTAGCCCTCATCAATTTTACAAAAATGGGAGATATAAATTTCAGTCGAGCTTCTTGTTGGATGGAAATGTTCTGCTATGCCAAGTTGCTCAGAGAAACAAGCTTGTCAACACCCCCTGGAAAAATTAAAAGCATTGGAAGACAACTGAGGAGTTTTGCACACATTCAATACGGTAAATATAGGCCATACTCAGTACAGTACCGTATACGGGATATAATATTGGAAAACAAATACACCGTATAGCAAATAGGAGGCACCAATGAAGAAATGAAATTACCGGGGCTGATGTCGACGTAAATTGGAACGTAATCAGAAAGGCTTTAATTGCTTATTTTAGTCTTTTTATGCCTCAGATGCAATCATTTCTAAAGGAAAAGCATAATAGATAAAACATCTGCGTAAAATTTCAAGATAAGAGTTTCGAGATTGAAACTGCCTCGGTAATCTATTTAAATTGAATATTGCAAGCGCTTAACAAAGTAGATAATAAAAACATTATGTTAAAAATTCACGGTGTTATCAATATGGCAACATCGTGTCACGTGGTTGACACTAACAAAACAATACGGGTGAAAACAACATGGAAATTAAAAGATAGTTAAGCGAAGAACTAAATTCTTTGTTTCACCTATCACCTTCTTTGTACAAGAGAGATGCCTCTGTAAAATAGCAACCAACTTATCTTCTTTCGAAATAAAGGCAAGGTTTGCAAGATAGCAGCGTATGCTTATATTGATATAAAGTATCGCAAACCATACAAAATATATTCTAGAGATGTAACTGTAGACTAATCGAGTTTTAGTGTTTAACTCACAAAATGAAGCAATCGATTACCTAGCAACGATGGTGATTGACAGACATGTGTGATTCATAAAGGGTGTTAAAAAGTCCAGAAATCAGTTTGGCAAGATCAACGTAATACCATGCACAGCTTTGTTGGAACTATCGTTGTACTCTCTGGCATCGCCAGCAGCTTCAAAGTTAGTGCCCACAGTGAGGCAGTTAAGAACGAGCAAATGTCTGATGATTTAAAACACTTTTGCAAGATTAACAACTGCCAAACAGACCCTGATATAAATTTTCTGTTCAACTGGAAAAGCGTTCTCGAACCATGCAAATTAAATATCTCATGGGTGGACAGAGATCAGAGAGCGAAACTAAACGGTATGGAGACCAGTGCAAAGAGAACTTCAGTAATTATGGAAAATATCAACTTTGTGAACTCGTACAGCAGGATAATAATACAAACATATACAGTGGGTGGTATTAGAAAAACTGTCGGTGGTGACTCGTGGCGAGCAACATTACGCGGCCAAACAACATGAGTGGCGAAAGAACAAGGCAGATGGCTTACGTGATAGATCGCATGGATGGGACATACGAAATTACGTTTTGGGTTCACGAAGCAGGGACGTATCACTTGGATTTGTTACTGCAATATTCAATGTGCAACGGACTAAGAGATCCTCCAATTGGCTGGTTTGAGATGGGCAATAAGCAGGGTCAAAATCAGCCTGAAAGTCTGATGAGAAATAACACTGATTGGCTGTTCAAGACAGTTTCATTGCCTAAGTTTGAAGTCAAAGGGTGTGACGAGAGGATGAGAGAAGAAGGAAGCGAGCCTTGTGGCATATCAACTGATTCCGACAAACTGAGCCACACTGATGCCAAAAAGCTTAGTACTTGTCGATTAATATGGAGAAACTTTGGGTACTGGAAGGATATAAAAGGTAATATTCAATGGTTTTCTGAAAGAGAACGAGATGAGAGCTTCCCTGAAAGCCTAACTGATAAATACGATTTCTTGTGGGCATACGGAGATTCTCTTTGCGAACGATGGTGGTACACACCATTTCGACAAATGCTGTGCCGGAGAGCATTCAGGTCATGTGACCACACATACACTCATACCTATGAAGATAGAGATAGAGGGCAAAAGATACCAGCTGGTCAGAAATTCAACAAAACGCAATTCTTCTCACCAATAAGGAAAATATTATACGACAAAAGAATGACATACAACAGTGTATTGATCATTAACTTTGGGCTGCACCTGATTACCGGCCTCAATATCAAAGAATTAAAAGATGTTGTCGATTCCTTTGCTAGCATTATCTTGAAATTGCGACGTGAAAAAGGCAAGTTTGGCGCAGCGAAAATAATCTGGAAAACAACAACATGTGCGGTCTTAGAAAACAGCAAACATCCTTTTTATGGCAGATTTTTCCTGACAAACCAGCGAATTCAGCTTTTCAATTCCTACGCTAACTGGAAGCTATGCTCCATAGGAGTTGATATATTTGATGTATATAGCATCACTGCCTCGTATCCAAAGGGCACACTTGATGGGCTACACTTTGAAAGTGAAGTTTTCAATCCAACTGATAACGCCTTGGCGAAATTTCTAGCGGAGATGAAGCAATAAAGATTCAATTAGTGAACAGGTTTATGGACAAAAACTGATCCAGGCTTAGCCTTAGTTTCAGACCCCAAACTATTCGTATTTAATGCTATACATTTTTTGGAAATTTGAAATTTTGAATTATTATTTTTTGAATGGGTATTACAAATTTAGCCAGTTATGCGTAAGAGAAAAACGTGATTTTGAATTATCAGAAATTTGTTGAGATTTAGCTACACATGAACACAGGCTCCTGTCCATTAAATTATTGTAATTTGACCATATTTTTAAAATTGACGAACCAAGCCAAAACAATACAACACAAGTCCTGAAGGCCATCTTGCACATCTAAAGGTATTCTACTATAAGCCATAGTCAATAGAAATAATAGATAATAGTTTATAAGCTTTCGAGATTTTTGTGCTCAGAAATTAAAAACTTGGAAACTCTTTAATTGACGTTAAAAATTTACCAATTTATATCCCCTTGTCTGAAAGACAAGGAAAGTCTTGCATGCCATTTACTGTGTCGAAATACAAAAATACTTGCTTTCGAATGTCTAAGATACAGTAAAACCCCGCAAACAAGAACCTACTTTTCTAAAGAACAGACTGACTAGGTTCTTATATGTGGTACTCATGATATTTTCAGGGTGTGGCTCTTATCGCAAGGACACTAACAACTATGATGCACAAGGTAAACGTAACTAGATTTGGGAATGGCCGGACTGAATTTCAAATTGTAGAGGATATAGTATTTTGTTAGTGACAAACTAATTTCAATCACAATATGAAAAAATTAAAATAAAATGACATAGCTCTGAATATCAATAATCAAACCACAATGACGACTTGAAAACTATATATTCTGTCTTTGAGAATTTCATGTTTTATTTAATATGATGTACAATCTCATAAGAACATGGAAAGAAATCTATCAGTTTTTGGCTTCTATCTTTGGGTGTTATTTTCCACAAAATCAGTCTGTAGGTTCTTATTTTCCTATGTTCTTGTTTGAGGGGTTTTACTGTACGCCGATGTCGAACCGATGTCTGGCCGATGTCAAACCTTCCTGATTGTTCTATCCATTTTTTTGAACCAGTGAGAAAAGTGCGCTATATTACATTAGGGTGAAGGCTTGCAGAGGTAATTTGCTCGCTTCACAGCATTTACTGTAAACAATTAACATGATTTCATGATATATACTATAGTTTCATTATTTTCTTCTCAAGAAATCCTTTCTCTAAATGTTTTCCGTCAATGATATTTAAGACTTGCTTATTCTTATAAGACCCACGAATGTTCATACCAAAGAATACATTATATCATATGAAAATACCACTATCGATTTGAACTGCATTTGTGCATATGCTACGTTTGTGCACACTGCACAAGCCTACAACATACACAAACAGGCCCCTGTGAAAGAGATGCGTTGAATATGAACAGGGCCGCCGAATGGGGGGCAAGGAGGGGCAAACTGCCCCAGGGCCTCGAGAACTGAATTTTAACGAAACGCAACGTATGCCTAGAAAATTTTAAAACGTGGTAAGCGATTGTAATAGACATTCTGAAATGCGTTGGCATTCCTAAAGAGACTATGGTTAGAGAAAAGGGGATGCATCCCCAAAAATATAGCAGATGGACCTTTAAAAATGACGAAAACTGGCATCTTTGTAATTTAGGTGCATGGTTTTCAGGTAGGTACCATTTTTGGTGACCTGTGGTTTTTGATTGGAGATGTCAAACAAAAGAGCGCACCTCCTTTTGATCATTTTTTCCCGACCTTTTTCTAGGAGCCACAACGCCCCTGCTGGAGACCTCACCCTACTTTTTCCTCTCCCATTCTCTGAGGCTCTGGCACCCAGGGTAGCCCACCCTAGAAAAAGTAACCACTGTGCAACTGCCGTGGAGAAGCATTTTCCATCAAAAAATATTTGAAGTAAAAGCTCGATAACTTCAGGTCTGACCTTGCAAACCAATTTTTGTTTTGGTAGGGCGGAGTGATGCTAGTCAAAACAAGATTAGATGACCTGAAGAGAATCTCAAATGAATAAAAGAAAACGCAAGAAATAAAATACAAAATTTACTTACCAATAGAAAGAATACTCAAGAACTTGTACTTTCAAAGCTAGTCGTTTCTCCTTTTTTGTCTTCGGAAAAGAACACAATTTAGAATTGATTCTTGACAACTGTTTAGAAATTTTACATGCGAAGCAAAAATGTGTAGATTGGATTTGATGAATTATTTTGACTTTAATATTTAATAAGCATCAACGAATAACAATACAAAAGATCTATAAAATACAAAAGATAAAAAATATGCAAATCTTATCTTCAAATTTACAGATAAATTTTGTCCACCACTCATTCCCGTGACATATAGTGTAACTCGTCACTTAAAAAGTCGAATTTCAACTCCTATTTAATCCTCGACTGAAAGTGGTAATTACTCATCAACCCTCCCCTACCCCCATTTTTGTCAAAACATGGTTCATATAAATCGTCACAAGTTATTAAAATGCTTGAAGTAAGGGTGGGTTGTGTCTTTTAAGATTTCCTTAAGCAAAATGCACCTGGTATAAAGCACTCTGCAAAAGCTGGTGCAACGTCTGTCGTTTTGACGAGAAGGTCTAAGTGTGGAAATCTCTTTAAGACACGTGAAAACTCCTTCTCTGGTCTTCCAGTACAACAGCAAAATCAAAATATTCTGTTGTCCAGGTCTTCCCAAGAACTTATTGTAATTCCTCTTCTCCAGAACAATTTAAGAGCACAGTTAATTCAAGTGAGCTTTATTGAGCTGTTGTTGGTTTGTGTAGTAAACAATGACTTGAGTTGATTTGTCTTGTCTTTTTGCTTTTTTTGCTATGTTTGCTAGGAAATATCGAAGAAAAGCGGAGTAGATACTTACCATAATTCATTTTCTGATGAGATTAAAATCTATTGGCACACTCACATAAAGCATAGTTAAAAGTTCTGCCTCCATTTCGTCACCAGCCTCGGGTCAAAACACAGCGCGCGAAAAATAAAAAAAGATTGATGACGCCAGTTTATCCTAGGACTGGAATGGGAGCAAAATTTTCATCGTAACCATTTTGATTGAATGCAAATGGCCTTTCGATTAAGAGTGGTAATTTTGAAGGCATAGACTTTTTGATCTTTGATAATGACATCTCAAGAGTCGTTAAGTGGGGATGACTTTGGTACGCTGTTTTCTCACTCAATCAAGAAAAAACGATTTGTGGCGCCGTAAGAAATTTATTTGCATAAAATGTTTTAAAAGTTCGTGTCTAGCAACTCATTGCTACACTACTGAGGTCTCAGTTTTAGCATTTTGGTTAAGTTAAATATAAAGATAATTCACTGGCCGTCTTACATTTCTTTTGCACAGTGATTCAAGAATCCTATTTGATTCAGGTTTGAAAACCTGTTTTAACACAATTAAATCGCCAGCCAAAATATGCTGTCGTTCAAAGCTAAATTCTTTGTAGGTTTCGCAAATTTATAAACATAGATAATTGTTACTTTTTTGTTGGCACGACGCATTTTTACAATTTGAATCTAGATTTAAAGAATCACTTATCTACCACGTAAAGCAAAATTCAAAATTGAATATTACGACCTTTCTGCCTTATAAAAACTATCTACTAGCGATGTGTTTAAAGCGTAAACCTGCCACTAAAATGCCTTTACTTACTTTATCAGCTGGCTTAGCGGGGCTGTCATAGCTATGGGGGTTTTGGATCACGCACCCCTTCTTTAACGACTTTAATGACCGTATTGGTGAAATATTCTTTATATCTTGGTTTAGTAGCAAGGAGATAGCAAATGAGAGAGGCTCTTGAAATCCAGACTGTGTATCAATTATATTTTCTTAATTGCAGGTTTAGAAACATCGCAACTGGATGTAAACCACATGTTGAAACCAACATTGTTCCTCCAGCGCCAACTTTGGAGATTTGGGCCTCACAACAAAGTCATCCTGTAAAGAAAGTTCAAAACTTTCTTGATGATCAGTACAACGATAAAAAATTCGAAGCAAAAACAGGCAACAATGAAACATCTCGCGAAGATTTTGCTGCTGACTATAATTCAACGCCATTCTCTAATAGAATTGATTTTAATAATAGAGATATAAAAGTTTCTTCCTTTCCTGCGGTGAAGAGAAAGTTGTTCGATAACAATTTTCAATATGGCAGCTCATTCACTCCAAGATCACCTCAAAAAGCAGAACCTCAAGCATCAGGTACGAGGTTAAGTAATTCAAAAAAGACTTTGAAAAAAAGAAACATTTTAGAAAATAAATAAGCTTTTCGTCTGACACTCTTCAGAATATATAACGTCAGAAAATATATCAAACACTACGATAGGAAATAGTGTTTTAATCTATGTTCTGACGTTTCATACTCTGAAGAGTGTCAGACAAAAAGCGTAAGTATTTTCTAAACGGTTTGCTTTTATCAAAGCCATTTTTAAATTTTGTATTGGATTGTTTGATTAACTAATTTTTGGCTTAAGGTCAATTTGGTTAGAAACTTTTGAGCAATCATTTCTATATATTTTTTGTTCCTTTCTCACTCGCAACTTAAACTTGCCTAGTCTAAATTCTAAAGCAAGGAGGTACCATAGTAAAACATGATAACATTATTTGTGAATAGAGGAATAGTGGATCATAAAAACAATTTTTTGAAGGATGAATTATAATAAACTTATAAGCACAATTCAATTTATAAAGCATGCCTGGAGTTTTATTTTCAAATTAATCATAATTTACTATGGTTTAAATAAACCTTTTTATCTGTATTTCTCCAGTCTTTTCCTTCAATTTTTTTTAAGTTGCCGTTAAGAATGTTTCTATATCTATTCAGCTCAGTTTGGTAGGCTTGGCTTAGGATCTCAACAAATTCATCTTGAAACACCTAGCAATGCTTCGATCTCTGGTAAGAATTAGATTTTTTAAAAAATCATAAATCCTTTCACAAGACTTTTCTTCACATCCGATGAATCTGGCATCCCATCTTCACAAGCTACAAGACTTTTTGAATTCCTTGATACGATTCTTAAAAACATTTTCTAAAAATTCAATCATAAAGATAATGAATTTTACGAGATGTTTATCTCTGGCAATCTTTACATTGATTAATTTGTATGAAAATTAATTAGATATAGTGCGACAAAATGTTAAAACATTTTCATACCATTTTTTATTTCAACAATTTATCAATTTTGCAAGAATGAAACTCCTAGCTATACGTGAAATTCCTTTATCTTTCGATAGGCTAAGACTGTGAAGCATATTACGGATTGAAGGGACGTTTGGGGGGGGGGCTAAACATGGTAAAAACCAAATTCAGAGCAATTTTTTTATGTTTTAAAGTACACTTTTGAAATCAATGGAGGGGATTCCGCGGTCCTTATTGATAGGTATACAGTGTCTTTAAAAGGATCAACGCATAAAAGCTGCAATTTACCATGGAAAGAGCTTTGTCGACCTCCATCAAGCAACTTTGTCCTCGTTTTTTTCTCTTTCAGTGAATTGTTGTGGGAATAAAGGTGATAACAGCGTCTCACTTCGACCCGTATCAGAGATCCGTATCCTTCTTGTTTTGATACGAAGGAAAGGCAATGGCAAATTGCAGGATGAAATTCTGAATTTGTTCATAAGACGTTTTAAATGATCTAAAGCTACTGTCTACACGAATATTTTCTTAAATGGAAATTCAATTATTTCTTTGCGCTTTTAGTAACTTTAAGTTCAGGCTTGATGTTCTAAATTTTCTCGAAAATTTATGTTCTTAATTGTTCTCAAGTTGTTAGGATGTAAACAGTGCAATTGCAATCTATTATGCTCTAGGAAGTGTTCAGACCTCGTTTGCCAAAAAACTGAGTGAGACATCCTTTATTTGTCGAGATGTTTCAAAATTCACCAAAAAGGGCCCTAGATGTACTCACAACATTGTTCAAACTTACATTTTACAGTAGCTCAGCCTCAGCTTGTTCTTGATTTGTCTTTAACTTTGGCTAGTTCTAAGGCTCGTGTTCTTATAAAACGTTTCTTATGAAAAAACAGTTTATAACATTAAAACTTTTTTAATAATTCTATACTATGTTAACTTGGTTGTGTTTGAAATGCATGCGAGACATGGATTTCCGAGGTAATTATTTTGGTAATTTAGAGGTAATGAAATAATTTTTTTGGGTAATTCTTCAAGGATTTAAGTTAGCATTTGAAAACATTTGAAAACACTTGAAACCTTTTTTGAAGTAAATGTGGACAAAGATGAGTGTTATACAAACTTTTTTTACTAAAACCAAGCATGAATTCCTTGATATTGTTGATAAATAGCCGAAAAATATCGAAAGATATTCGACTTTCCATATTTCAACGTGGTGCAATCAAAGGTGTTTGATGATGTAAGTAAATTTATATATGACAATTTTTCTTAGCTATTTTAGATCACAGACAACAGAAATACCTTTCTTTTTCACTTCTGATCAAATCTCAATAAAGGCGTTATATTCATTTTTGCTTATTTTTTAAAAATATTCCCCATTTCTTATCAAAATACGCTAGGTTAAGGTTTATATGACAGAAAAAAGGTCAAAACTAGGACTCTCCCAATTTTCAAGGCAGACATAAATTGTTTAATGATATTTGATGCAAAAGCTCCGTCAATTCCTCTTGCTAAAAGAATGTTAAATAATTTCCAAACAGGTTCTTTATTCAGACATGCCACTTGTGATATGTGCTCCAACTGGGTCTGGAAAAACTGTTCTGTTTGAGCTGGCAATTATACGATTATTGCTGTGTAATGCACTCGAAGCTGATCTTGAGTACAAGATTGTATACAGTAAGCCAATTGTCTGTTGTCAATAGCTAGTGCTTAATTTTAAAGTTTACCTGCGTTCCTACATCTTATATTCATCATAAATGATAGTAATGCATTAAATAAGACTGGGGCTGATTATTTACAAAGAGATATAGCGTACAGCTGAGAGTAAAATGGAAGATGTAGAGATAGATGTACCAAAGATCCACCACAGAATGATTGATAACCACCACCACAGAATGACTGATAACCTTCGATCACAAGCTGTCTTCTCTTATTCACCCAAACATAATTTAAATACCGCTTTGTGATCATTTTTGTTTTAGAAATATTCTATTTAATTTGATTTTTATTTATAAATACAAAGAAGAAAGATATCTGTCTAGCAAAATAACTGATTTTTAAAGTCCCCTCCCATTTTAGATAACATAGTTTATTGTTCAGATAAGTATGGTTTATGATAAACATCAACACAATTTCATCATTGAATCTTTTTAAAACATAACAAAAACATGCCCCTTTATTTACCACCAACATCATTTTACCAGTTAAAATCACAAATTTTTATAGAGACGGTGCCATGTTACAGTCAGCTCTTAAGCTTTATCACTATATCTCTTAAGCTTTTTCATCTTTCTACTCCAACTTTCAACATAAAAGTTATCCATTCACTCTGTTTGACCATAGGCTAAGTTATCAGTATACTTCTTTTGCTAGTATAAGTCCATTCCGGACGGTTTACAATGCCTAATAATGACCTAAAATCTCTTTTCTAAATGCAGTGGCTCCCATCAAAGCACTATGTAGCGAGAGACACAAGGACTGGTCGACAAAATTTGAGTCGTGTGGCCTAAAATGTACAGAGCTGACTGGAGACACTGACATGGATGACTTCCATGTACTCCAATACGCACACGTGGTTCTAACAACACCGGTGATTACTCCGAGATCTTTCATGTTATTCAGGCCATATCGCTTCAACAAAGGACACAGTACAATATATCTGTATATACTTTCGTGACCAATAAATTGATGAAACTGCTTAAAAACAATCTTATCAAGTGCTATTAGGGTTATGAATACTGTACATACCAAGTTAATTATATTTGACAGGTATTTGAAAATGAAAACAGAACACATTTAAATTTGAAAAAAACATGGAATACTCAGATTACAAAAAGTCTCTTTTCACTTCATTATTTCTACCTACTACATACCACATACTATTATGTCTACGCTATAGGAGCTCAATGTAGCAAAAGAGCAAAGAATTTTATTTTACGTCTATATGCAAACATATCAAATTTGATGATGTATATTTACTCAATCTTTGCATGCCTCTTTTTACCTCTTTTTAATCCTTGTTTTAACGCTTTGAATCTCTTACTCTTGTTCTTTGAATTGAAAAATCTTTTTATAGTGTTGTGACTCTATTTTAAGGAAAAATGGGACAGCATGACAAGAAAATGGAAGGATCACAAAAGTCTGGTACAATCAGTGAGGCTCTTTCTTATCGATGAGGTACTATTGAGCTACTAAGTAAGGGTTTATCCAACGAGTTAATTGGGATTGATACACTGTTGGCCTGTCACAATCGTTAGAAGGGTGTCCCGAAGATGTAAGAAATGGCTTTTAAGCAAATGGAATAATGCTACTGGACTGTTTGATGTCTTGCAAAACATGCGAAATTCGTCTTCTAATCTTTTTAAATTCTTATCGTTACAACTCAAAAAGATTTCTTTAGACATATTTATGCAGAAAGATACTATTCTAAAATCATAAGGTTTCCGTTTTGTTCCTTGTTTTGAGTATGATTGATAATGAAAATTACTATGCAAAATCATTGATAAAGATAGGTAAAACTTCTCTTGACCGTATACCACATCTATACTTTCCAAAAAGCTATATCATTAAGTTACTTATGATAGTGACTTAGTGTAAAAGCAGCTGAAAAAGAAAACACGCTAGCAACATTTGTGAAACGAAGACTAGCAAGGTAATTAACTTGCCACTCCTCTACAGAACACTATTAGCCGGGGACAAGTACCCTTTTCACCTACATATGGATCATATACTTGACACTTCTAATGCCTACATATGGATCATATACTTGGCCAAACTCTACCCTTTAAGCTTGATGTATATCGTTAAAATTACTTAATGTTGTACTGAGATGCAGTTATCAGTGAAAGTATGAGTGAATGTTGAAGTGAATGCATATAACCTTATGTTAATCTGACAGGTACATCTTCTCAGTGACGAAAGCAGAGGAGCAACAATGGAGGCTGTAGTAAGCAGAATGAAGACTGTGCAGAGCTCAATAACAAAAGAGAAGGCTAAAAATGAAAAAATGCAGGCGATGAGGATCATTGCTGTATCGGCAACAATTCCGAATGTTGAAGATGTAGGTCAACAGCATATCAGTCAAGGATTAATAAAACATTGAAAAGCTGAACAGGTTTCAAAACTTGCTGCAGTATTGAGGCAGTGCATTAATAGACAGATCTAGACTGCATTTCATAAAAATAAATCAAATCATTGCTTGAGAGGACAAATAAATGAAATGCTCTGACACATGCCTGTTACTAGGGACTTTGTGAATGAAATGTCGTCAATAAATGGTCAATGCCACAGGGAGCTGGGTATTAGATTTGTTCATAGGCGTATAGGAGAGACTCGGACTCATAGACATTTCAGGCTCCATTCGGGCAGTTCTACCTCCTCATATTCAGGCAAGACCCATAATATTCAGCAATAATATTCAGGCAAGACCCATAATATGCCCCCCTCTTCCCCCTAAACCTTTTTAATCCACTAGGCCCATAGATTAGTCACACGCACTACCATATTTCTGCAGTGCCTACGGGCTGTGCTTATCCAATCCTAAGGTCTTGTACGATCTATTTAAAGCTGGTGAAGACTTTCTTTATCTCTTTTTGTTGTATTGTCTTGAAATGGGGTGTTTGGGATACTCTTGAAGATCGCTGCAAGGGTATTCTAATGTTTTCACAATCACCCGCTTTTCAAAGATTACAAAATCCTAGCTGGTTCTACTAGCCAACAATCCTTTGTAAAATCGTGAATATATTCTACTGATGTTGGCAAACGGAAAGAATATCATCAGTAATACGTTTTCTGCCTTAGCTAACTCTCTATTCACCCTAATTCTAGATCGCAGATTGGCTGACAATCGACGACTGCTGTGCAAAATCTTATAGGTTTGTGTACTTTCATTAGATTGGAAAATTTTCACAATAACTTTTTCATTTGTTTTTGGATTCGGCAAACCTTGGGAGAAAAACGTGTAGATGTGATTTGAAAAAATGTTTATATATTCTCAACATCTCTACATATCTTCATGTTTCTCAAGAAAGAAAATGTTTATTCTTAACAACATTGTTCAAGAAATAATAAAGACATACATATTGCCCAGGAATTTTGACTTGTGTACAATAGTCTTAAAGGATCAAGGAATTTTCCAAAATTTTGATCACCCTTTCTCCATGTTTCCATTCTGGAATTTTATAGAAACCCTTATAACCATTTTTGCAATCATTTTTACAGCATGGGTGATGAATACAGGCCGGTTACTTTAAGAAGAGTTGTCCTTGGCTACCCTTGTTCTGAGAACATGTCAGATTTTAAATTCGATTTATCTCTTAACTACAAGCTGAGTGGTATAATTCAAACATACTCGGATTGCAAGCCAACATTGGTTGTAAGTGATTTTGCCTGGAATATTTTAAGGAATCATTTTATCTTTTCAACATGATGGCTAATAGCATATAACACATAACACCAAAGTACATGCAAAAAATATTAGAGCTTAACAAGCCAACTGATTTCTTTAAATGAAAAATTTGAGATGGCAACTCTCGAAAATAAAAATAAGTGCTATTTAATAAGCAAAAAAAATCCACTTGTAGAGTTGTTAGCAATAATTGAGATAACAATGTTTCAATCCAGTTTTGTTCAACGAGAAAAGGAGTAGCCCAGGCTGCAGCAACACTGTCGAAAGAGGCAAGATTCATTATGGACTCACAACACAAATCAAGGTATTTTGAGACTAGCCTCCTTCACATTTTCTTGCACTTAAGATTAATTTTTTCAGAGATATATAAGAAAGCTTAGAGAAACTTTGAAGCAAAAGAAAGTTAGCAAAAACGTCAGTTTGAATGGAATGAACACTTGAAAAGTGATTGAAACCAAAGCAGAAAAACTCCTTCAAGCAATTGTTTACATGTAGTCAATTAAAAGCAATATTGACATAGTATTGTTGAAAATTCCTATATGACTTTTAAATGCCAACTAGATTATAAGGTTTTGAAAATGAAAACCAGAAGAAAAAAGACATTCTTTCGCAGCTTTTAAGGAAGAAGAAACCAATTGCTTGAATTAACATTGTACAGAAATGTCCGGATAAAATTTTCATAACAGCCGTAATAAACTATTTCTTCTGTTAACTTTTTTTAAGGCTTATGAAATATTCAAATACCATACACGACGCAAAGTTACGGGGTTTGTATCAATATTCTCTCTGACTCAATATTAACCTTTTATTCTATATATTAATACATTATCCACAAAATACATTATTCGCTGTTCATTAATTCTCATTTCACAGATTTCTACAGAAACAGCGAAAGTTCACAGACCTATTTTTGTTAACATAAAATATTCAATTTAAGATTTACTTGCAAATCAGTTCAAAATTTGACAATTTTTTCCTCGATTTCAATGGAAAACAATTGTTTCAGTTTTTAAGAAAAATAAATTTGATTCTTTGATACTAGGTTTTTCTTGAAAGCAAGAGCTATTGATGTTTACTTATAGCTCTAATATTTTGTGTTTATAACTTGTACTTTAGCAATATGATAAAATGTGTAATATGACATCCTTTCTTGAAATTGCAGATATTATCCTTTTCGGAGTTGGCTACCATCACGCTGGTATGGATATCTCCGACAGAAAAAGCATAGAATCAATGTTTGTCCGAGGAGAGCTTCCGGTACTTTGTACGTATTATAGAAGAATTAAAAAGGCAGTCTTGCAAAATATCATATAGTATCAAGCTATTATTCTGCAATATCTAACATGAAATATACAATCAAGCATATTATCCTCTACATTAGTTCGCTTAACACTTCTCATCATCAAAGGTACCATGCTACATAAAACATATAATGAAACAGATTTTTCTTAACATCGCTATAAATCATAGTTTTCTAGTTTGATACTTTGTTTATTTCACAGTTTGCACAAGCACATTGGCAATGGGAGTGAGTCTTTTGAATTATATTGTTTTGATAATTAGACAAATATGATGCTCTGATTTAAACTCTTGATTTACTGAATATAATGAATAAGAAATGCAGCCATAGATTCCACATAATCATAGTGGAAAAGCAGAAGAATTGGATCTTTCTTATCTACTGTTAAAATATGTAACTCGTTTTTATGTCATTATTCTTAAAAGCAACATTTAAATCTCTACTGTTAAGTCTTTATAGATATTTTTCAAATCGTAAAACCATTGTAATTGTTGATTATATCTTAATCTGAGGAAATGCGTCTACCTTTTAATACAAATAGTGGATGATCTTCTAGGCCATTGTCTAGGTATCCAAAAAGCAAAATATACCACGCTGACAGAACATTCTAGTGTTCTATCTCTTATGCTCTCAACACAATCTTTCTTCTTCAATGTGTTGTATAACACACAACAGTTCCTAAACCATTCCACCTTGCAGGGCTAATATTAACAATTCCTTAAGTTACCAACGCTATTCAAACATTCTGCTTCTCCTTCCTGCACAAAAAATTAACAAAATCGGGAGACGATTGCAATTAAGAAAATGTTTATGAGATATTGGCAAGAATTTAACATTTCTTATAGCTTAAACGCTTCTGAAAACATTTTATACGATATTCTAACACACACAACAGGTAAATTTGCCAGCCCATTTGGTTGTAATCAAGTCAACTATGCACTACGTCGTTGGGATGTACGAGGAGTACACTGAGTCACAAGTCTTGCAAATGATTGGTAGAGCTGGCAGGCCACAGGTATTAATGCTCAACTGAAGCAACATAAAACTGCAGTGTTGATAACAATTGTACGTGTTCTTCATTTCTGACAACCAAGTAGAATATTCATTTTATGTCACATATACACTAGATATATACTGAAATACATATATCTTATTAGGTTTTCTTAATGAAAGTTCTCTAGTGATAATACTGGTTGACACATCTCAATATTAGTATTGCACGGTAGTACTTTGTGTAGGTTCTACATGAAGTACTTGGTTTCCTTTCTACAGAAAATATGTCAAACTTTGATAATGTATCAAAAGACGCTATTACATTTACGCTGCAACATAATGCTAGCAGTGACACTACATTTACAATTTATCAATATTCTTTCCTTTTTATCTGATTCGATATAATGTGATATTGATACTGTACGGAAATGATTTACATCGATTCAGCAATAAAATCTTGATACTGTTATTTTATTTTAAGGATATTACCATATTATTGCTGCTTTATCGATTTTAACATTTTAGATAGCTTCTATTTCTGTAAAATGCCAAAGAAAAGAAATTTGAACCTGTTAATGTTGTGAAAATAATGTGATATTTTTTTGCGCTAAAATGTTGTGAAAGCAATTTGTATCAAAATGCTCCAGCATTCAAATTCCATCACAATACTTCTAGTTTGACACAAGTCACTGTCTCTTCTAGTTTGACACAAGTGCCACAGCCGTCATAATGACAAAATCAAGCAACAAGGTAGAAGGCGACAATCATCTACGAATAAATGAAACTGCCACTTTGAAAATTTAAACAACACCAATATTAAACTGTCAAACAAAATTTAATCTTTTGAAATTGCCAAGCATAATCTTACTCCACATGACCATGTCAACATTTATATGACCGTATCAATTATCATGTCAACATTAAACAAATTCACAATAAATTTAGGAACATAAATTTAGAATCTAAAAAAATAGATTAAGATAAGGCCGTCTCCACAGTAAACCAAGATGAAATAAACCTACACTCTTTCAGTAAATAGGTATGCTGCTGTTACTTCGATGCTTACTTTTTCAGCAAAAATACCAAGCCCTTGTCAACGGTGCTCAGACCATCGAAAGCAGGTAAACTAAGAAAAGTGTAATTTTAATCTACAAAAGTTTTTATGTATCGTTTTTTTTCTACGTCTGATCGAAAGCCAAAAGCAGGCATGATCTGGCGGCAATTATATGCACCGAAAGTAAAATTCTTGTACTTCCATTCTTATTAGCAGAGAAATTCCAATTGATATCATGTGAATTTTCAAGCCGAAATGCTTGTTAACAGAGTCTGGGAAAGAATATCATGCCGAAAAAGCATTCGAAAAAAGGATTATCGTATTAATATAAATAACAAATGAAGAAACGTTTTGAAAAGTTACACATGAGAATATATAGACATAAACTCTCTTGCAGTTTACATCGCCATCTTATTGAGCATATAAATGCAGAGATTTTTCTTGGAACAATACCGACCACGAAAATGGCCGAAGAATGGTTGAAGTCGACTTTTTTGTACAAGCGCATGCAGAAGAACCCAAGTCACTATAGTAAGTGAAGTATTCTTTCAGGGACGCATCAACAAGCACTCCGTAAGCAATTTCACCTTTCAAATGAAGACCCTTCAAAAGAATAGATAATTTTCAGCCTTAATACCACTTCAATGGCGATGCAAAACTATGTCTGTTTGGATGAATTGAAACAAAAAATTGGCAACGTAGGGGAATATCGAAGGCTTACCTTTCTGCAAGGTTAATCAGACATGTTATTTTATCTAAGCTTAAACATATAATATACCATGGGTAATTTTAACTCTAATTATCAGCCTAATTACTTGTATTGTTGATTCGATGTGTGAGTTCAAAAATACTTAATAAAGAGGTTTTAACTTTTGTTCAACAAGACCAAAAATTTCACCATGAAATAACTTTGAAATTGCCAATCAGCTAACTTTGTTGAAAATTGGGAGCGATATGGCCAATGAAAGATTGTTGTTAATTTATAACACATTTGACTGACTGCACATTCAGAAATATTTCCACATTTTCTTTTAGGTGATTTGATGAAAATTAAAAAATGCTTATGAAGTCATCACATAAAAATCCTATAGACCAGTTATACCTGCATTTAAAAGATGGACCATCTCTAATGGACCTTCTCCTCCTAGATGCCCCGGAAACTCTCTGTGAAGACGCACTTGGACGGAAACTGCAAGGCATAGTAGATCTGCATAACTTAGATAATTTATTTTCTCACCTATCTAAATATTCTACCACCCAAATTTTATTGCAACCGCTCATTTATTAACACATCTTTCATGCATTGTACTATGTTAGGGCCAAGTGGATAGTGCATGCGAAAGGTTGGGGGGTCAAGCCAAGGTGTGAGCAAGGTGTGAGGTGTGAGCAATTGGAAACTCGCCCTTATCAATCTAATACCAATAGGTGTTGACACTGGGAAGGCTTAAAAAATGATAAAAAATGTGACCCCCCTATTTTATCAGAGAGTTTTCCCAGGATAAATACTTTCTCCAACAGGCACTGCTTTAACTAAGGGTCCTGATATAGTGTATTAGAAGAAAAAATTTCATTTCTTTAGCCTTTCTTTTCATTTAATGCTGAGCACATTGCAATTCTAGCCCGTGCTTATTCACCACTATCAATAAAAGTAAATTAGCTAGCTTCACCTTTGTTTACTTATAACTTTTGTTGCAAGGTACAGTTTTGTGATACTTGAGGTTTTCCATTCAGCTATGGGCCTACGGGCACTGAGGTCACTTCAAAGTCTCAACCTTCTTGAGATAAAGGAAGACGGCAGTCTCATACCAACAGGTGAAAATTATCTTTAATACACTGTCGCAAAAAACACTTAGCTTAAAAGAGAACAAATTTCAGAAATACAGGAATACATTTTCGTCAGTGTTCTATTCAACAAAATCCCTCATACTTCGAAAAGTGTCGGTTTACACGATTTCCGATTTCTCAACACTAAAGAATTGATGCAATATAATATAATATAATACAAAGTAGATGTTTCTCGTGTATATTTTATAACAATTACCCAGGCTATAGCCATCGCTCATGGGATGAAGAGGGAGAAGAAGTAGCAGCTATGCGAAATATAAAAAAAATACAAAAATACATCGATATCGTCGCTATAGAAGCTACCCTTGTTTCTCTTCCTCTAATGCCTTACTGTAAAAATGAATTTTATAAATGCGGATCATAATTATTCCTGCTTCAGGTACAGGAAAGCTTATGGCAAGGTATTGCATTGCTTTCAACACAGTCAAAAGTTTTTCTGAGGTAAAAGGATCCGAGAGCATGGAAGAATTGGTAAGACGACATCAATATAGAGTACGACTTTTGATCATCTTTAATATTTTAGTAATGGGTCTAGGTTTATACAGGTAAATTTAAGCTCTTAATTTATCATGACTTTATCATTCAAAACATTCAAACGAAGAATGACATCACGTACAGATTAAAGAAAAATAAGATACTTCCATGAAAAGATTGTCTGTTAAAAATTTTAAATCGTACGAAGATTCAAACCTGGGATTCAAATATGGCGGTTTTAAAAACTCTTTTATCTATCGGCCAATTATTTTTTGCCGGTAAAGATATTACATGAACTGCAAATTATCTCTCCCCTTTGAGCTTCCTTTATTCTCTTCGTGGGTTTCAAACCTAGGGGTTGTTTCTATACCGGAAAAAATAAATGTCCAAAGGCATAAAATTTAATAAAAATACAGGTCTTTTAAAGGCTCTTAAAGCTAGTGTGTTTGGGAAAGATGCACATTTTTAAAATTATGACTTTCACAGGTTGAGATTCTTTCAAAATCGAAGGAATTTGAGGACATAACTTTGAGGGTCAGCGAGAAGAAGGTGCTGAACACGCTAAACAAAGACAAACACAGAGTGACTATCAGGTTGGCCGTTGAAAAAATCAGTTGCTAATACTAATTAAAAGAGATTTAGAAATTATTTTAAATCAGTTTCATGGGAAAATATTCTCATAAATATTGATCTTTATTTCAGATTTCCAATGAAAAACAAGATTAAAACAACCGACCAAAAAATTAACTGGTTTGTAATTATCTTCTAATTTATGGTTTATGTTTAGGATAAAATTGGGTGAAATTCTAACTGGCATAACAGAGGGTTTTCCTAGAGGGTTTTCCTCTGTGTGATACTAGGGTTATCTTCACTTAAATAGGTGATTAAAACTATCTAACAATATAAAGGTGGGACAACAGAAAGCTAATGATGGGTTACACCTAGGTACTACAATGCCATTCAAAAACTATCAGCGTCTTACTAAATGATAAACTATCGAATGAATAAAAAAATTCTTAAATGATCTATAAAATGATTTTTAAACTGCTTCTGGTATTAAGCCAATACAAGTGTAATTTTGTCTACAGTAAACAATTTTCTTGAATTATAAGATAACGATAATGATGGAAGAAATCAAAATAAACAACAATTACTTCCCTTCAGAAGATAAGCTTTTTCATCAATCTGGTTGCCACTAGTGGCTAAAACAAAACTATCAGAATTTGGCAATGTTGTTAAGTCATTACAAAAAGTACGAAGCTCATCGTTGAACTATTGTTAAAGTACATTATGTATTTTGTGGTACATCATACACAAATCGTGTTCACGACCTTTTCATTAAAGTATCAACATACAATTTATCTCATTTTTTATAGCTTGATTCAAGCTGTTCTTGGTTGTTTAACAGTCAGTGAATTCTCACTGATGCAAGATATTGCAGTAAGACAGAAAATTATTTCCAAATTTTATATACTTAACTTTTCAAACATTCATCTTTGTAAAGTTTGAAATCAATGTTTAAAGATATATACAAAGGTAATATCTTTGTCTTATATAAAGGTCCAAGGTCAACTGCGTTTTGAACTCAAGATAATGAATCTTATACAAAGCAAATGGATCATCCCGCCTGTTGCCAATAGAATCCTGCTACAGCATAGCTTTAACATTAAACTTTCAATCGCCCTGACAAGTCTACCTCCTGAAATGCTCTCAGGGTGATGTTTCTAGTATAAATTTAGCACTATATTCTCTCTTTTGGAATTAGTTAATAAATGAAATAAAAGAACGTGGGGAAAATTTTACTTCAACACTGGTTCTAGTTTACAGCACTAAAGTTCCTCTTTATCATGAAAAATTGAATTAGTTTATAATTCGATAGGAAATTATTCATCAACTAAAGCAATAGATGATTACTGTATGCTAGAAAGAGGCATGGATTGCAATTTTAAGGCGCATTTCTAGCATTAACATTCTATAGCATATTGTGCTCTCGTTTTATAATTTAGAAGCTTCTTCCAAACAAATCATTACTCACAGAGCCCTATTTTACCAACTAAGAGAATGCAAGGAAATATAATTCAGGCATGGAAATATATTTCATACTGATTTTTGGAGAATATAGAATAACATGTGAGATTCTCTTTCAGAAAATTTTTAGATCTGGGCAGAGAGTGTCACGCTGTAAGTTTTGAATTTTACCAAAATAATGAATTATGCTGGCGTTAAATTTGTAGCGAAAACTAAATAAAAACCGATATACTTGCGTTTTTTTATAGAGAATTTGGTTTTAGGTATCTTTATGTTGTTCTTATTATTAATCTAGTAAATTTTGTGAGAAATCTGTTATGAAGTCAAAATATCAGCCATTGAAAATAAAACTTCAACACTTGCTAGAGTAATACAATAAGATTAAACAGCATTCCCTGCACTTTTCCTATCATGAATCCTTTAAAAATCATTTACAATGAAATTGCTCAAATCTTAGAGCAATCTTCACACTTTTTATCTGCAGTCCTTTCAGAATACCTGTTGATGAAGGGAGCTCACAAAGCAGCAATGAATGCAGTGATTTTAAACAAATGCATCAGAGCCAGGTATTTACAAAGTAATACAATCATTGTCAATTTATTAGCAACATATATTGTATAGAAATCTTAAGGACTATAATTGGTTCAGTGGAGCAAGAAATTTTCGGTTTTTAGGTATATGTTTTTGACACTGTGAGGTTAAGTGTGAAAGTTATATGTGGTAGTCCTATGAAAATATCTAAGATATTCTATAAACGACAATTTCGCAAAAGTGAGCACATCTTAGCAAAAAGTAAAGACGCAGGATTGTTCATCACAAAATCCTCAGAGCCAAGAAAATGTGTTGGTTATACGGTCAACTGCCGTGGGGAAGGCCAATTTAAGAAAATAAAAATTTCCCTGCCTTGCTTCCATTGTTTTTCCTGAATATTTTCTCATAAATAAGCAGTATACATAAATATTTGCAGTCCTTTAGCCTTCTGGTGCCAAGTGCTAATTCAATGAAATAAAATTTTTGAATAATGAAATTTTGAAAAAATTCAAACTAAATCTGTAAATGTTGCTTTTACCTGGTTATAGGTTGTGGGAGAACTCAAAATTTGTATCAAGGCAACTGGATAAAATAGGTAATAAAGCCTTTATTATATCAACAAATGTATAACTGTATATTATATTATATTATATTTATTATATTATATTATATTATAATCTACTATATTTATATTATTTATATTATTATTTATCTATCATTATATTTATAGTGTATGTTATCGAATCTATATGGTTATATACCTTATTTATTAATATTTATTATCTACATCTAGTTATTATATTGACTTATGATCTATACTTATATTATATTATTATTATATTATTTATATTATATTATATTATATTATATTATTATCTAATATATTTATATATATTAATATGATTATATAATTATTATTATCATGGTATATTATATTATATTTCATAACCTAACTCTTTTTAGGGGCTACTATGTCAACAGCCTTAGTGCATGCAGGCCTTACTACATTGGAGAAAATGGAGAACATAAACCCTAGAGAACTGGAAATGGTTATAAATTTATTTTACTTAGAATTTTCAGGATTCGTTCTCATTGAGCTGCAAGCTCTCAGACAGATATGTATTTTGTGTTCTCAATGTCAGTACTATAGTTCTTTTATAGATAGTGTAACTAGTAAATTTGTGATGTTAATTTTTATTGCAATGTAAAAAAAGTACTAAAGTTGTAATCATCATAAAAGTAGGGTCATAAACAACATAAGCCTCAATAAGTGGTTAGCTAAGGTAATAAGCAATGCCTCTCATTAATCAAAACTTTAGAATCAGTCAACACACTCTCATCTCCGTATCTTTCACTTTTTCTCTCGGGTCATTCGGTAATACATAACTGCCAGGAAATCTGAGATTTATAATACATGATTATAATAACAATTCCATTATAATACATTCTTACAATATAATTATAATCCTATACTGAAATGCATTTGTGAATAAACTCAGTTATTTGTTCAGTTGAACAAAATCAATCTTTCTGTTATTTTCATTTAGATCGTTGGGAGGCATCCACCATTTGGCAGTCAGGTATAAAGCATATTAAGTGTTTTAACTGCCACTATTGCCACAGACTTGATTAATGCTCAATCAATATAAGCTTTTTCATAAATGTCTGACTAAGTAAAAAGTTGCCCCTTTCTTTTCCTCAATTACAACTTTACTCATAAAGTATCATTTATAAAAGGAAAGTTCTTATTATCACACTGGCAAATCTATGATCCTAAAAGATGAAGTTTCATTCTTGGAAACACTGAATAAGAAAGATCCAACAGTACAATTCATTTGAAAAGATCGTGTCCGATTTAAATGTCTTGAAGTCCAGCAAAGAATATAGAATGACTGAAGCATTTGCTTCTGTAAAAAAGTTTATCCATCGAATTATGCTTCATTTCTATGGAACGCAGATCAAATTTAAACTCAGTACTCACTGCAGCTGTTGATTAAAATACTTTTAAATAACATAACACTGCATCAGCCAAATTGGTAAATGCAACAATGTTCAAAATTATCTCAATGTTTCCCAGGTAAAAGACGCATTGGCAGCCCTTCCAAAATACGATATAGCTATCGACCAGGTACCGTTGTAATCTCAAAGATAATAACATGTTTTTCTTCATACATATAAACGAAAGAATTATGAAAAACATGCCAGGTTAACTGCAGCTTCGAAAATGCTTTAAAATGATAGCAGAACAGGATTCAAAAAGATATACTGAGAGAGAATGTAAGCGAGTTACATGACCAGAAGGACAGGGTGGAACCCGCGGCAGAGTAAATGTCTTCATCTTTTATATTTATAAGTTTCAACTTAATAAAAACAAAGTCCACGTTTTTGAATAACTACAGCTAGCAGCATGTCATTGAATGTATTGCTCGTAAAGAAAATTAAGGGGCCGTCTCCTCAGCGAATGGGGTACAATTACAAGTACTCGGAATTGGAGAAAAAAAGAGGTCTTCCACACACAATGCCTCACTTTCTAGCTACTGGTATGATAACACATTACTCAAGAGTCTCACTAACTCAAGTGATAGGTATGCTCTCATGTTACACAGGACGAGAACTACCAGAAGGACAAAGCAGAGCTATACATAAAGCTGACAATGTTAAATGCGGAGACACGTTCGAAGCACACCAAAACAAAGAAAACACAGTTCCATCACAGCTCATTGTTTCTAATCGCTGATGCCTCAAATGCCATAATTTTCAAACAAAGATTGATGTATGTTACATAAATTTCTTTATTACACAATTCCTAGTCACTGAGGTGTTTTTTGGAACGATTCTGTAAACGTCTATAAATCCAGTCCTTAACCTGCTGAATGCAATTTTATTTTACCAATACTGCAAAATTACATTGTTTAATATTCTATAATGAAGATATTTTGTAGATATACCAAGCCCAAATATATCCATTTCAATTTGAATATAATGGTTGCGTCCATCTGACAAGATCCATCTTATCGTTTAAGGGATTCAATGTTCTTCAAGGAAGGCAGTTGGTCAAAACATATAACAATCAAGCGAACACATAGAAGCGCAGAATTGACTGCAAATCTTATAAGCTCTGACTACGGTATTTCAACTTTCTACTTAAAAATTTCCAGTCAGCTTTGGAAATATTAAAACTCTTTGCAAAAACTTTGGGTGTATTCCTTTCTAAAAAATGTAAAATTTAATTCGGTATTTCGTTGAGTTTTTGTAATATTTTAAAGCAATAATATTTCCGATATTGACGTAATAATTGTAGCTGTTCACAATTCCTTGCCCAAAGTACTGCATTTCTAATAAACACATCTTCACCGAATCACTATTTTTCCTGGCTAATGCATTTTACCATTTTCCCATTTTACCTTTAGTTGGCGTCGACTTGCAGCTCTCCTTTACACCAAACTACCTGCCTGGCTTCCCAACCTATTTCCCGGTGTGTATCGAATACTTTCATGTTATTTGGTTGTTGAAAGAAAGATTACGCAGGTTCTGTATATTGTTCTCATAGTGAATCATACTAGTGTACAGACAAACAGTGAAATCGTGTGTAATAGACTCTTTAATTCAGCTACGTTATTCACACTAGCAATTTCCCTTCTCCATTTTTAAACACTGCGGGATTTCTCTCCGTAAAAATACACTACTCGAACGAAACTTGCAATTTTGAACTAGGGTGGTTGAGCTAAGGTGCTGTTCCAAGAATGTGTTAGAGGGAAAGGAGCAATATAGCTATTTCTAAAATGAATAATAACGATGAATGTATTGATAACGGGCTATGGTCGAAGCGTCGTTTATTCATTTAATCATATTATTTCCTGGTACAATTTACTTACATTAATCGTTATTATAGCATTATATTGTACCGCACGCAATCCAGTATATTTATTTCTAAAATGAACTAAAGGAAAAAGATTGAGAAACCACTGAAAATGTTTCGATGTTCCAAGCATTTTTGGCAAACATTGTTTATATATACCCTACGATATCTTATAGATTGATATATAGTCGCGTTAATAAAATCAGTACATGACCGGGAAAAGAACAGGGTAGATTTTATACAAAGCTTTTTACAGAAGGATTAAACTCCTAAAAGGGTATTTCCAGCAGAACTAAAAATCGTCAGTTTCACAAAACTCTCCTCATAACTTTGGATCAGTCTCCTCATAATGTAAGGTTTAATTCTCTACGTGTTTTTGCTAGAAAGAAAACACGATGCGAGATGAAAACAAAACGCCCTCAAAATGCTTGGAAAACAAAGGTAAGATGATCTGTCGAATATTGACCAAGTTAAACCAACACTACTAAAAGCTATCACATCGAATGCCTCCTCCAAACCAACTTCAAAACAGCTTTTCTTTTGAACCTCTGCTCTGAAAGTCTTTCTCTATTTTTGATTAAGCATGACCATTCAATAGATCATTCTTAATGAACCATTTTTTGCAGAAAATGCGGCTGCTGATTCAAAAACTAAAAGAAGGAAAAGTTGCACACACAAATGCCTCAACAAAGACTGATATCCTTTTTCTGCCAATAATTATAGCTACTCGGATAATATTTCTATCAATCTTTTAAGTAATTCTGGATTCAATTATGTACAAGAAACCGTATTTTTTGGCCTTCTTTTAGGACTAACGCAGACTGGCAACTGTTACTATACTCTGGATACTAGAGCCACAAAATTACGAGCGCAGAAATGGAAGTAAATAGTGGAAATCGGATATTCTCTATTATTTCTGCACTTGATACTGTTATTAATCAAAGCTCTGAGCCAGCAATAACACCAGAACTCCTCTCTCAATTTCTCATATCAACGAACATGCTAGCAGTCAAGCAAATATTGTGAGACATCTAGTAGGTTCCCTCCAATTAATGTGTCCATTTAGCTTAAAATGCTTTATATATTGCTGAACACATAGGATCACTATTACGGACAGTGGCAGATTGGAATTACCAAAAACTGAAAACTTCTTAAAGGGGGTTTGGGATCACCAGAAACCATAAAAATACCATCAAAAACCACGACAATCACTTATAAACCATTACAAAATCACAATCACAAATCACTAGAAAATAAATTAACATATAACCTGCCATTCACCATGCAACATCAATGCAACTCAGAAGCAAAATTCTGTTTTTCAAGAAGGTCGCTTGTTCTTTTGATGGCCAGACAGCAAATATCCTTGACAAAAACCACGTGCGGCCACCAATGCTGCAAATATGGGGTTGCTGTAAAAGAGGTAAGAAGTGAAAAGAAATTGGACCAGGCTTCTGATGAACAGGTATGTAAACAGACTCATAACGCTTTTGAAACAGCTTCTTGTAAACTGAATTCACTTAATAGAAAAGTGATTTTTACGTTTAATTACTATTTTTGGCAATTCTTTAGGCAATGTGTCCCGATTAAATATCATATAAAAGTTTATGTTAAGGTTTAATCAATACTTGCCTATTCTTACTATACTAGCTTTTAAATATTCTAGTATACATGTAAGTGGGTTACAACAAGCGAAAAATGAATTCTACATATATTCATAATTTTGAACTTTATTAGGGGTTTCAAGAAACAATTTCTAGAGTAGAGACACAAATTTGCTTTGATATGCCGAAATAAATTATTACTCATAAATTTATGTAAAATACTCTAGACACCGAAGAGGCAAAAATCAGACCAAACGAATCCGAAAACACCAGCAAAGCGAAAAGGTATACCACATCTAACAATGTTCAAAGAAACATCACTTTTTATTATAGAAGACGTCAGGTGCTGAGTTTCAAAATGAATGATTACCTATGATGATGTTCATAGGGCATAACTGACATCACTAACCAGTAAAACATCAGGCATTTCCTGCGCAAACGCAAAGTTTAATGAACTGATAGTGTATAACTGGAGGAAAAAGGCAGGTAAGCAGCTCGGGGTAGATAGCTGAGTTTATAAGCTATTGGTTGCCACAAGTGATTTTCAGTACGGATGATAGGCGTGCCTTGAGTACGTCAGGCTAGTATGTGACACGTGAATAACGTTCTCCGCCGGGAACCTCGTAGTCTCTTGAAAACGATAATTGATTAAGAACGCTGTATCTTAAGAAAATTGGCAATCATTCTAGGCAATGCTATGGATGGGTTCTTAGAAAAGCTGTCAAGCAAAAAATCTACCTTGCCGGACACTCCCGGAGCCAAACGCATCAAGGTTAGTATTCAGTATACTGGCCGCATTATCTACTAGATAATTTTTGTTTTACTTTCATATGCCATATATACTTTTCTTCATGACGACAACACAACCACTTAAATCGTCACGAAAACATTAAAGATCTTGAAGATATAAAGATGACATTTGTCATTTATACAACAAGCATGTTTTTCGCAATATATTTTTGTGTACATTTCAAAATTAAGAATGCCTGGAAGTACATTTCAAAATTAAGAATGCCTGGAGAACACAACAACAAAGGCATACAAAAATACTACTCCACTTGGGCATATTTTAGACTCTTATACTGGAATGTAAGGGGAATCAAAACCATACTTCAAGTGGAACCACGAATATAGCTATCATAATTGCATTATGAATGACAATTTACTTCTGTAAAAGCATATTTTAACGCCCCAAACTAAATCCATTTTCTCAGTATCCTGGTACCATGCATCATTCCTCAGAAATAGACGATGACTCCACAGACGATCTGTTGAGATCTGTACCATCTTCTAACCTTGAGATGAAATTCAGTTACCAACCAAGGAAAGTCAGTTTCAAGGGACTACTCAAAAAACTAAACGACGGCAACTCTACTGCTAGCAGTTCATCACCGGTAAGGAATTTCTCCTCTACCTTACGGAATAAGCACTTAATACTATCCATGGTTAAAAATCAAAGATCGCAAGTAGCATTCTATAAGTATGGGGAAAAGCTTAACCGATAGGAAAAACAATAGCTGTCCAACGATCGCGTGCAGTCAACCATAAATTTATCGAATCAGATTTCAGAAAATGTCCTGGTCTTTTTTATCTATGTTGGGCGCCATCAGTTCATCATTTCATCATATTCTCTCTACCCCTACCAAGGCCACTACATCACATTCAACAGACAAATACAATAGGAATGAAAGAAAGCTTTTTTACTTGAAAACTGCAGCAGACCAAGGGTCAACGTGCTATGTAAGACTAAACTTCAAACTTCTTCATTTATTTCAGCCTTCACCAACAAAGCAAGGCAACATGAGAACCCCATCCGGCATTGTGGATGACTTCCAACATCTAAGATCTGGCAGCAGACATTCTAGTTCCTTTGGAAGTGGAAACAAAACATCTTCCATATCACACTACGGTATTGTATTATTTACTTTCCAATGCCGTGGCACATCATCTACCTTTATTGCTGTCAGTATAACTTCCATATTGCAAAATAACTTAACTGCTTTATTTTTGCAGACGTCTTTGGCGATGGCCAATTCAATGATATAGATGATGAAATACAATGCGACTTCAGCTTGCTTCCTGACGACATTCTGAATGACAATAGGGTTACCTTCCTTCACAAGGGAACCGAAAGTCTTCCTATCAGAAATAAGGCCAACAATGAGCGGAAATCAGAAAAAAACAGTATCTATTATGAAGATGATGGATGTTTTCAGTTTGATGACGATGAATTAAAATACGAGTTAGAGAGGAACATCGAAAATGAGGTACATTGGAAAAGCAAATAAAATCATTTTTCTTCCGGTTAACTTTTTTCTCAAATTTCTAATTGAGTATACAATCAAAACTTTTACAATCAAATCTCAAATGTTTGTAAAGAGGTTAAAAAAATACACCATTGAACACGTCCACAATGGTCAATAATTGAAAGGGAAAATGAAATGAAAACATCGTTATCCTTGTGATTAGAATGGAATTACTTTGCGATGCATAACGAAATACAAAATTCAATGACATTTCGCAACCAAATTCATTTATTGCAATAGTTGTCTTTAAACTCAACGCTTCATTTGCAAATTTGCATGTTTACTGACTATTAAACTTTTATTAAAAACATTTATTATATTTTAGTGGGACATTTGGAGCAAAAGCAACACGACGAAAGAGATTAAGGCTGAAAGATTCTTCCAAGCAGGTGCCACAAACATGGGCAATAAATTCGATATGACACGGCATGGTCCAGAGTTCTCAAATGGACCAAAAAGTGGGACATTTGTGAAAATAAATCATAGGAAAAATGTGGGGGAAACTAGGAATCAGTCTGCCGGAGAGAAAACAGATGCACTGAAATTAACCACAAGAGGCAGATCTTTCACGAGAAGCGACAATGATATTGTGCTTAGTAGAAAACCTTATTTAAGTAGCGTAAATGGGTCGGATCAGAATGATAGCAAAAGGCCCAAGCAGCCTATTAAGGGACAGTTCGATAAATACACAAAAGGATCTTGGGATGCAGATGTTGTGGTTGTAGAATGGGCCAATGAGAACCACTCAAGAGAACAACAAAGCATTGCAAAGGGAAAAAAGGCAGCATCTGATGAGATAGGGACTGGAATGTTTGTACGACAGCCTGATTATTATGATATAGAAGATGTAGATATAAGCGATAGCCCCTTCTGTAACTTGACGTATGATAGCAACCCAGTTTCTAGAAGAGACTATGAACCAGAAAAGAAAAAGCATGAAGCAACCGAAAGACAACCATTCAAAGTACTATCAAGAAATGCCCAGTACCAAAGCATGAATGGGAACATGGGAAATGATCAAGGGCTGTTTTCTCCTGTCTACAAAAGAGATATAAATTGCGACACAGAAGTGCTAACAATTTCTTCAGCAGAGAGCGAGACTGGAAATGGGGTACAAGAGCGGAAAACAGGCCACTTTGGTTTATCGATTAATGGTAACATAGATTCAGATGAATCTACCAGCAAGGCGGCTGAGCTAGAAAGGTATGACGTATGAAGCATCTCTCATGCAATATCAGTTAATCAGCTTGCAATTTGTTAATTTAAATTAAGAAATGGAGGGACGTCAGTTCAGCATAATTTTCAAAGGGATTGATGACAGTGCTGTAAGTGAAGATGCGTATCAAGCTGCGGAGTTGACAAAATTGCTGTTGCACCAGAGTAACAAATTTGTTTGACCAAATACTCAGCAAAATCGCCGAAAAAATAATTGTATACTGCTAATTACTATAGCCCCCTGATACTAAATCCACTAGAAACTCACTTAAGCCACCCAAAAAGTCCCTGGCCTGAACCAAATTGGCTCTTAAAAATAACAGGAATACAGTAACACACTATTAATGATGACTTAAAATCAAGTAGGTATAGCCAGGGAGCTTGAGGGGTCTAAGAAGTCCTTTTCTAAATTTGCTATTGTTTTTTAGAATTGTATAGTATGGCTTCCTTGTTCTTTTCATTGCACAATATTACTGGTTGAAATCACATTGGTATACAACTTGTTGTCAAGCAAAACATTAATGCCCCTTATATCTGATATTAGGTGTAGGTCGCTGCCTGGGGACTGGTTCGTGGACGAAAGCAAGTATGTTTTTATATCTTTTTATCTATAACACGTAGTGAAATCCAAAGTAGTGAAGTCGTTTTGTATTTTTTGACATTTGACAAGTAGCCAGACATCACACACCAAACACCCTTCATTGTCAAATGAAAGCCTCCCCTGCGGGCACTGCAGCTTTTAATCCATTGAGAAATAACTCTATACCTACAAAGTGGTGCTATTCAAAATTTAAACTTGAAAATGGCATAAACCTGAAAATACCTTTTCATATCGGTGTTGCTACATAATTCTCAAAAACGTTCTTGCTATCTCTGACACACATCCGTGGCACTTTTGGACAATTAATCAGATAAAACAACCTTGAATCCTAAACATTTTCATTTATGCTTCAATCTGCAGAGAAAACATAACATTGTAGATATCCACCAAGCCATTGAGTGAATTTCAATTCCAAAGTAGCTTTATGTAAAAAGCAACCGTGGTTTTAATATAGACGCTAGCTTGGGCCAGTTTGGAATCTCAACACAACTTTTTCCAATCAAGGTTTTTGAAAACTTCTTCAAAGTCTCCCTCTGCCTCTTTTACCACATACAGCTCCTGTGAATTAATTATTTTCAACATTTTTTACGTCGAAACATGCCCAACGAAAGCCATCTGCATCTGGCTTAGTGATTTTAGCAAATCCATTCTATTTAAAACGAATTCGTTCGATTTTCTCTAAGTCGAAGCCATTATCTAGAGAAATCATGACTTGCAAAACACACAGCAATAAACGTGGGCTCCGAAAAAACCTCACAAGTGCTGCTTATCTCTTTTTAGATGCAACGAAGAGGAAAATGAGTTCGACTTTTGCGAAATATGACAAGATTGGAAATTATGTTCAAATCAGGTTGTAGTTGAAGACTGAATAATTTACAGTTATCACTAGAGAAGCACTATGGAAATACAGTAAATGCCCATTACATACAACACTGTGCCTCAAGCTACTTCTTGCATATCACAGAACATACAAGAAAAATGATGTTGAATATGTTAAGACCATATTATGTGTTTCATACTTTACTTTAAGTTAGAGTAAAAATCGTGATGGTGAAAATGATAATTGTTCTATTAATTTTCACAGTTTAGCTGTACATTAACCCTATTTTCTTTCAGTTTATACTGTTATGCTGTTACACATGCAAAAACGAATCTTGTTTTTAGTACCACACCAGCAATGGGTATTTTGTTATGAGTTACTAATAACTTAACCAACTCATCATATCAGGTCTACAGAAAAAATATTCTCTTCTGACTTTAAAAGGCATTTCACCAAAATATTCGCTCACAGATTTCTCAATTCAATTTACAAACAAATTTAAAGAAATCATTTTTTGCAAAAGTTAAAAATATTATTCATAGAGTCATGGGTTCGCAACACGACCTCTTAAAAGCCACTCGCTCCACTTTTCTTTTTTAAAATAAACACTTATTATTGATATAAAAAATTATGGAAAAAATTGATATAAGTCAAGGAATCTTACTTGCTATAACTTTTCTAAAATTCTATCCACGATTATATCAAAATCTCTAGTTAATGTCGAATTCTCTTTTTCGTATATTGATGATCCTTGCTCGCAGCATTTGACGAACTCCTAGAAGATGAAGTAAGATCGATGATAATTCCGTCTAAACACGAAACATTTTATATGACTCTTAACATAGTTTGCTTTTCTCACTTACTTTTGACAGACAAAGTCTTGTTTTTCGCATTGTTTTTCAACAAATTGAACGCATGTGGAGAAAATAGAAGAAAAGAATGCGGGTTTATGTAGAAAATTTAAGAAGGATGTCAAAACATTTCTATATTATAACTTGGCGGGATTTTCAACATTATAACCTTAGCATAGTTAGAAGAAATAAACAAAACCAGAAAAAGACATCTTTAGATTATTAATTTGGTCTGAGTTCACTCTTACAGATTTTTTGCGAGAAAAATTCACCTGGTCGATAGGAAGTCGTCCTAGAAACTCAATTCCATATTGATTACAGAGCTCTTGCGTGCCTTTGTTAACGAACAGATCAAACTCTTCCTACGGTGAAATAAGACTCTCTTTAAAAAACGGTTTAAGGCTTTCTTTGAACGCATGATCTACTAACGATCGGTTCCGCAACGGATCTTCAAACTAAGACTTAAATACTTGCAGAAGAAGATGAAAAGCATTGGTTGTTGAGAGAATACTGTGCAAATGTGCTCGAGCAGTTGCTTTCAAGCTAAACCTTTTGCAGATACAGCAAGCTTCACGCAATTTTTAAAAAAAATGAAGCTATGTGAAGCTAAGCTGTGAAGAAAGAGGCGTCCTTGTGAAGGACTATGATTTGTTAATGGTGATGTGAACATAAAAGCTAGGGATATGTGCTCAGTTTCCTGATTATTTTTCAATGTACTTAATTTTACTTGTTTTTTTAATTATTTTTATAGTACTTAAAGTTCTGGTAGGTTTCTTGTATACTAAGTTTTAAAAACAAATTTAAGAAACACAAAAACGTAACATAATGTAACCTTAAACAGAACACATTGCTTCTTTCCATGATATATGTCAACATGAAATAGCTGCCAAATCGTCCAAAATTATTATTTCCTTCACATCTTCCAATAAACGATTCATTTATTCAATTCGAGATTAGACTCCTTGAAGAAAGACTCCTGTAGATTAGAGCTTGAACCTCTAGATCGGTATAAGCAAAACACGAATTTTTTAAGAATCTTAGCTCAGAATTCCTTCTTGGTTTCTTGATTGTTGTTGTTGATTTTAGAACTAAAAGTTTCTTGAAGCTTCCTTAAACAACCAAAGTGCTAAAGAGTAACATAACATAACATAACATAATATAACATAACATAACATAACATAACATAACATAACATAACATAACATAACATAACAAAACATAACATAACAAAACATAACATAACATAACATAACATAACATAACATAACATAAACATAACATAACATAACATAACATAACATAACATAACATAACATAACATAACATAACATAACATAACATAGTCAGTCACAAGGTAATTCTCTTTCTAGTGTAAATCTCAATTGAATCATAAGTAGGTACTTAATCATCTTAAAGAAAGAGTTTCGAGAAATTTCTTTCTTAACTTTATAGTTACCTTTTCGCTAGGCTTTTTAAATAAAATTTCTCACAACAATGTGTGTATTGCAAACATGAGCTGCCATGAATATTTTATCATACCCTTTAGATGATAACTTCAATCTCTTCTACATACAGATATTACTTCTGGAATTCAACTAAACATGCTTTATGAAAATCGATTCTTTGTTAAACTCGTGCCTTTAATCGTGTTCTTTAATGAAACAGCGTTTTAGAAACTTCTCAAGAGTGCTTAGAGTTTCAATATGGAGTGTGGGGCATGGTTTCCAATAAAAAACGAGCTTAAAGGAAATGTAAGTAGATGAAGCCCTTGAATGTTAGCCCTTTCAATCCTGGATGACTACGAAATAATGTTTTTTAAAAGGGTAAGTTTACCATCACAGCTAACAGAATCTGATTCGTCAGTGACAATAAACACAAGATTGTTGGCCCATTTCTTACAAAATAAATTTTACACATATTAATTACATGATTACATAGATTCAAACGTATTTAAAAACATAAAGTTGTACATGAAGTTCATACTTAAAAGAGTTATGGATAAATTATGAATAATAGGCGAATAAAGTTATTCTTTTTCGCGGATTTACACATATACGCTGCATTAAACATAGCTAGTACACTGTCTTTTACATTTCACGATTCTGAATCGAAATATGCCGTCAAAACTTCGACAGAGCATCACATTGGCAATAGACATTTTGTCGAAGCCTTTTAACTGATGAAAATAAGATTAAGGAAAATACTGAAGATTGGTTTAACTTCCTTTGCAACATCTTCTGCGTTTAGGCTTGGCCGACAGCGATAAATCACCTGAAAAGCCGGCCAATTACCAGTTACAATAACTAAACCTTTTATCAGCCCAGTTCAGTTCAAAACAAACGACATGATTAAAGCTAAAGCTTGGCTTCTAAGGAAATGAAATGCAAAACTTTCTGTTCCTGATCCAATTTGTCCAGAGCACGATCTAAAGCTGCACTGTCCTTCATAGAATTAGCTAATTCAACGCTTTTTGCTAATCTTAAATTTTTTTCGCGTTCTAATGTATGATGCCTTGATGACTTAAAAATGCCGAAATGAGATCCACATTTTTATAAAATAAACACTTCTGGCAGGACCTTTCTTTTCCGCAAGTTTTAAGCCCATATCTCATATCTACAATTGCCAGGTGGTAATTTTATGCTACTTTTTCAACATTTTTGCACCATTTTCTTTGCTTCCATCAAACTCAGGTTACCAATCTTAAACAGGCAATTGGTTAATTTTTGACTTGAAATCAAAATTGAATCCGAGAATTTAGTGCACGAGAAGCGAATAAGTCCATGGTCAAAGGACGACGCAGTTAAATTTGAGAAATGCAACAATTCATTTAATCGGAATGATATTTCCGTGTTTGCTGTTAACACAGATTTTGCCAAAACTTGACATAGTCGAGGGCAAATTAAACACAGAGGCCCATCTTGGTCTCAAAATCGCAACCTAGTCTAAGAACACAAAAATATTCATGAAAAGTTACATTAAGTTCAAGACACGGACGCATGTGGAATCGAACCACATGTTTGCTTTTCAAAAACACAGAATATACTCACATGACAGCAGGGACACACGTAGCCACACATGTTGGAAATTACTCCAATAATTTTCAGGTTCATTTTTCTACAAAAGCTGATCTCTCTTTTGATGGTATTTAAAGCAATGTCCTGTGGGGTTGTAACTAACACAGCTCCATCAGGAGATACGTTCTTCAAGCACTTGACAACTGTTAAATGTTCATCTGAAGTACCCGGTGGAGTATCTGCAGAAAAAGTATATAAATACTACTAAGAAACTCAGTTTTGCTTCTTTGTAAGATCCATAAAAACTAACTTTTGTAAGCAATTGCACTTAAGGGCCTCAAGGGTCAGGAGTTCGAGTCCATGACATGACCAATCTTTCACACAGAGTGAGGGGAGTCGCCAGCTCTCTGCAATTCCAGGCGCAGGAATCAAGAGGAGCGGTCATATCGAGAGGAAGGGCCAGGACACTGCTCGATAAGCCTTGCTTTTCAGTGTACTAAAAACTACCTTCGGATGATGGGTAGAAACAAATACAAAACATACAAAAAAGTGAAGCACAAACATTGCAAGGATGGTCTTTTCTTCTCGTCCATTCAGGATTGTTTACAAAATATAATTTTTTTTCGTTAAACCAATTTCTATCAAAATACCTGATGATACCTGCTCTTACCACCATCGTTGCCTTGGTAACTGACTAAATAGTCACTTTAGGTTCCTTGAATCGTTACCCAAAAATTGTAAATTTCCCTTAAATTCAATTGATTGACTGAATACTATCCAGAAGCGTACAGCGCACTACTTTCGAGCACAGAATATAATGAAAAATGTAAACAAATAGGATATTTTTTCGGAGTGACTGGGTATTATGTTTTAACATTTGTTTGAGAACTTTCTCAAACCATAAAAGTTTATGTAAAAGAGCCAACTCTAAAATTAGACTTCGTTTACTTCGAGATTTTTAACTTTCGAAGACAAATCTATCTAAATTTGTTAAGCACATTTCAGTAAAACGTGAGTGTAGTTCAACTTGTCGATTGAAAAAAAAAATGTATTCAGATTTTTTCATTGATTCTTTGTCGACGTTTTGATGCAGTTTATCTTGATATTTTGAGATTCATTTTGCAAATAGAGCTTCATGTATTACGATATGACATCATAAACATGTATTCTTAAAATTCTTGGGTTTGGACCTATCACATAAAAGAACACCATGAAATGTCTCTAAGTATGCAAAATCAGCTACAAGTGTTCAAATTGGCTGAAACATAACCAAAGAAACACGGACGTTTCTTACCGAAACACTAGCATGGTTCGGCTATAGTGGGGTACCATTTGCATGAGAGCGACGGTTCCGTCCCAACATCGTTCTCTTGGTATCAACAGAAATCAAAACTTTGAACCGAACCAAAACAACAGTAATCCTTTAGGGAAAATTAGTTCTATCACTTGGGTCATTCCATGTCAAAGTGGACAAAATCTTTGTCACCCATCCTTTCAGATTTTGCTAGGTTTTTGAGAAAATGTAGCTAGCTATGGGTTGTACAGAAATTTCAAATGAATATCTCAAATAGCTCCAAAAACAGACAAATTTGAAATTTCCTGTTTTTCATCCCAATTTTTCATCCCAGGTTTGGCATATTCCACTCAACTTGCAACAGATGTAGCTGATCTTCAAGGTATTGTCAACTAGCATTTTAATAAATATGCAACAATCTACATCATTAACTAGATTTTTCTTAAAATTCAATCAACAAAAATTATCCTGCTTACCAAAAACTAGAAAATCGAGTCTTCCCCAAAATGTATCTTTGAGAAACCTTTTTATCATTCCTGCAAATAAAAACTTTTAAATTATTTAAAGGTTTATCTGACAAGGTCAAAATAAAGCACAGTCAGATTAGGCTCGATTACATAGAATTTATTCAGAAGATGTCAAGGCCGCTTCGTAATCTAACGCTAATCCCCACGAGGCAGTTTTCAATGAAATCGATTTCGTACGAGGCTGCAAGCAGATGACATGTTCGAGATAACTAACTCGTTTGTTAAAAAATGGTTCACGATTCTTGAAACTTTAAGAAGCCGACAAACATGCGTAGGGGGAATGTAGGTCCAGGAAAGAGCTTTTCAAAATGCTGATTATTTAAAGATACCGCCTGTATAATTTGCCTACTGCTAAACTTTGCCTGGTTTTACGCAGGTGAATATTGCGTTGTATACAAACGGCCGGCCTGAACATGCCCATTTGGTTCATTCAAGAACACAATGCGGGTGGCTGTTATTTTAATGATAAAATTAGAAAAATTGTCAATTTTCGAAATGCAGAGACGATGCTGGATCTTTTTTCAATTTAAACAGCAGATGCTATTTACAAACATGACAAGGACCCCATTGTCCCTTGCTCGTCTTTCATTCTTATCTACAAAGTCTTATCCATCAAAAACCTATAAAAACCTACGAAGACATAAAAAATTACTAGCGAAATTACTTCGTTTATGTCAATAAGCGTAAAGCAAGCCTAGACAAGGAATGGATTCAATATCAGTACAGTGTAGAGTGTTAATGGGCCTACCCGTTTTCCGTGGACCTCTCCAAACAACACTAGAAATAATGAACGTATTTATAGACTTTAAATAGTATCAATTATCAAATACTGTTGTGCTCAAACCACAAGTCAAATATGCCAGAGTAAAGGTGGCAATTATCATTTGCAAGACAACAGCAAACACGTGGGCATAATTATGAAGTCTTGCTTTCGAGAGCAATATTGTTTTTATAAAACGTGTTCAGGGAATAGAAAAAGCGAATGAATACATCAGTTCACATGACGACACTAACATTCAAGCAAACTTTCCATGATATTTAAAGAGATATAAATGAATTTCTAATCAATTGAGAATTTTGTTTAGAAAAAAATTTCGCCATTCAGTAAGACATTTTATTGCTTGAAATCTCCCATGATCGAAAGATTTTGATAAAATACATCTTATAAGTATTCAAAAGCAATAATTGAAGCAGGAATTTTGGCACATTTCCTTGTACACAAAGGCCTAACACATTTAAATATGAGTGTACTGCATCCAGAAAGCTTGTTTTGCTTAAGGCAATAGACTTACGTTGGCAAGAGTTGGACAATATTTATCTTTAGTAAGAAAAACAAACTCTTGAATCAGCGTCATTTCGCTATTATTGTTGATAGCATGAGATCTTTCATATTTCGCTTACACCTAGACGATCTATTCAGTTGCCAGGGATAGAATATCACCATAGTGATGCATAACGAGGGTAAAAAATCCAGGTTTACTCACGCGGAGTCATGGTCTTGCAACAGCGAGCCAACTGACATTACTTTTACGTTAAAATGACGGGATCTAAAACGAAGACAGTGGATGCAGGTCTGTTCTTTAAGCTCAAATTTACTTCAAGAATATAACAATCAGATACCTCATACCAAACAAAACATCAATGAAAACTGCAAATTTCACCTACTGTCACAAACAAATCTAAAAAAAATTCCATTAAATGATACAAAATATGGTTTTATGACTTACAAAAATAACTTAAATAAATACCACAAGAGATTCTCTATATGAAAAACATCTTTCATTTATTCTGACCCAGGAAATAGCCCACGCTCTGGGCACCAGTGTTTTAGGCAACACATCTAATATCTTTAAACCTAAAAAACATTTATTTATTTTTTAATTGATTTTACTCCTAATTCTTGAAAGTGATAAATTTCAAAAGGTTTTTGTTTCAAAATGTTTGCTTTTTCAAAGCCATTTTCAAAAGGTTTTCTAGAAGTTTTATCATACTTAAAGGTAATGTGTCCATCTAAAAGGGCTGCATATACCTAACTTGTCAAGTAACATCAAAATAACGGCTTGCGATTGGTCAGTATTCTTGCGATTCAAAACTGCTCACATGAAAAGCTAGCCTAGCAGTGTAGAAGATAAACAGAACAATCGAAATGGCTGGGGCGATAACATGAAAAATCGCATGTTTCTGAAAACCACCGCAGAGCTGCTTGCTCTAGCTGGACACAAACACTCCCCTCACGAAAGTATCCGGACAGTTTCAAATTCAGTTGCGAATCTGTTCTTAGAGAAATTTGTTTACAAATTTCAAAGTCAGTTTTCATGAAAACGTTTTTATCAATTTCCTCGAATTTTTTCATGAAGTTTTTTTGGCCTTTAACCTATTTATTCGTCGATAAAAAATAATCTTATCGATATGTAAGCAAACTCTGTGAAGGTTTTTCCTCAAAATGGTAGCGACCGAAACATCAGAACTGACTTCTGAGCAGTGTCTAGAAATAATGTTTTATCACAATGATGGGGAAAAGTTATCATTAAATTGCTAGTATCATTGGATGCAGAAAGACTGCCGCTTTCGAGATATGCAAAAAGATTTGAAAAACAAAAGTCTAAAAAATTGTTCACGGTTAAAAGCTCTCGCGCAAGAGCTCTCGCGACACCAACGTCTGAGTGTTCCGTCCTAATCAAATTTGCATCAAAACTGGTTTGCATCATTACGCGAAATTGCAAAAAATGTTCACAAACAATTGGACTTTTAAAAGCTGTCGTAAAATATTGCAAGGAAAATGATAAAGAATTGTGAATGTACCCTCGTACCGACCGATTTCAGCAAGACTTGCTTATTTGACATCAGTTGATTTGCATAAGGCTTGTAGCGCAAAGGTTTCTGATTTTAACAGAAAATGATTACGGATAAAAAGGGCAGAAGTTTTGCAGCATTTTAATGCTCTGGTTTATTTTGAAAGGGTTTCTCAAAAAAGTATTGTCACTAAGTTAAAAAGTCATTATTGCGTAAATTTGTTTTTGTCTGAAAGCGCAATCGATCTTCGAACTGTCCGAGTACTTTTGTGTGGCGAGTGTACCTTTCAATAAAATACTTTCTATAATATGAGAAAATTGCCCAAAGATTATTTTTGTTGAAAATTTGGTATTTTTGAATAACAAAAATATGAATATCTATGAAGAACAAAATTACAAATAGTCTGAAAGTTAATCCTTTATATAGTAGTGATTGTCAATTAAAGTAATCTTCAAAGTAGGAACTGGTATATTGATATGAAAATGGCTCCATAGATTGCAAATAGGCTATTTTGAACAAAAAAGGTAAATGAGATTAATATATAAGACCAATTTACTTTAATGGCTGCCACCCATAAGGTGTTTGCACCACCTGTTGGTCCTTCACATCCAAAATAAGAGGAATACTGGGGCCACAGATATCCAAGTCACAAAGACCAACCTAAAATATCAAAGCAAAAGTCATTAAGCTATCAACATATGGGATGAAAAGTGTTCTAGGCATACAATAGCAAAAGTCATTGTATTTTTAGATGAAAATCATGGGTGCATATCCGATGCATAAATAAAATTTCTGGTTCACTCTACTGGCATTAGCTGATGTGGAAAATTGATGGTTTGATTGCAAAAATCTCTAAAATATAAATCAAGAAATATATAAACCAATTTGAGCTCATACTGTTTTCTCTCTTTTCCCAAGGGCCATGCTTAATAGAGCTGCAATACTTGACTTTCCAACTCCTAAAATAAAATAGAAATTGAACAGAATGAATCACACAACCATACTTTATTAAATGCAATTAATTCAAGAATAGATCAAATAATTTTCTCTAATAAGAGACATCTTCATTGCTCAAACCTCAACTTTAAAATTGCATTCATTTATTTGTATTTCATGTCATATCATTTTAGGAAGCTGTTCCTTAAGCACAAAATTTCATTTCCATGCATTCATCAACATAATTATTGACATCAATTTGAAAAGCAGGGCATAAATTAACATCAAACAGTTTCATTTAAAAAAATAGTTTCATTTTCAATTGACATGCATAGAAAACTGTTCAGTATTCCTCGAGTGATGCATGTCTGTCAGGCCTCTTCAAGGTAAGATTGAATTAAAATAGTTATAGACTAAGGATAAGGCAACAGAAATACTATTAAAGAGAGGGAGGGGTTGAAAATCCACTACAAAGCTATTTGAGATGGCAGTAGTTTTCTGGAGCCTTTCCCTTCAAATTTCAGACAACAGTGTTGAAACAACTGTAATTAAAATAGGAACTCTTCCTATTTATGACTTGGTTTTGCAGTATTGAAAAAAAGTAGCAATTCATCTTCATCTTCAAAAGATTAGTGATGAAAGGCAAGTAGCAAAACCCATCTTTCCTTTGCCATTAGTAAAATCGCAACCAAAACACTAAAATACCACACAGATCAAAAGATCTCTACAGAATCTGAGAGGAATTTATGGTTTTGGCAAAATCAGACATTAAGGTCAAAGTACTTTTAGCAGCAATAATTTCGCAGCAAAAACATGAGAATGCCAATTAGCCATTATACCTCCTTTTCCTGAAAGAACAAGAATCTTGTGTTTGATTGCCTTCATTCTGACATCAATGTACTTCTGGTCTGGGTCAATGCCCCCTTGAGAAGAAAAAAATCATTGATAATTCATAGCCATCAAATGTTACAAATTTTAGAAAAAATCATGTGTTTGGATTAATTTGAAAAATTAAATAAAGTTCAAAAGAAACATAATAGAATAAAAATTCATTGAAATAATTTGAATATGATGAAAATAAAAACGTACATGTAATCTTAAAATTTCTATAACAAAAAAATGCTTAGGACAACAAGATGTGATTTAGATGTTTTGGATACCCCTAAAGGAGAGATGCATTAAAAAAATCATTTTTATCTTGATTTTTGAATTACACCTTACTTGAGATGGTTTTGCTTTCTAATAAATTGAAAACTGTATCATAGAATGATAAAGAATTAACAACAGATATATGAAAATAAAGAAGTAAATAAAATTGAAAGATGGCATGTTTGTTTTGCCGGGAAATAGTCTGGAGTATTAATTTTAAATATGACAATTTGCTGGCAAAGTAATACTGTGTTGTTATCTTTGTTGTAAAAGTAATATGATTTTGTATAAATAAGCTTCACCTCCACTTTGACACAAGGCCTGTCCTGGACATCCTTGGCATACCCTTGCCTTCCCAGCTTGATTCTTAAAATAAAAAAGACACCAAGTTTGTTACTAAAGAGCATCTATGAGACAACTGGGTTCACTTCATGTATCTAGGGCCACCTCTCAAGTTACTGGGCAAACAGAGTGAAAGATTTCGCCATCAATGCTACTCAAACTTTGTTTTTTAGTGGTTTTCTTATCAAGAAATGGGGCCTAAAAATAATGCACTTGAAATCATATTTTAAGTTCAAGCAAAGACTTTAACAAGGATGCTATATTTCAAAAACCATGTAGGGTCATCAAAATTTGAAGCCTGGGAGCTAGCCTGAAAGGAATAGTAGAAAATTTATACATTGTAATAGTTGCAGGAAATTATTTTTAGGATTTCCACCAGGCCTGGCCGTTTGTATTTTTATAGATGAGCTGTGAATCGCTTCCCAAATCAGTAACACATAGAATATACTTTAAAGACAATCAACAGATGATTTAATAAGCCCCTTTAGTATCTGTTGGTTGCCTTTAATAGCCTCAGTCAGGAGTATGCTGTTTTACTTCTTTCAATTTGTATTTGCTTTAACCGGGACTTAGGCACCCCCTTTACTTGAAGTATTTAAAAGAACAGACTTTCAGTTTCATGTAAAGCTGGCACAACACAAAAACAACAATTCTCTTGCAAAACAATCTTTTTGTTGCACAGAATTTGAAAATGGCTTTGAAAAAAAAAATTTAAAGCAAGCTGAAGTTATACGTCTAGCACTCTTCAGAGAATAAAACGTCAGGACATAGATGGAAAACTCTACGCTGAAATACCCAGTTTTGGATCGAAATAGGCCAATCAGAAAATGCGAGCACATGACTGTTGAGGTTGTCCAATCAGTGCCGCTTTCCTATTGAAAATATTACCAACGGAGTCCTAAGGTGAAAACGAACTCACTTATGTCTAAACAAAAGCGGTTGGTCATGTTTATATAGTAGATAGATTCACAAACTGCTAGATGGAATGATGATCAGGCTTTGCCAATAATGCGAAACATGTCGCCGTTATAGTTTTCACCCAATCTGGGTTTTTCAGTAAATGCCGCTGGATAGTGGAATTCCATGTTTTGGTTGTCGTTTTTGATCTGCATGACAGAGTACCTTGTTCTCTTTGAGGGATAGTTTTGTTTCTATTGCTGGAAGGGACCTGCTGTCTTATTATATCCCCAATCTACAATTCCTACCAATTTCTTCGACTTTCCTTCCAAAAATATTCCTGTTTTCTTAAGATTGAAAGGTTCTAATCGCTACAAATGTACCTTTCGGTTGACTATCTTTTTCCAAATAGATCGAAGTTTATGCCTATCATAACAAAAACCGCCCAACAAGCAAAAAGTTAATTGCAAAAAATGCAATGTCGGGAGAAATTGCTGTTACAAAAATAAACCAATTAACCCTTGTGCATTTTCATAATTCTCTGAATAGGAAATTTTAGGGGAGCGATTCTTCCTTCATGTTCTGTTTAGGAGAGCAATTCATCGCTCGCCTCAGGTTGCGAGGGGAGCGTGGAGGTGAGCGTGGAGGCCATCGCTCGCCTCAAACGGCAAGGCCTGATTTCCACATTAGTGACCTGAAATACTATCAATAAATATATTTATTTTCTTTGGCAAATAGACCCAACGCTCAATATGCAACAAGGCTACTGAACTACCTTTATTTCATTTAAAACATATTCTGTTGAACTACATAGCACACTTTAATCAGGCACCTGAAGGAAGTTTCAATGTCACACCAAACTTTTCTAAAGATCTAGTGTCCTACTCAAGATCTTGCTGGAAAGTGCTTCACTTTTCAGTTGAAATGAGAGGGTGATAAGTCCTTGGGAAAATCTTTTGCTGGCAACAACTTACTTCAAGCATGGTTGAATCCTTTTGTTACATTCCTTTCATTACTAAAGTTTTGCGCACAGTAATAGATCAGCTTGTGCCAAAATTCTCTATATAGTCTGTATGCTGTAATCTTAAAGCCCAGTGAAATCCCCTCTGCATTTATTCCTTGCTGGGTTTGTATTATGGAAAAACTTCAACATTTCAGAAATGAACTTAGCTTTAAAGTTTTTTTCTGGTAAATGAAGAGTATGAAACGGTGAAATGACATGAGCACAGAACCTAGGCATATAAAAACATGTGATATGGTTATGATGAATGAATTGAATCATAATTTCAGTTCCTTAAAAAACCAAGCGGTAATTCAAGGCAACCATTATAATTATAAATTATGTCTTTCAAAACACCAAATTTTAAACTAATTCTAATCCAATTCAAGTGATTTTGAGGTGTTTTGTGCCTCTTCAATGACAATGAAAGTATGCTGAGGTTTGAGAACCCTGTGGTACCCCATGGCTCCTTTTCTCTAGAAATTAGTGTTAGAGAAATTAGTATGGTCAGCAAAATGATTTACATGAATTGTCACACCCCGAAAGCCAAAGGGTATTCTTGTATTGCTTCTTGTTAAAAGTTTGCAGGCATTTCTCTGCGATAATTACAAGCATTGGTTCCATATAAGTAGCTGAAGTAATACATAGCTTTTTGCATTATAAATAGATCTTATTATCACATTTCGCGGGCCCCATCGGAGCACTGGCCCTGGATTTTTTGCCCCTCCTACGTATTGCAAGATTTCAGAATTTGTCTAGAATTTTTACGCCGCAAGTGTAGCATACATAGACGCTGCGACACTGGTATGATATTTGGCATCTGATGTGACTATTTAAAGCTGGAACACACAACACTGGAAAGCTACACAAACACTTTTGATAAGCATTTTAAGCTTACTATCTTTCGACTTCATATGAATCACATTATACTTACACTATCTGAAGGGCATTCCTGCAATCTTTGTTCAGAGTCATCATCTTTGCTCGTGTCCATTGTGATAAAACTGCTACACGCAAATCCACACATTCACTGATTGATATTTACAAACCCTGGCAAGTCTCTCTCTGGCTTATATTGCCGCCTATTTCAACCCAAAACGAGGATGCAGTTGAAGCAAATACCTATAACGCTGGAAAAGATCTTTTTTGGGAACACACACAATAAGCATTACAGTGGAGAATTGCAAGCCCGTAGCCAGGCCTGTGGGGTAGGGGTAGGGATGGCAAACTCTCCAAACCTGTTGCAGGCAGACGTTTCAGCAAAATATTTCTATCAGGGCCGTAAATCCCGGGGGGGACGGGGGGGGGGAACTGGACCCCCCCCAAAAAAGATCTTTAGCAAAACGACTTTTTTGAGAAATTATTTTCAGGAATCCCTGGTAACTGGGTTAGAACTAAACTAAGTTTTTATGTATTCTTGCAACAAACCACAGCCACTCTATGTCATGGTGTCAAGCACAAGTTGACTATTGTTGATGGCAGTTATTTATGTTTAGGAACATGCCAAAAGACAAAAAAGGAAAGAAGTTAAATTAATTTGCGTAAAAGTACCACGTCAATAAAGAAGTACTTTTGCATGTAATATAATATTTTTGCTCAGCCTCTATTTTTTTAAGAAAATTTTCGTTTTGAGCCCTAATATGTTCTCAGATACATCCTTTTTTTTAATCCGATATGATTTCAGGAAAAAATCGCTTGCTCTCGAATAGAAAACGCCTTTTCTTTCTTTCCCCGACGTCTGTCACTAGAGTTTAAGCATGACTCTTCCCTTTCCCAATTTCTCCCAGAACAATAATCAGTGTTCTTCTCAGAAACGTCGATTTGTCTATCCTGAACGGTATAGTATTTTGTTAAACTTGGTCTGGGAGATGCTTTTCTTGCTATTTAGAAGGTATGGTTTAAAAAATTTTCTTTCGCGTCGGCCCCAAACATGGTGGGTCCTCCTACATCACTAAGCGCGATTCTCAGCCCCTTAAGTTCAATTTCCTCAAGCTGTATTTGAAAAATGTTATCAACTCAATTATAAAAAAGTCAACGTGCTAAGAAATATCTGTAAATACCTTCTATAGAGCTAAAAAAACCTTACAAATCTAATAATCTTTCTTTTTGTTTTTTAAGTCGTTTGCCGCTCAAGCTGTTTCCATAACACATACCGTAAATTGCTTGGTGGTGCCATGACCCACTGCACACTTTATATTCATTTGCTCTGCTGACCACCCCAATTGACATGACAGATTTACGGCCCTGATTTCTATTCAAGACTTTGCTTAGCAGCGAAACTTTTTTGGTTGCCAGGCACCATCTTAAGTCCTAAATGGATAATAAGAGACCTCAATAAACAATTTTCTATCCGTCAGAATTAGCTTAACTCAAATTGTCATGACAATCCCATGATAACGAAGAAAAACGCCATTAAAAAGTTTAGAGAAAAAATTATCGGGTGGCAAATAGCTACTATTCTCTTGATCCAGGGTGGCATTGCCACCCCATGCCATCCCTTGGCTACGGGCCTGACTTATCGTAATCATCCAATGATATGTTCAAATCAATGCTTCTGTAGCAATATATTACAGTGGGCATGGCTAATCATGGGCTCCGACGCAGGTTGAAAAGTGGGGGCAGTGGCGTAGTGAGGGGGCGAGGGGGTAGCCAATTTGGTGTTTGAGAAATTTGGCTCTGCAATTTGGTGTTTGAGAAAGTGCAGATCTGCAATAGAATTAGTACCTCAGGGGGGGGGGGGGTTGATATTTAAGATAAAACTAAAACGTTGCTAGAGACTGCAAGCAAACGACTGTAAGAAATATTCTGAAATGTATTTTAAGCTAATTCAAAGGACGTGGTGGCAAAAGCTTTTCCTCATCTGTACCTCTACAAAATCTTTTACAATTTTCCCTCGTTTTAGGGTTTATGTAGAAAAGAATTTCACGTTCTTTAGACAACCGATAAAATAGAAACTAAACTGCTTCAGTCCTTAAAAAACTGGATTCTTAAATGCTTTTCGGGCATTTTGCGATTCTACTCCAAGGAGAACGGACTTAATTCGAAAATTTTGAACACTGTTTATTACCTTGTGGGAGGCCCTGCTAATGCACATATCAAGTCTTGTTTGGAAATCTGAGTGTGATTGTAAACTAGGAGCGCTATGGGAGTTAGATTTCCGACAAAGTACGAGAGTTTCCGAAATTTTCCGGCAAATACTGAAGCATGTTTCAATGATTTTGCATATTTTGTCCCCAATTGTGTGTGTTTTAACCGAAGTGACTATCATCTGAGTTGGAAAACATGTGCAAATTATCTACTCATTATCAATGTTTTTGTAATAAACTCTTTTTTAGAAAAGTTTGAAGAAACAGGCACGCCGGAGCCGGGTATAAAGGGTTTTTAGCCCCCTCACTTTTTCGAAAATATGATACCAAAGTTGTGGAACAAAGATAACACTGGAAAAGCTAGCATGAAAATTCCAATTTGGTTGAGAGTATCGTCTTTAATCGGGCTAAGAAATCAATCTTTGCTGTTTTTCTTCTGGTTAATTTTACATTCTGCTCTATGAAGAGTATTTTTTGCCTTTCTCTGTATCTTCTCTCCATCAGCACTTATTTACTCGTTGGTACTGTTACGTAACATTGAATCCATATAGGCTAAAGCTATAACAGCTATTGCACATTGTTAAATGCAAAATGAGTGATCAAATCAACCAAGGAATCAACGCAACACTACAAACTTTTGCATTTGTTAAAAAACTTACATCGTTCTGCATTGGAATAAATAAAACAATATTCTACAGAAATACAACTGGTTTATTTGTCTTTTTTAACTACATTTTCAATCCTATAAAATATTTCTAGCTTTTATGTCACGTGCAACTTTTAACCACCTTTAGCTAGCATTTTTATTTTAAACTTTCTCTACATTTTTCGTCAATTTTTTCTGTCGCGTTCTTGATTATCATGATAGCTCTTCTCCCTCTTTGTCTAATTCCTCTTCACTTCCTTTGTCTCGTCTTTCTTTTCCTCTTTTTTCTCGTCCTTCTTTCCCTCTATTTTGTCTTCTTTCTTCACTTCTTTCTTCTCCTCCTTCTTCTCCTCCTTCTTCTCCTCCTTTTTCTCCTCCTTTTTCTCCTCTTTTTTCTCCTCCTTCTTCTCCTCCTTTTTCTCCTCCTTTTTCTCCTCCTTTTTCTCCTCTTTTTTCTCTTCTTTCTTCGCTTCTTTCTTCTCCTCAATTTTATCATCTTTCTTCTCCTCCTTTTTCTCCTCCTTCTTCTCCTCCTTTTTCTCCTCCTTCTTCTCCTCCTTTTTCTCCTCCTTCTTCTCCTCCCTTTTCTCCTCCTTTTTCTCCTCCTTTTTCTCCTCTTTTTTCTCTTCGTTCTTCTCTTCTTTTTTATCATCTTTTTTCTCCTCTTTTTTCTCTTCTTTTTTCTCTTCTTTTTTCTCTTCTTTTTTCTCATCTTTCTTTTCTCCATCTTTCTCTTCTTTTTTTTCGTCCATTTGTTTTTTATCTTCTTTTGGCTTGGCGGTTGTAGCTACAGTTGTAGTTGGAGGTGCGGTCGTGGGCACAGGGCACTCCTTTTGTTTGCAGTCTTTTGTTTCTTCGGCTATGCCTTCACATTCCTTTCCGCCATTCTGGGGAGAGGGGTTGTTGCATTCTCTCACCCTTTTCAATTTTCCATCCCCACATGTAACTGAACATGGTTGATCTTTCCAGTCACTCCATTTCCCGTCGATAGGGCAAGGTTTTAGATTTGGACATGAAGCCTTGTCGATTAGATACATCTGCAAGCATTCTGCCCCGCCATATTGGGGCTGCGGGGAGTCACATTCCCTTCGGCGCTCCATTGTTCCCTCCCCACACTGGTGGTCACAAGGCCCCCATGCTCCCCATCCACCGGGAGCTCCATGTATGGGACAATGATTCGAATTGCAAATCTCTAACTGATAAGGTGGTCCTAGCTGTAAACAACTTTTCCCTAGGCCTTCTGGTCTTGGAGCTGTGCAATTTCTTGTCCGAACTAGAACAAAACACAGGAATTAGATTCAATAGGTATTTCCTTGAGAACAATTCAAACTAAAGAAAATGACATTACTATCCCTTTGATCAATCACAACAACAGTGCACTAATATTTTTCATATAGCCCCCCCTTCGAGGCCTGCTACGCGGGCAGCCAGTGGCCCTAGGGTAGAATATTAAGATTAGCCTTGGAAAGACAATAGCGCCATTAACCCTGATTCCAAAATGAGGACAGGTCACGTGACAAAAGACTGCTTGCACTTCTGTGACTATCGTTAGAAAGGAGGAGCCGCAACCCTCTCTTCCTTTTTAGGCTCACCCCTTCCTAGCGATAGTCTCATTGCAATCAGTGCCTGCCGCTGAGCAATACACCAATTCGATTTACTGCCTCGTACACCAATTCGATTTACTGCCTCGTACACCAATTCGATTCACTGCCTCGTTTTGGAAATTTTTCCAAATCCATTATACAAATTTTTCAAGCTCAGATTTGGTTTTATCACCATAATTTTAGGCCGTTTGTCACCAATCAAGGTAAAATCCCTTTCAACAGAAACAAAAATAAGAAGGTATTTGTGTGCTTATTGTCCATATTTTCCAAAGTAATTCAGTCTTGTTTCTGTCTGTTCCGCAAATTCCTTTGCAACAGACTTGATATGCACTCGGTCCTTGTTTTCTTACTGGATATTTGCAAACATTATGTGGTTTAAATGATTTGCACCAGTTGAAGCTCGTAACCATGTTTTCATTCGCCGCATGGTACTGAATGTTCGCTCACAAGATGCTGAACAAAGTGGAACTGTGTAATACAATTGATCATTATAATAACTTCTGAGCACAGAGGTGATCTTCTTTTTTTCATCATTGCAGAGGCCAAAGATGGTGGGGAGGTTATCTAACTGCGTTCCCAGCAAATCTCTATTCAAAAGATCTTTCTTCAGGTTAGATATAGAGATGCTTGTTTCTTTCATTGAGTTCAATAAAAATTTTTAAATGCTTTTGGCAAGGATGAACTCTTTTTGATCAAATATGTCTGTAAGACTGACAATGACTGCATCAATGGCCCCATAAAATGATCTTTGTATACGCACTACCTCTGTTTTATCTTGTCGTTCAGGTAGGCTACCTGTCAGGTAAACAGCATAAAGCATAACATTTTTATCATTAAACTGTTTTGGCACTTTTCATGGACGTTGTCCTGGTCCAGTGTGAGGCTCTCTTACACTTGGAATAGCATTTGCTTCGTCAAGGATGTTAAACTCGCTCACGTTTCTAAACTCTTGAAGCCGCTTCAAAACATGCTTGATAGAGTATAAAGCGTAGTCTGCAGAAATATATATTTATCCATATGATTCTTTTTGCCTAATATTCGCAACATACAGTCATCATTTAGAATAATTTTCGTACCTTCGCTACCCTAGGCGGAAATACGACTACAATTGCCCTAGCAAGGCTAGATACCTAAACCTGAGCAGGGCTAGTATCTTAAAAGCTGTAGAAGAGAAATAAACCTTAAGTTTGAAGGCAAATATTTCAGTAATGTAGCTTTTCATGGAACTATGGTTAAACTACAGCTAGTTATTCGTAAAGACCACAATTCGTCGTGCGAAAAGATTTGAACATGTGTCAAGCAAGAAGTTGCCAACTTATGTTTATAGTTCACTTACCTTTCCTTCCTCCACCGCAGCTTCGACTGCAACGGCTCCATGACGTCCACGTTGAATATCCGCCATTTTTAGAGTGTAACAATTCTGATATTTTTGCAAAGTTTACAACGACTGCGAGTGTAACTGCAGAGATGAATAAAAAACCAACTGCTCGTGCGGCCATTGTTTATTTGATCTTTTACTGAGAAGCCACACCAGAGTTTCGATAACAATATGAAGCTGAGGTATTGCGTGTCACTGAAGATTCTCGTTTGTAATGCTCAAAAGTATTAAAATTAACATATCAACCCTCAATCAGATGCCACAAAGTTGTTAACATTTATGAAAACCTTCTTTTTGAAATATCCTAACGTAACTTTGTCTGTTTGCTCTTACAATGCACGAGATAACATTTGTTGCTAGGAAGCTGCCAAGTGAGCCGAAAAGATTTCGCAAAAGTTCGAAAACGTCCGCTGTGGAGAACACAGCACTTGTAGTTCACACAGCATAAGCGTAGACTCGATTTTTTCAGGGGGGGGGGAGGGGGGCTCAAATTAGGCACAAATTAATGACAATTCCTAATGGCAGCTGCTGGTGTCACAGGATAGAAAGTGGATTAGCTAAGGGTTTAAAGGTGATTTTTGAAATGAAATGGTTGAAAGTTTATTTTTAAATCATAATCAGTTTCTTTAGGTTGAGATCATCAGTTCTATTTAGGCACCCAAAATGTACCCTTTCTCACGCTATTATCACGTCAGCAAAGATCGCATTTTGCTTTCCTCTTATGCTTCCAGCCTCTCTGAAGGATTGGCCTCGAGTTGGATCTGATCTTATGTTCACAATAATTTCATACTTTATTTTGCTGTAAACGCAATTATCTAATGCAACAAATCTTATGCGTGAAACCAATAATATAACAAACTAATCTAAAAATTGCTAAAGCACTTACCTATTTTTCTCTGTTTTCGTCTGGAGGGGCTGAAGCCCCAGAGCCCCCAGTTTACGCCTATGGCACACAGACTGTGTTTAGGGTGTCGGAGGACAGTCTGTGTTTAGGGTGTCCGGACTCATGCCGTCCGGACTTCCAGGGAAAAATTTGATTTTCGACGAGTCTCTCTGGCTCTGCTGGCCTTCAGAGACCTAATTAACAGACAGTTTGATTGTTCAATTGCTTCATCCTAGATTAGTCCATATGTTATTTTTAGGTTTTAAAGCCTAACAAGCTCTTATTAGGTTTTTTCATAAAGGATGATTATGACAAGAAATTTGGATCGGGCCTAATTTTCTTAACAGTTGCGTTTTGCTTGGCCTTTAATAATATTTCTTTAAAGTTCGATGGAATATTTACTTTATTTTGTATCAAATGACATGATGCATTCAAAGATATGTTAGAAACGCATTTTCTAGCCTTATGAGTAACTGGAATCCTCCACTTATTAGCTAGGACCGGCTCTTTCAATTTTTTTTTCTTATTTGTTACCCCTACACTCCTCTAAGTTGCCCCTTGACTGTTAGTTGAGTTGTATGCATGTTTTGAGCTTGTTTAGCTGCCCCAAAGTACAAGTTTAGCAAAACAAAGGTAAATATTTTATCTGGCGCTTTGGATTCCCCTCCAACGTGCCAAATGAACACAACAGTTACAAAGAGAACAAAACCCTCATTCTACCACATCGTAGGGTCTCTTGAAAGTTTCCCAAACATATTCTCGACACATTTTTATTCAGTTTATCTGCTTGGATTGGCTTCTAAGAGACAGTCAATTTTGTACATGAGCCGGTTCAACTTTTCCTGACACCCCCATGAAAAATTATTTTATTTGCATCCCTGTGCCCTGGTGGAAAAGATCGGGAAGCTGACGATAGATAAAGAAAGAAACATGGAGGAGTACCAGGTTTGGGTAGACAATGTAAGGATTTCTATGAAAGCGGCAAAAACAAATGTTGAAGGTGGTAGACCGAAACTGATAAGGTATAACAAGGGCGCCGTGGTGAATTAATTCTAGAGGGGGCATGATTAATTTTACTTAAGTAGAAGCAGTAATTTATGTTGTAATTTATGTTGCTAAAAGTTTGAGAATCATCCACTGCTCAAGTCTGGGAATTTTTCGACAAAACAATGATTTTATCCGAAAATCCATCAAATTATGGAAGCAGAGGGGGCCACGGCCCCCCTGCTCACCGGCCACAAAGCCCTCGAGGAATAATGAAGAGAAAATCAAGTTTACTAGACAGACTACAGATGCGTGAAGAAGAATCGAGCGCTAAGGAGGAGGAAAGGTATGAAATGAAACTGTATGAAGAAAAGGTTAAGCAAAATAAATTAGCTAGAGAAAGGGAGGTCTGGATGGAACATCAAAGAATTATTCTCCAGACAAATGAAAAGGAATTAGAGCTTTAGAGAAGGGCTAGGAAGGCAAATTCTAACCAACCAGCATTGAATATTGCTCCATTTAAAGAAACATCTAGGGACTGGATAAAGTTTTCAAATCAATTCAAAGCCCAGGAAGGCAGCCAGCCTGAGCAAGACAATCAACCTAGGATATCTGCGGCAGTGTTTGTAAAAGGGGCCTAACATGAACTGATAGGAAACATACCAAACAATGAAAATGGCTATTACAGAGCAATGAATTTATTAAAGGAGAGATATGGCCAAGCCAAGATATAAAAAACCAAATATCTTGGAATAATAATAATAACAATAATTTTCCATATTTATACAGGATAGCCTTTTCAGTAAAGATAATGCTGCTATCACTAAGGGTCCTGTTAAAATAAAAGTTTGTAAAGTAACAGGTTCAAAATTATAAGAGATAGAAGTTAGCGCTTAAAAAAATTTTAAAGGTTAAAAAAGTTACACTACAGAAGTTAAAAAAGTTAGACTAAAAATCTAGGTTTGTGTCCCTGCTGTTGCTTTAAATCTCAAAAGTGATTTTTCAGTTGGCAAGCTATTTGGTAAGTTATTAAAAAACTTTGCACCCTGGAAGTTTTCCGCCCCGTTTCTGTCCTAACTTTTGGAATGACTACACTTTTGTTGTTTTTGCGGGTATTCACTTTGTGATTGATCGATAATACACTAGATTGGAAGGAATACACTAAAACAATTTCTTCCAAGGTCTCCAGAGGAATTGGCTTTTTTAAGCATGCAAAATCCTTTCTACCAAAAGAAACTCTGAAGACTATGCACACAAGTATTGTGGAGCCTCACTTTCGCTATTGTTGTTCGCTGTTTGGTTGTTGTGGTCTTACTGTTATCAAACGCTTACAAAAACTATACAACCGGGTTGCTTTTATTGCATCTGGCAGCAGTTTTTATGCACCGAGCCAGCCACTCATAAAGAGCCTTGGCTAGAGGATCAAAGCTCTAGGAATCTTAAGAATACATCAACTGAGCTAAGGCTACCAAAGAAAAGCTCTAAAAATAGACAGAAATGCTTCTCGTTTAGAGGTGCCAGGTCTTGGAATGGCCTCTCAGCTGAGTGTAAACAGGCATCTCCCTTGAGCAACTTCAAAAAATTCCTTTCGCATTTGTAAATTGGCCTAATTGTAAATTGAATGTTGTAAATTACCATTTTGCCATTCATTGTGGATATTTGTCGTAAAAAATCAAATTAAAATTAAAAAAGGATTTATTTTTAATCATAAATGTTGAATTGTAATTAGCGTAATTTGTTTTTATAAGAGCTTCTGTAAGTGTTTTAAGTGAAGGGCCCCTTGAAAATCAGCATTGCTGAAGGGCTACTCTCCTAAAACATTTGAAATGAAATTAAATAAGACAGGGATGCATAAAAGGGGCAGAGATGCATTTAGTTTCCTTGAATAAAAGTTGGATGCGCAGCCAAAATCCCAACGAAAGTTGTGATTACCGATAAAATATTTTCAAAACTTTTCCATGTAATTTGTATACACGTCGCTTTAAGAAAAATCTTTATCAACCACGCTAGAATCGGACATGTCTCATCCCGCTCTTATTTCCGTAACGCCGCAACTATTACTATATTTACGCCGTTTGAGGAAACTTAGCAATTACCAATCTTTTAAATTTATTGAATCTATAGCCAAAATTTATTCTTGTGGTTTTAAAAAAGTAATTGTTAGACAAGGGAACCTTTTTCAAAATTATCATAACAGGCCAGTGGGAACTGGGGGGCTGGGGGTAATTTTTTTTTACTTTATAACAGTGTACTGAATGAGAAGGAATACAATGGGCAGCCCCCCCCCCAATATGAATTTCATTCTGCATAAAGATTATAAATTTCATTCTCTTACCGGTCCATACTGTATGATTTGAAAAAGATATTATGGGCAAAGAAAAAAAAATACAAAGGTAAATATAAAGTTGTAGTTTCAAGGGTTGCAGAACTATTGAGGCCATCTCACTTCTATGGAGATTTGTGACACTATTGAGGAGCTGTCTAGTTTCCATACATAAGAAGAGTTTCCATACATTTCTTGGGATCCATGATGAAGTCATCAATTTTGCAATTGTTGATGTCGGCACGCTCGAGGCCTGGGGCAACCTGCCGCCTTCTTCATCTCGGCGGGCCTGATCATACCTGCCCATTGTTTAGCACATTCGGAATTATTGCTGTAAACAATGAAAGAAGACATAATTGCTACAGTAGACACATCCTTCCAGCAAGCAACGACAAACTTCATATATTGGCCTTTCTAAGCACGTAGTGCTCTTGTTTGTTACTTACATCTATCTTTGCACTCTCTACTTTGCTTTAATAAAAATGTTTATAAAAATATACAGGCTTAGAACTATGCATATTTCAAGAATATCATAAGAATATTGCTCAGCCACTGCTTGCGTATTTTTGCTTCATTGGCTACTTCTTTTGGAAACCATTTTAAAATTATGTTTGAATGTGCATGAAACAGCGTGATATGTGTCGAGTAAAGTGTTTTGAATGAATGAAAATTGAATACTGAAAATGAGAATACTTTAAAAGCTTTTTCAGGCTAAAAATGAAATTTCGTAATTCATTCATACACTTAGTGAGCCAATTATCGTAAAATATTTTGAAACACTCAGCGAACCAATTGTACCAAAATTATTTTGGTACACCGATAAAAAGAGTGTATTTATAAGAGAATATAGTATGATTCCATTTGATGACAGGAAACAGAGTCAGTCTAAAAAAACCAACATTATTTCACTCAAATATTTCGTTTTTATCCAATTCATACCAAACAACCAATTCGATTGTTAAATTCAAAATTTAATTACAAATTTTCCGAATCAATCTTATTCTTTAGTTTGCATTAAACAGAACAAAAAATTATGGTTTCAAAGAACCGAAACAGCATTGAGTTAATTACATTAACTTCTGTTTTATTATCAACAAATTTACAATTATATACAATAATTTACAAATACCTTGTGGTAGAATTACAAGTTTAAAACTACAATTACAATAATAACAACTTTAGAACAGCTGTATATAATTTTGTTTTTCGAATGCATTTCCTCCTGCAAGACATGGAATCTAACAAACAACGAATGAAACACGTTTGGAAAGATATACCACGTCTCTTGCTGCCAGGTGTGGCATGACAAAACTAAGAGTTTCGTAAATGAAGACGCAATTCGAATAAAAATAAAAGGAGTGAAAACGATATTTAACGCTTTCTGTGGTTTCATTTAGAAGTAAACAACACATGGAAGTGCGTCCTTTTGGAAGTCTTACAAAATATGTGTACGTTTAGGTCTTCGGGTATCGGGTCATTCGAAGCAAAAACCTACGCGGAGGCTATATTCATTGATGAATGTGGGGGAAACCACGTGACAAACTGTTATGAATGAGATAGTAACTCACGATCGAACGATTTGAAAACCACAGAAATTACTCAGGAAATTAAAAAAGCAAATTCCAAAACACGGGGGATAGGTGACCGTCTGCGTGGGACGAAAAATGGCCGGTCACTTGTCAATACTAGTAGGGAGTTCTGCTATCACGTTTCAAAAATTCTTCTTCTAACCCAACCATAACAAACCAAAGGCACAACAGTTTAAGTACATAATTTGTAAGATAAAGATTGCGTGAGAAATTTAAGTATGTTGTTTTCAGATCGATTCGATCATCATCATCACTTCCCTTCCTAGAAGGTGAATATCATCATGAAGCTAAGATCAATGTTGCTCTGAGGCTCTCCGACGGCCTCTTGCGTCTTGTGACCTTTGAAAATGCGCTTCAGTTCTTGGCTGCTCGTAAATTTCTTGGAAAATATCTCCAATTCTTGCGAGTTCTCCCCCAATATGTTCAATCAAATGTCTTCTCTCCAGATCAGCTCTCTCAACATCTTCTCTGTCGTTCCTTCGTTCATTGTTATTCATTTCATCAAGAGGGCGACCATCACTCTCCATTGCAGTGATGTCCCTTTTTGGCTTTGCTTTTGTAAGGGTGAAATTTGTGTTCAAGGATGGCCAAGGTGACATTGACAGAAGGCATGCCTGCAGGGTGCAGGCCAAAATAATATCTTTTATATCCTCCAGGATTCCTAAAACATGAGAAAATTATGATGAGCTGCCAGTCACAGACAAGGAAGCATGCACCGTGAGGGCAGGGGGTAGTCAGTCCCTGCTTTCGCAAAATTCAGCAATTCTTTTCATTTTGTTTACGTTTCACTTTTTTTCTTGGGGTTTTCCCCCTTACCCACCTTGATTGAGGCATCCCTAATTACAGCTAAGTCATGATTTGTTTCTTTACTCTGATACCCAATGCAACTGGTGTTCACTCATTTTGAACAATACCCTTAAAGCAGGTAACAACAAAATATCATGTGACATGGAACCAAATAAAATTCTCTAGTGTGCTTCACAAAATCTAATGGTTACTGATAAACAATCAGAAAATAAAAATACTGACCAAAAATTATTCAAAATTCAAAAAACCGCGAAACCTTAAAAACCTTAAAAACCAATACCAAGAAACAAAAATTTTTTGTCAACTAAAAACTTTATAATTTACTAATGTACTGTTAAATTGAAAGATTTTCATAAAAAACAAATATTCTGAAAGGAAAACCTTTTTGCCTATTCATGAGAAACCAAAAACCGGATTTATACTAAAACCATAAGATGTAAATACTGCAATTAGGGTTGTTACAATATGTCAATTGAAACTTTTTAGCCTGAGCAACAAAATCAGTCTATTTTCCCAATGATCCCTCTAGAAATCAATGCTTCGTAGAGAAGCCAAAATTTTGAACTGGTAAAACAGCTTTTGAGAATGGTAAATCAGCTTAGTTCTGGAAGTGCTGAATTTCAGAAAGGGCCCCAGGGGCACAACCATGACACATCTATGATTAGGGGTTAGGGGGCAAAGAGAGGGGTTAGGGTGTTGTTTTTTATTTCATCACCAAATGAGTATTGTATAACCATTATGAAAAAGGCTGGTGACGTAATCAAGGGAGGTGTACCTGTACCCATACACTCCCTTTGTCTACATTACTGTATGTTCTTAAAATCTGTAATTTATTCCTGAAACCCTTAAGACACAATAGCTATGGTCAGATACTACACTCAATCAAATATAGGTACATTTTATATACATTTAAATGAATAGAAAATTATATGACAGGATAGTGTTGTGCTTGATTTGTAAAAAGGGGATTAAATCGTTAAACAATTTCGTATACTTGTTCCACTTGACATTAAAAGCTCAAACAGATACCATCATGAGGTAGCAGGTTTAGATAGTCAGAATATGTGCTCTCTCCAAAAACATCAAAGAAGGCTTAGTTTATCAAAATAAAAACTTCTTTATTGGTTGGATTCTTTCAGGAAACACAAAACACAGTTAAAGTAGCGAAAATATGAGCTATATGATGGAATTCTTGCAACAAAGTTGCACCATCGACACGGCCCGAACCATGCCAAATATTCGCTCGAGTATCGCTCGAGTACGTGAACTAGATCACTGTGTTTCTCTTCAAAGTGAAGAATGTTGAATCCTTGCAAACTGCTTGATTTTAGGTAAATTTGTTTACCGTTTTTCATTAATCCATGGACTGTTTTATGAATTCAACAGCCAAGCCCGCAACCATACAAGTCTATGAAGAAACGGCCTAAATACCTTCGTTTGAGTTAGGCCGTTCAAGTGCGCAAAGCTTAGAAAAACCGTTTTAAGCATATACTTTAAATACTTACATTAGGGAATTAAAGGCCGCAAAGCCAGTCAATCAATCACAAAACATATTTAATTATGGCCGATCACGGAAGTTTTTCACTCAAAGCCATGTCGCAAGTCGCGAAGTTCTTCCATCATCCGGTTGAAAATAACCTTTTCGACAATATCGAGAACAATGACGTCGTGTAAACTGCTTGGATTCGCAAAATGCAAGGTAATTCATCGTCTGTTTTGATTAAGCACCTGCTCTTGATTGAACTCCGTTCAAGGTCGCTCAACTTCCGTTGGCAGTTTACCAACCACACTTAGGAAATCAGAACAACTTGAATTAAATACGTTGTCGAGATTCACAACTCAAAAAGTCTGATAAATATTTCCATTTTGAGTAACAGGAACTTTACTGTCTGAGTTCGCAAAGCTCATTATGATTTTCCATTGTAAAAAACAAATACACAACACTTGTGGTTGTAAAATGCCTCAAAAACCTTTGTATGCAAACGTATTTTTGTTAGAGTAAGAAAGGATCTCATGCATTTTTGCCCTTATACGCTGAATCTCTGTACAACCATAACAAATAAATATATCCAGATTAAATTGAGATCGATTAACATTACAAGAGTTCACGCAATGGTGTTTTGACATGTGAAAGTTGAAACAACTTTCCCATCATGAGAGATAGAAATTAACGGGGGCGCGAATATTTTCCGTAATAAAGTTATTATTGTTTTACCGGCGGTGTGTTTATGTAACCGTTAATAAAAAGCGATCATTTAACTGTAACATGCGTTTATTTGCTTTCCCAAATTTCATGGAGAAATTGCCAAAAGTTTCAATAAAGAAAAGTCTTGTTGATCACTGACAAACAATAGGTAGATTTCCTGCTTCGAACACAAATGCTAAAACCAGACAAAACTAAATCTGTCTGAATGAAATACTTTTTGACATCTTGCTGGTTTAATTTCATGTAGTGAGTTTTAGGTAATCACGTCTGCCAAAGGCGCGCCTAGACACCGCGGATCTAATCGCAAAACACCAACATGATGAGGCATCTTATACATTTGCAGCAGCATAAAATTTGAAGCACCAGTCTTTCCTTACCTAAACGACTCACAATCAAAATAGCAACGCATTTTCCTTGGATACCATTGCCATCATCAATGTAAACAGCAATCACAATAAGGCATTAGAAGAGAATAAAACCGCTCGTAACTACGGTCGATTTGAAGAATTACATATGGCATCACGCTGTTGCCGTATATGAATCATCTCACGTATGTCGCAGATCAAAACAAAACTTTTACAATAGCACATATGATAAAAAGACATCATCAATTATCTATATAATTGTAATGCAAAATTACCTTAAACCTGATTTAACGGTTGCAATGTCGATCGAAGCGTATTAACTGCTTTTAACTCTTTGATCGCTATTTTCTTGCCTGATCACCGGTGAAAATTTTTTGTTTTGAAACACGTCGCGTTCGGTCATCTGATTTGGCGGGAATTGTTGCGTTGAAGGAAATGCATTGTGGGTTGGTTCATTGACGAACATTACCTTTGGATCAAGGCCAACAAAATTCTTGCCTCGACATGTTGAGATCCCTTTATTCTCATTGGTGACTTTAAACAATAAGCTTGATGGTGATTGGCTGTTATTTCTCTGTTTGTTGGTATGATTGGACATTTTCTACGGTTTATCAATCGTATCGATTTTCAACGACGTTATATTTATGTACACGTGGTTGTTGCATGTCTGATTTCGTATCCGGATTTCACCTTGGCCACTACGCTTCAGAAATCACAAGACTTTCCTTCATATACAAGTTTATCTAGATAAGGTGGTGCCCCCTGTGCAAGAAGACAAACAATTAGGAGGAAAACAATTCAGTTTCCTTTTAACGCCTCTACGAAAACCCTTTTAATATCGTTGGAAAAATATCGTCACATTATTTTCAGCCAGCTTTTTCCACGGCAGAAAGCTTTTTCCAGTTATGATATGGTAATCGTGTTGGCATCATTTCTCGCTTCCGCTAGATAAATTGATAACGATTTTCCTTCCTAGGCTGTGGTCGCAGAACAGTATCAACGTAATCTGTGAATCCGTTCTTGAAAATGACGTCATCTCCTTATTTAGTAGCTCGTTGTCTCAAAAACTTTCTGAGTCATGTAGAAAACGATAAGACTGCATTTACAGACGTAATTCTTCCCAAAACAGTGATTAAAGGAAACAAAAACACCGCTACTTTGCAAATCTTATTTCACTTGATTCAATAAACAATCGAACACCTCACTCTTCAAAAGTTAAACCTGCATAACGTAAGATCTTGAAGGATTTTCTTATTCAGTGGCAGATAAAAGGAGGGTTTGGGGCAAATGCTACGCCTTTTTCTGAGAGATGCGGAAAATTTAAGGCAAAATCGGATTTGTAAAGGACGATCTATAACAAAAAACTCGAAATTTGTAAGACTCACCGGCCTAGCCCCATCACACAAATAGGTTAAAATTTCATTATAATTTTACATTTGGCAACAATGAGATACGGACTTTGATGCAAAAATCAGGGCCTCCAACGAAGGGGGGGGGCCGGGGGGCCATAGCCCCCCACATTTTTGCAAAACAATAGAGTTTTTTCAAAATCTTTTGTTATGGGTGTTAAATTTTCCCTTGGCCAGCCCACTTTTCAACCTTTGCCGGAGCCCATGAAAATGACAATTTCCATGAAGAATTGTGGGAATGTCAGGCAATTGGACTACAACCATCACTTTGTTTATCAGATATCCTGCTGAATTGGTAGTGAATGAAAAACAAACGATGTACGCAGCTTTGCATGCATCCTCAGTGTATGTGGGCCTTGCCTTTATATCGTGGGAGTTTTTGATAGTATTTCAATCTAAGATACACAAAACGCAGCATGATGTTTTTGTAAGGCTTTTCTTAGCATGACTAAAAGGGGGTCCTTGCATGGACAATCTGAGTGAGTGTCTGTTGTTAAATTCTTGTATCTACTATATCTACTATATTCACGCATATTAGAAGGGTAACCACTTTCAAACTTTGCTTCATGAGTCAGGGGTTTATATCACGAGGGCATTGGTGGGAAGTGGGGGTAACATACCACAGGTTTCAACTAAATACTCAGTAAAATCAGTCTCTTATGAATTGCAGCTTGGCAACTTGGAAACAGGAAAATATAAAAAAACGAGGTCGGGCATAGAAAACTTCATGTTCTCATCCCTAGTAGCGTACCATCGAGTTTAGGAATGAAAATTGATGTTTCGGGAAGATGAAAAGTAAAATTCATGGGAGGGACTACCCGTTCAGGTATTCCTATACAGGACCCTGTTTTAAAAGAAATAGCGCCCACTGGCAATATTTTGGGGGGGGTTGAAGTTCCCTAGCCCCCTGGCCCGCTTCAGATGCCCCAGAACACAAAGAGAAGACAACTTTGGAACATTTGATTTGATTGTTCTTTTGGTTTTCTCAACATTTGCTGTTATATTCTCCGTGAAACTGCAAATAGTAAAATTACGGTTGGCTGACAGAAAAATACTTATGTTTAAGAACATATTCAAAAACCTTCAAGGAGAGTTTTCTCCTATAAGATTTTTAAAGTTACGTCAGACATACATGTGCATAGAAGCATTGATCAGGGGGGGAAATCTGATAACCTGAGAGGTTAATCAGAAATTTCTCGAAAAGTCATTACCAACGTTAATTGTCAAGGCCCATGCCAAAAAAAATTGCGCAGCTTTTACGGAGATAATAATTGTTTTGCATGATTATATGAACTAAAAAATTTTGGAAATGTTCACAACCATGATTGATTATCAAAGTATTATTTCTGGTAACGCGAGTCATCCTCATTTGCTACGACGGCGTAGACACTTAGGAACGTCCCTGTTTAACATTCTTTTGTTGAATTGTTGATTGAAAAAAGACAATGGTCAAATCTTTTACAATAGAAATATTCATCTTTAAGGCCAGAATAACAGAATCTCTACTTTGTGCCTGAATACTGTTAGTTATTATTTCGAATTTCAGGAATTTGGTTTGTTGTTTAATAATATACTAACTTAATATTTGGGGCAAAGAAATTACCGAGATTCAGCCTAATTTAACTTGTGATTACGTACTTCTATAGAAGACTTTGTTTCAAGGAATCTTGGAATCGTATATATGTAATTCTTTCATCAAGGATGAAATTGTTATGTTTTGAATTAAATAACAGTCATGCTCTACAGATGCTTAGTCCAGATTTGATTGTCCTTTTGTTTCACAGCAGCTGTTGTTACATTTTAAGTGAAGCTGGCTGTCATGTGCCAAAGCTGAAAATCTTAAGTTATGGTAGACTGTGCAAAAAAATACCCATATTTTTCGGGAACATCCTCAGAAAGAGTTCTTGGAGAGCTTTCTGCAAAATGAGGTTTTCGAATTACGTCAGACAGCTATGTGCATGGAAGCCAGGGGGAAAATATGATATGAATCTCGAAAAGTCGTTAGGAGTGCTAATTATAGGGGTGCATGCCAAAAGATAATTGCACAGTTTTAATGGGGATAATGATTTTTTTGCGTGATGAAAGGAAATGAAATAGCTTAGAAATGATCGCACCATCGTTGATTATCAAAATATTATTTCTGTTAACGCCAGCCATCCTAATTGCTACGACTGCGTTGACAATTTTACTTGACCTCACTCTGAAAAATCGTTTGTGGCATAAACCCTCCGATATTTTAGCAGCCGGCCTATTCGATTGAGCCTTTTGCCCTTACAAATTTAGGTGTCTTTATAAAATCATTTCTCAAAGAAACAAACCAGAGCAAAAGGGCGTTTGACCTACCCCAGTTATTCTCCAAGATTAGAAACTGCCATTACCTAAGCCTTTGTAGGCATCTAATCAGTAGTATTACAAATTAGGTAGCAGGTGAATCCTAACTGGATGCGATGAACCTAAATAGCAATGCTTCAAAACAATCCAGGAAAGTATAATGAAATTGGAACAAATGTCCAATTTTTTAATCTCAACCACGTTTGCCTGTCTCGTCTCGTGAAATTAAAGTAATAGGACGTGATTTTGCCAGGCATCGTACACCAGTCTAAAAGTAGGTGGGTTGAGAAGGGTGTGAAGGAAAATTTATTGAGGCCACGCCCTTTAAAATTTGTTTCTTGCTTTCTTGCTTGCAATAAATTATCCAGCATTTGTTTCTTGCTCTTTTGCTGATACACAAAGACAGTCCAATATTCTATTGTTTACGAGGTTCTAGGACGCAAACAAGGTCGTTTAATGCAAAATGAGTCATCAAATAACCACAGGCTCGTAAATGTGTCAAAATGCAGAATTTATTATCTTTGTATTGCGTGAAGTGAAATAGTCAAAAACACTAAAAGACTCTCCCCTGCACCAGGGATGGCACAGATAAAATGACCACAGTAGATTCTAGTTTTAGTCAGTGACTCGAACTACTGTATATGTTTCTGAAAAAGCTGTGAAAGCAAGCGGAGAGTGACTGTAAATGGTGGTAATTTGGACAGTTTTGTGTATTTTGGTCTAAACTTTATGTAAATGATAAAGGTAACTAGAAGTGGAGTGGGCTGTACTTGCTTTTTGGCACTATGCTTCAACTTTTAAGCATTTCCTAGCTTAAATTCTTTTCTAACGACAAAGCAGAATCAAGTATTCTGATTGGCCAGCTTGCAAGCTGCATGCACAGTGGCCGGCCAATCATATTGCTGAATGCTAGCCAGACAGCATAGTTTTCGGTACCAGAGCGACAAAATTCGAGCCAGGTACGCCAGGTACGAGCGCATAAACAGAATGCCAAGCAGAGAAGCGGATGATTGTCTAGCTTCTTCTTTGATAGACGCTCCTCCGCTTCTCCACTACTAGCTTTTGTTCCCGCTCTCAAATTTTTGTGGCTCCGGTACCCAGGGAACATAATTTCCTACCATCGGCATAGTTTCCTATCTCGATCCTGTCATATCCGTTGTTTATCTTAAACCAAAATCAAATTTAAACTTAAAGAAAACATCATTAGAAATTAGCAAAATTGGTTTGAGAGCAGGGGCGAAGCGAGCGGTGGTTTAGGGAGGCGTGACAGCCCCCCCCCCAATTCTTCATAAGTTGGTGGGTAAATCTTCAGTTGGTCCACATAATCTTTAGTTGGTCTTTAAAATCTTTAAAATCGCCTATCGATATGTGGAATAGCCCCTAAATTTTTCTTCATCCATATCCTCGTCGGTAAATTTAGCTATTGATGAACCTCCACTTCACTAATCTGGAAGGTCAAACTATACCATTGCTGGAAAGAGTCTCGTTTTTCCTCCACACAATCTTTAAAAAACAATGAGTGAATGATGTGTGCATTGAGATAACAAACAGACATGTCTACGAAAAACAATAAGATCTTAAAATCCCGCTTATCTGTATACCAGCTACGTTAGCGATTTAACCATAAACAACCAAATACGAAAACTGATAAATAATTGTGCTGCCGTATGTGCTGGTACTCTGACGTATTCTCGCTCAAAATCATCTGCTTTGTTGAGCAGATTGTTGGCCATATATCGACTGCGTATTGGTTAAACCTGTCGAAAGAAAAAACTGTTCTCTAAAAAAGCTGTTCTCTAAAAAAGCTGTTCTGTTAAGCTCAGAGCCTAAATGGGACATAAGGAAAATACTTTATTCCTTCTTCTCTCCTCCTTCTCACTCCCCTGCAACACCCCGTTTCCTCATCACCCACTTGACGCTTTGGAGCCCAGACTAGAGTACAAATCTTTCAGAGCGAAATCCGCACCATTTTAACTCAAGGGTCATGTATTAAAGATAAGTTTTAGTTACCTTTTAAACTCATGCATATATTTTCACTTTTGCTCTTAACTGGTCCCAGACTGATAGCAGCTTTATTAAGCTGAATCTGGTGACCTGTATAAATATCGTATTATTATTAATATTATTCCCATAATCGTAGACGTAGGCTTCAGATCTTCAAAACTGTAACGATTAGGCCCGGAGAGCTCTATAGAATATCGAAGCTTCTCAGATTAAATATCGACAAGATAATGATAAATCGAAATAAACTGATGGCAGTATGGTGACATCAAACGCACAATGTTTAAAGATAACATGGCCTGGGATGAACAGCGTATATATCGCCACTATGTGTGCTCAAATGTACAAGTGAGTACGGCTATGATGATCATGGCGATAATTTTCTGATATTGTTAAGTTTTATTGCTTATCTTCAAAGACAGAACATTCCCACACATTAGGCAGTTATGATCAGTGGTGTAGTGCTATCAAAATAACAATGAGGGGGGGGGGCTCTCGCGCGATACGTTACCATAAACAATAGCAAAAGTAGAAATTGCCTACTTTTCGGTTTTTACTGAACCCTTGGAGCCCTTGAAGCCCCATAAGCCCCCCGAGCCCTCTAATATTACACCCCTGGCTATGACTGTTAATCAATGCTTATGAATTAGACCATTTCTAGTCCGGAATTTCTTTATAATCTGCTTTGTATTATAGAATATAGACATGAAATATAGACAGAAATGAAAAAAGATTCTTGTGTGCAAAAGTTTCTGCACAGCAAAGTAAATAAAAATTGGTTTACTTCCTAGGTACGAGCTTTAGTTTTGCCTTTTAATCTCCAAGCCCACAGGCTACCCAAAAAATAAACATCCTTTGCAATATATCCCAAGAATCAGTTTATTTATCGAAATCAATTCACATTTTGTTTTCGATAACATATAAACTATTACAAGTTAGTAAGTTATGAAGAACCATTCAGCAAAGAGAATCAATAATAAATTTACAGTGTAGAAAAGAGTGTCAAAGACTTCCTTGAAACACAAAGAGAAAGGGTGTGACTTGGGTGTGGCATTAAAAATAATGGCCAAGCAAGAAGTGAATAACAAAATTTTGTGCTAAAACAAGTTCAAATTTCTGTAAAACATATACCAGCCAATATTGATATTTCAGGGTCAGGGTTATCAGGGTCCATTTACGTGTATTTTAGTCAAGGGAACTGATTCATAGGTCATATGGCACATAATCAGTAAAAAGAGCTTTTAACTTAGGCTCGAAGACGGAAAGTGGCTATGGGGATTTGCCATGGATATTGAAATGCAAGGGAACGTATTTTTAGGGTAAAACGTATAAGAATTTAAGATAAGTGATAAGAATTACAAAATGGCCACTCTTGATTGTTGTGTTTCTGCACAGTATTTGATTTGAACCAGCGAAGATTTGCGACTGGGTAAAACTGAGGTTTAACATATACATACGTAATAACACCATTGCATCCAGTATGCCAGAGCCATTTAAAAAAGGGAGTTTCATTCATTCACTTGGAAATGAATTCAATCTGTGGAACGGTAGACTCTGGAATCCAAAAACATTGCATAGAGAACTATGGCTGACTGGTCAAGCATGGAGGAGGGCCTATAGAGAAGACAAGGAATTTTTCTTTTATGGTTCAAGATAAATTCCTATTGACAATAGTGAACACAAGATGAGAAAACACAACACAACTACCTGAAGATATATATACAATAAAGGACAAAATGCAGGGTTGTTCTGTACTTCAAATAAATAAAAGCTAAATAATTAACTGTTCTAAATCGAGGAGTGTTTTACTCAAGCTACACCACGCCAATGAAGAATTTTTTGGAGGATAAAGCGAGCAAAAGAGGAGGCTGACAGAAACAACAAGGGCAGTTCGCAACGTTTGATGATCTGTTACCTGTTTTGCTCCTTTCTGTAAAAATCATGCACTTATCAAGCACGAAAGTAGTTTCTCGAGGAAAGCCTGTGTGTTCATATAAAACGACTGGGTGTTCGGATATCTATTGAATTTCTTTATTTCTCTTTGTCTTGGTAAAACCTGTTAATTGGTCGTGAATTGGTCGGGTAGCAGCCCCCTACCAAAAACAATTGGAAGTTGAAAAGCAAACAATGATGTCAATTCTTGTCTGTTATTCAAATGGGCGTGGTCTCAATTAGCATTCAAGGTTTACCCCTCCCCCTCCTACTGCCATAACTTTGTGGAAGTAGGCACAGCCACAGAAAGCAAGCATGCACTTCAATTTTCAGTAAAAAAATTGAATGCCTTTTTGCGAGGGCCTTCTGTGTTTGCCTCACTCAAACACTTCCTGAATCTGTACATGTTCCTCAGCTCGGTTGACCTGCAAGATGGCGGAAGATTTTTTACAAAAAGCACCTGCTTGATAATGAAATAGCCAAGCTTCTGCATAACACCCTCGTCGTTATAATCGTCCTTGAAAGTAATAGACCCTAAAAAAATGGGCCTAATACTTTGTTACCAGCCCTCTCGGTACGTTCTGCAGCGACGCAAATGCACGCCAACATAAGTAAGAAAATGCAAATGTAAGCAAAATTTATCACGTCCATAGTCTGGAGCTTACCTTGTTAATTTGCAAACCACACTGACATGGTGTTTGCCAACATTGCAACAGGTACCAAGTCACAAGACTTGCAGGACCAATTTCAATGCAACATCCAGCTGTTTTTGTATTGGCGGTCGCGTGCCACAGAGGAACAATCCCGCTAGTGGAAAAGAAAGGTCTAAATGCAATCACCTGCAAGTATTTGTCGTTGAAGCAATTATTTTGAAAACATTTGCTTTCTAAACAAAGTTCAACACGAATCGCACACGTGGTGAACTTGGTATAGAAGGTGTAACGGGTTTTTTCTTGAACCATCCGTAAAACTTTATTCTACATCTTTTTTAAAAAAGCTTCATCTGCAATGAAATCAAAATATTGAGAAACATTCGTAGCGAAAAATTAGGCATGGGCGTTTCCTTTCGGTAAGATAGGCGTGTCCAGTTGTTGAATGATCGTTTTCTGCTGACAGTAGAAGGGTATGACCTGAAAATTTTGTGCTCAACCCCTTTTCCACACCTTTGTAGCTTTTAATCATTTCGTATTAAAAGTTCTCTTGTGTCTTTATGTTCTTTTGCGTTTTTTAAGCACGATTTTGTAACAGTAGTTCAACTATTATCTAGTCGAATAGCTTTATCATTCATTCACTTATTGCGCGCTTTTTCATAAGAAGATTCGGCTCCAATTTCAGCCTGGCCTTTCTTATTTTTTCACATAATTTCAACCTAACATGTTTCTTATTTTGTTTCTCGTTTTAAATGGAATTTCCTATGCATAGTAATGTCCGGACAACACATGTGCTTGATAAAGTAATTAATGCTATTTTGCTTATCACTTGCTGTTTATCTGTTGCTATTCTTTCATTTTTCAATTTCCGCTGGTATTTTATTTCTAGAGTTTTATTGAATTTCAGCCTGCCTTGTTTCTCATGTTGTTCTTATTTTTGGGCAGATCTCAGCCTGGTGTTTCTTTTAAAGTTTTTTTTTATAAAAAAGCGGGTATGTAACTATGACACTGTATCTGTAATTTAGCAACTTTCCAAGCCAAAATTTTTAAAAAGGAAATCAGAAAAGGAAAGACCACTGATCATTTAAAGCCTTTCTGGGATATTCTGGCAAATGAGCGGAAAGCACGTTAGCGGAACCGCGAAAAATGCACCGTCAGCAAGAATTCGACCTTCATATTTTTCAAATCTAATGATAGCTTCGGAAAGCAAGAGTGAGTAAAAACATCAATCGGATCTGATTTTAAAAGCAAAAACTTTAGTTGTTGAAACTTCATTTCGTCAGACAACAGAACTACAAAAGTAAGAGGACTTTTCCCTTCCTTCTTTATTTTTCGCGATCTTTCTGACGGTGACATCACTACGTAAATACCTATAGATGTAGGTGTAGCCATTTCGCGTCAGTTTGCTACGCTTGCAATACACTTACGTAAGTTTGTTGCTAAATATAGATGGTAAGTGACTGTATATCTGGGGTTCTTTACTTTGATTATGCAACCATCGAGCATGACTTCTGTTATGAAAGGCAAAGCACGTGTCTAGGTAAGCAAAGAGTGTCTCAAAATTTTTGTATTTGCTCTGGTCCGTATTTTATAGCCAAATACAGCTATGAGAGGGAAGAAAAATTGTTTGCCAATTTTCGACAGGGTATAGTTTCAAGGTGAGGAGGAATTTGAAAACTCTGATAAACTACTTGGAAACTAAGAATATATGCTTTCTACTGTTATAAGTCAGATTTCGTTACCTCAAACGCAAGGATACAAAATAGCTTTTGAAGGTGGTACACTCATTTAAGCAATAAATTTGCCTGGAAAGTATCATTTTGCATTATTTTGTCAATTGTTTTGATATGGTTGGAATTGCCATACTCTTGTGCATCGAATGATGTATAGTTTTATCTGATTCCGTTAATAGTTTTGCTTTTAGGTAGAAAAAACCAAATATCGTGTCAGAAACGTTAACCGTAACCTTAATTAAAGTTGGAGACACTTTCAAAGCCAGGGTAACTCAAATCTTTCAGATTCTATTCATTGAACTCTACAGATTAATGAAAAACAAAAAATAAACACTGTACATGCGCAGTATAATATTATACGGTTATTTTACATTCAATAGTAGAAACTATTATTTACTTCATTCGAATGCCCACTTCTAAAGAAAAGGGTCATAAACAGGGGCTGAAATCATAGGGAACCCCGAGAGAGGGTCACTAAGTATGTTAGGCCTCTAGACTCAGGCTGTTTGTTTAAAGTCAAACAATATGCTTCTAGTTTTTCTGGTATTGGCTATAAACATTTGATTCCGAAAAGCAAGCATTTATAAGACCTGTCTTTTCTATAAAAAATAGTCTTCACTTTCTAAATCACCTAGCTATTAAGAGAGCAATTTCAAAAAGAGATTGAAGTAAGGTCTCAATTTTATCAAAGTGGAACAACAAAACACAGCTTGGAAGTTTCGGAATTTAGAAACAGCTACGCAGACTACAATGTTTCAATAAAAAAGAGCTTCAGTTGCATTTTCTGAGTTTTATCTTCAACTTTCGGTTGCTCCGTACGGAATTTCAACATTTTTAGACACCCAAGCGCAAAGTTCACCATAACAAAATTCCTTAAGCCAAGAAAAGTTTATTTTTGGAAGTATTTTACAGGTACACCTATCAGCAAAGCTCAATTTTTGTGTTTTCCTAATCATGGATATTGTTCAGAAAAAACTCGCAAGTTTTTTGCAATTCATATCTTAATTACAATTTCTTGATAATTTTTATCATTTCCCGCTTGAACTGTAGGATTAAAACTTTCTGTTATTTGTTACAGCTTTTTGAACTTTTTTAGTTAATTAACTTTGGCAGCTGTACGGCCATTTTTTGGCGAAGGGTGCAATACTTCGGACCGTAAGAATTTCAGGGCAAAGATAGTATTGCTTGATTTTTCTCAACAACGTATTCCTAGATGGCATATCCTTCATGCTTTGATTTATGATCCTTCTAAAAAAGTCAGTGTTCCATGGGCTCCGAGGCAGGATGTAAAGTGGGATGGGGGGCTTGTCAAGGGAAAATTTGGAAATCATACCAAAAGATTTTGAAAAAAGCTCTCTTGTTTTGCAAAAAGTAGGGGGGGGGCATGCCCTGTGCTCATTTCCTTCTTAAAGCAAACACACTTTACTTTCCGTCTATACTTTCCCTGTAGATCACTACTTCAGACTTCATCTCGAGGCGAAAACAAACAAGTGCACGTCGAGCTCGAGACGAAAGCGTTGATCAGTGGACGAAAGACAGAAATATGCATTGCTGTTGCTGGCCTCGCTTCTGTTTTGTTTTCTCAACTGGGCGGAAATTGAAAGAAAAGATGGGGGGAAAGACCACCAGCACCCCTCCCCATACCCCCTAGCAGTTTTGCCCCTGGTCAGAAAACATCGCACAAATCATGTTATGAAAGGTTTCGTTCGCGACCAAAGGGGTCCATCTTTCGACGTGATTTCCAGAAATCCTACCACACGCCCAGTTGTCCACCCTCGTTTTTCTGACCTACATAATGATGTGGTTAACGATTATGAAGAGTGAATTTGGGCACAAAATTTTCTACTTTTAGAAGAGAAGAACTTGGAAATAACAATTCTTACAGCAAAATATTTGGATCTAGAGAATCATTTGCAAGTTGCTATGCAAGTTGCACTTTGAAACAATTACATCGTGCGCAAAGCCCTGACACAACGACTAAACATTTCACTAAATATTTCACTCAACTTTTGTTTAGTGTTGTTTAGTCGTGTTGAGTGTTGAGCCATGAACCTGTCAAATGTTGTTGGATTCAAGGAATGTGGAACATATTACGGATTTAGGGAGCTAAACAAGTTTTGACTGCTAAACATGATAAAAACAAAGTGGCCTTGGTTTTATTTGAACTTTAATATACTTTGGACATGATTATGCAGGGTTAAGCCCCCCCCCCCCCCCCTGGTGGAATAGATGACAAAGCTACAATCCCGAACAAAAATGTTGAGACAAAATGCAATTTTTGTAATTTTTTTCTTTATCTTGCCCTTGTAAATTCGAATCCCCCCCTTTCCTCTCGAAGCAATGTTGGATTTGTAGTTCCATCATTGAATTGGGGGAGGGGGAAAGCTATTTTTTAAAGGAAAGTGAAAATATAAGCTTTCTTGAAAAGTCTCAACCATTTTTGTCCGGGATTGTAGGTGGGGAGCAGCTATTCCGTTAAGTTGAAATAGCTAACAATTTACCTTGACGGTGAATATCTACAGTCGTGTTCTGGTATCAATATGGCATTTTCTTCCCTTCTACATTATCGTGAATGCAGTGTTCTTAAAACATCAGGTAAGAGGATAGCGGCTTAAGGAAATTAAGAACGGGAAAGCTCAATATTATTCTGGAGAAAGAAAAAAAAGCTTTTAGGTGGATGATAATTGAAGAGAATGAAAGCTAACGTATAATCTTGGATTTCATGCACATATTGAAAAAATACACAAACATTGATGGTAACAAAACCTGCTTGACAAAAACTTTGTTTATATTGACTCATAAAGACGTGTCAATAAAGATGGCTTAAAACAGTTAGCCAGCTACTTTATTGTTTTATTAAAGAAATTTACAAGATCAGCAAGATAAGCTCAAAGCCTTGAACAAGCGATTAGGAAGAGAGCCCTGTTAATTAAAAAACAGATTCAAATACGTATATATTTATAAAATTCTCATTTTTTATTTTGCTCTTTTATATAAAAATAATAACATTGATTATTACATGAGCATAAAAATTACAAGGTATTATAAAAAAGCTATCTTAAATGTCATTTTTATGATATCGTAGCCAAAAGAGTTATAATGAACTCTTTCCTTTACACAAACTAAGCAACAAACTTGGTAAAAAAGACAGCAACAAAAAACGCAATTATCGACCTAAAATATTTACCAGCATTGATGAGCCTGAAGGAGCAAAGTTCTAGATTCATTTAACATTAATTGCTGGCTTTGATCAAATAACAAACTGAGATAAACATTGAAATGATGAAAGGCAGGTTTTCGAAAAGAAATTTGAAGTATTTTTGTTAGATCCCAGAGCTGAAATGAGAATAGAATAGAAGTTCCTGTAAATTGTAAAAGGTAAAAGGAATGAAGGAATAAAATAGATTATACCTAGTCTATGAGATTGTTTTGGGAATACTTAAAGCTTTTAGTATGTTGTAAAATGTTTGCTTTTTTCAAAGCCATTTTCAAATTCTGTACCGCAAATTTTTTTTAATAATCTTGGATCTAATCCACAAATCTTGATCTAATCCACAAATCATACGAAAAACTGCTGTATTACAATTCATTCCAGCGTCACACTTTCAGCTCATACCGCCTCATATATATATATATATATATATATATATATATATCAATGTTTTCTACCCAATTTTCGTTTGTTTAACCTCAATAAACTCTAGAGAAAGAGGTACTTTGATCGTTTAAAGAAATCTAGTCATTTTTGAAAGAAAACGACGCAAGTACAAAAATCGTTGCCTCTTCAGGATGTGAGGGAGGTGCCGTTTCTTAAAAATATCTTACTATAGCACAATGATTGGAGTGTTAGGAACAGGCCTTATTGAAATTTTCGAAGGGGAACGATTTGAGGATTTATTTCTGAAAAGCCTGATAGCATATCTTTTTACGTCAAGTTTGAATAACTTTGTGAAGATTTCGAATAAATTTCAATATAAACGGATAGTTTTAACAGTATTTGTTTAATTCGACGTCAAAAAATGACTGCCTTACAGTTTTGGGACTGTAATCGATTTAACGTGAGCTTTGGTCCAGAACAAAGGGCGTTATGTAATTCAATAGCCAAAAGTCTTGGATAAATATTTGATATCCTCTATGATCGAATTTCTGAATGTCAAACTTCAATTTCTTGCTGGACCCGTTTGATTCAAAATTGAATGAAAATTTTCGTTGTCTCTAGGGACCACTGTACTTCCGATCGGATCGATGTGCGATTATAGTCTTTTGGAGCTTTTAAAGTCCTGTAAACTTAATCAAAATGAATAGATTGGATAATATTTTCCTGTATCTTAGTTACTAATCAATAATTATTTATAATCCTAAACTGCATACTTCAATAATTGTTTTTTATCCTTGGTAGTCAGAGTATTCTTTGCTGAAACTGTTCTGTTCCTAATTGCATTGTGAATACTTTCTGTTTTGTCTGGCTTTTTGAACATCCTTTTCAGAGCCTTTTTGCAGTTTTGTCTAAATTCTTTGCTTTGAAATGCATACAGTATTGGATTCATACAAGAATTAAAGTAGCCAAGCACAATGTTTACTTGATAAGGATCCGTGTTCCAAGAGGTATTGTCCTTTTTGCCTTCATATTGAAACAAAAAGTACATGATATTATTGGGCGTCCAACAAAGAAAAAATGTGGCAGAACAAAGAAACACTATACGGACAGATTTTTTTCGGTTTTCCATTAACTGCTTTTTGAAACGGTCATCACCAAAACATCGCTTTAGATTTTCATCAAGTTTTCCGAGACATTGTCGAATTCGGAAAAAATTCACTGTAAATAAAATTGCTGGTATGCCGTACTGAAATGCGAAAGCCGCGGCGAAGATGCCCTTCTTTAATGTTTCATCGTTCCATGAAAACACACAGTAATTTCCCAAATTGGGGGTTTCACCACTAGAAATACGTTTTAAACTTAAAACGGTGGGTAGCTGTATTACAAATCCAATAAACCAACTTGCAGCAATATTGAGCCAGATTCTGTGACACGACTGTCCAGTGCGTGACTTGAGGGGGTACCGCATAGCACGATATCTTTCGAAGCTTATGAAAACTAATATGTAAACTGATGCTCCACCAAGCCAAAAGGGCAGGAGGTAACTCGTTACACATTTGCAAAAAACTGTTCCTTTGGCTCCGGTGGGATGATCAAATGCTGATGTCGACATTACATAAATTGGTAAACAAACGATTGCAAGAATAAGATCTGTCGTTGCCAGTCCCATCAAGTAGACATTAAATGGCGCATTGCGGAAGGTTGGGCCGTTACTGAAGAACACCACACAAACGAGTAAATTGCCAATAAGGCCAATAAGAAATATTAGGCAGTAGCACAAAAGCTCCCAATATTTCAGTTCAAATGCGGCCATCGCAATCACTGTCACATTCGTCTTCCATAAAAATTGTAATTTGAGATACGAGGTTAACATTTTATTCATACAATAGACCAATTCGACTCACGGCCTCATTTTGAAAAATTCTTCAAATTATTTTGTACAAAATTTTTGACCTCAGATTCGGATTGCGAGCAATGATTTAAGTATACTTTGAAGTTTTCACTATGGTATTGCTCACGATATTGATTTTATGACGACAAAAAGATAAAAATTTTATAAAGGATTTGACCGTGATTGGCGACTAGGGGGTAAAGTTCCCCCCCGAATGATTTTTGCGGTCAAATCCCTTACAAGTTTTCAAACTTCATTCCTCCGTAAAATCTAAAATACAAGCACAAAAAATATGAAAAATTGTATCCGGCCTAAAATTATGGTGATAAAACCAAATTTGAGCTTTAAAAAGTCGTATAATTAGGTTAGGAGAAATTTTCAAAACGAGGCCGTAGGCCATCTTGAAAATGCCTCAAATACAAAATTCCCGGAAACTGACAAAATCATTGCGGACGTAAAATCACAAAAAATGCCATGATGGCCGGCGGTGACGTCCTACACGGTTGGCAAATTGTATGTTTTTCTTTGATATCTTTGCTTGGTTTGACGGGAAATTCAATTGTATGTTTTGTTATGTTTATGAGCGGTCCAAACCTTCGTTTCGTGCCGTTCAACGCTTACATAACATCGCTTGCTGCAACAGATCTCTTGCTGTCTGTGATCGGAATTCCGATTTACGTCATTTCAAAATCTGCCTTTCGCCATCCAGAAGGAGTTGCTGGAGACATTTTGTGTAAGCTCATAACAGGGAATCTTATTCCGTTCTGGCTAGCTGGTACATCAGTATATTTTCTTGTCTTGCTTAGTTTTGAACGTTACTACGCCATCAAGGACCCATTTTTGGCACGAACTAGAACAACATCAAGAAAGACAAAAATGGCGATAATTGGGGCTTTTTTATGCGGTCTTCTTGTGCAAGTACCAGTAATTGCTGGAGTAGAATTCACGAGAAGTAATGCAACTATCAGCAATTACTGTACATATGCATGGAAAAACAAGACTGGTGTTTTCTTCATATATCTTGTTACCTTAGCTTGTCAGTATGTCATACCAGCAATTTTATTTGTCATAAACTTCGCGCGTATTCGAAAAAGCCTTACAAATTTGGATGGTGTCTTGAGGAGACAGTCGTTACGGAAGGACCGCAACAGAGGGGTTGTGAAGAAAAAACGACGGACAATAAAAACAATTTTTATTCTAGTTATTGCATTTTTTGTTTGCTGGACCCCGAACACAGTGATGTTCTTTTTATTCCAATATGCTGGCGTTTCTTCCATCAAAGCAAACTCAGACACTTTTGAAGTAAGTGTTGTGCTGGCATTTTCAAGTGCCTGGGTAAACCCAGTTTTGTATTCCTTTCAGAGCCAAGAATTTCGATCACACTGCAAAACATCATTTGAAAAAATTAGAAGAACTCTTGCATCTTATCACTTGTGGTAAATATTTCAAAGTTCATACTTCTTAAATATAAGTTTGACATTGCTTGATAAGATAACAAATTCTTCATCGGATGTTGATAAATTATTTACAAGTAAATTGCATTTTAAGTCTCTGTTTTGTGCTTGCCATTTATTGAGCTTTAATTCATAACTTTTCGTATCAAGTGTCAATTTAGGTGAAATTAATTTGCACATTCCTTTGTCCTTTTTATTTTTTATAAAAAATCTGACCAGCCATAGAAATCAAGTGAAAGATGGTTACAACAATAACACAGTCCCTATATGTCCTTGAAACTTTTGCTATTTTAAGCTGAAGGCAGGATTGTGACTGCATCCATGGAAACTTACATGTTGCATCCAGTTCTTGGATTAACTACATAACAGGATGAAAATTTCCTTGGCATTTTTCGAGGTTTTCACACAAAACAAAGGAGGCTGGGTCTTTTACTAGTCTTTACAGAAAACCAATAGTTTATGAACGATTTATTCTTAGGAATTTCTTGAATCCAAAAAAGAGGAAAATGGGCCTGATGGAAACCTTTCCCACAGAGCACTCATGGTTTGCTCCAAAACTAAAATTAGACAAATCAGAGAATTTTTTCTGCATTATGATGTAATTTTATCACCCAGAAGATGTTATTTTGACATGTTCAAGGGAAAAAGTTGCTAGCTTATCAGCAGGGGAAAAGTTTGGTCCATAAAATGCCTTGTATATCTGATAATGTCCTTGGTTGACAACCTTTCAACAAAACTTCAAAATCAAACTAAAATGATCATAACTAATAGCTTTTCTGCTGTGAAGCTTCGAAGATTTCCAAAGAAGTCTCATTCGGTCAGTTGTAAAAAGGTTATGCTCCCGAACATTCAAACATACTTTCTACAAATGAATAGAGTAGTTGTTCATGAATTTTTGTGCAGATGTGAAACTTGGTATGTAGGATGCACTTGTCAATTATTAGATTAATTGCCAAAAAAATATGATGCAAAAAATTGGTTTTGATTTAATCGCAGTTATTTCCAGATTCTATCTGGCAAAAAGTTCTTGGTGGCATCCAGTCATGCTTAGTATACATTCACTGATGTATTTGAACCATCAAGGAAAACATTTCTCTTGATTATTGTGAAAGTCTATCTGTGTAAAATTAAAATTTAGAGATCTTTCTAGCGTTTGAAAATTTTGATTTCAAAAAAATACAGTGGGATTAATTTTTGATTGCCCAGCTTTATTTGTAAAAAAAAGAGATTTTACTGCCAGGAGTCATCATTGCTTCTAGTCCTCATTCTTTCATTAGGGCCTTTGTTACATTGTACATTCAGTGACTAAAAAACCTCCATTTTACACATACAATGCCAAACTTTGATTTCATGTAGTTTTATGTAGTTAAATCTTCAGTATTTATCTCTATCTGGCAATCAATATCAGCCAATCAATGAGCATGTGAGAGGAATCACACTCACGGATTGGTCAATTTCATAATGAAAGATGTCTTACTGTAAAAGCTCTGGTTAGCCCCCTCTCTTTTAAGCCACCTCTCTATCAACCCCCCCCCCTCCTATATAGGGTCTCTTGACAGATTTGAGGGTGACAGGATCATTCAATACAGCCCATGTAAAGATTTCCTTGAAGATACTGATTTTTATCCTTTCCAAAGAGTCCCAGAGGACGAAATTTGTTCTTATGAAGAAAAGAACATTTTATTTTTTTACTTTTACCAAACTTTGGAAGCTGCTTGCAAAGTATTTTGAGAACATTTATTAGCCTAGCCCCCTTCTCTAATAAGCCCCCTCTTGGACAGAAAAAAATTAAAACCCCCAGGGCATAATAGAGCTTTTACAGTAAGCCCCTTTAGTATCAGTTCCTAAACCAAGAATCACAAACTTGGAACTAAACGTTCAGGAATTCATGGTCAGGCCATACTGTCATATGTTCCAGTTTCCTTACTTTGTTTTCTTAGTTGGAATGGCAATTGCCTACCTATAGCTTAACCAAAGAGGAGATTTATAAAATTGTGAAGATTTGTTTACAAAAAGGGTTGTTGAAAAGGCACGGACAATGGATATTGAGTCTCTTGGCCAGGCTGTTGTGATTTGATCCTGGATGTGATGTTACCAGGACACATCCCAAAAATGTTTTGAAGAGTCTGTTGCAGCATCCTCCCCTTTTTATATTATGATCAGTTTTGCCTTTTGCTGGCAGGAAGAAATGCTGCAACTCTCCTTCTGTCATTACTGTCAAGAGAATGACAACTGATCACATGGGGGTATCATGTGACAGTTTAGTGGAGATAACATTGGTAGATATTTATAAATTGCCCAGGACCCTGACTCAAACAAACTTATATCTCTGCTGTTTGCCTTTAAGATTTGTTTTCCTGAACAGGAAATAAAGCTACTATTGGGCTAATTCTACCACTGACCTGTCTATTTTATGTAAGGCACACAGAACAAAATATTGATGACAATAGGTTGTTGAAGAAAATGAAGAAAGGGTGAAACATTAAACATTTTGTGTTGTTTGTTTAGTGTGACAGAATATTGTTGGGGGCCTTTATATTGGCCAAGATAGAGTGGGGAGCAACTTGAACAACAGAGCTCTGAATGATTGACACAGCAGAACTGTGACAGCTTCAAATGCACATATCCTTCAGGTTTTGGAAGTACTGTTACTGGGCTCTGAACTACTAATTGCTGTGGAATGAACTATCACTGGGACATGAAACAAGACCCCAACTCCGGAAGAAAAAAAACACATACAGAGACATCAATTTTGCACCATGGTGTACCTCTATTTTTGATCTATCATAATCAGATTACAGAAAGCACAGATATCACTGTAGTACAATTTGTGTGATGAAATACAGAATAATGGATATTTATTGGGTGATGGAAAATTTTGTAAATTATCTTAGATTATGATACAGATGATGGATCAACAAAAAACCTTGTTTTCAAAACAAAAAACTAAACACAACATTACTACAAATTTCAAGACAGACAAATAACATGCACATGAGTCGAGAATGTCTTTATCATTCTGAATCACAACCTTTTCTTGATTAAAAAGTTTGCTCGCATTTTTGAAATCATGGAATTCAGAATGCCAATTTTTGCTACCATTGAAAATAAATTTATGTGTTTTCTTTACAACAACCCTTATTTTCAAAAGACAACTCTCAAAAACCAAATATTTCTGTCTAATAGCAGATCTCAATGTGCCAAGTAACAGCAAAAACTCTAAAATCTTCCCCAAAAAAGATGAAAACTATTTATATCAGCACTGCTTTCAATGAAACTTATCGTAAATGCACTGTCCGCATAGAGCCAAATTTTCACACGTGGCTACGATTAAGCCAGAATTTAAGTGCCTTTGCCTATTATCAGTATATTATCTAGCTCAGAAAATGCATTTACCCCAGCAGTGAGTGCCCTTTTACTCAATAAAATACAATTGACAAAATTACACAAGCACCAGTTTTCACAGTCAATTACCTTCCAGACAATATCAAATATGTTGTTGCCCAAAGGCCTCCGAAAGCTAAAGCATTTGTCCAAAACTTGCTTTTCTTTGACATTGCATCTGACATAGCCTCCTAGGAAATTAAAGCTCCTGTTAAGTCCTACATCAATACATTTAGTACTGTACTAATGGGTTACAAACTTCTTAGAGAGCTTTATTAACAATTTATGGTAAAACTAGAAACAATTGTGGCAATAATGGCAAAGAAAATTTCATGTCAATGGGAATGAAAGCACCAATGAGCATGGGTTCAATAACATATATTATTGCATAGGAATTACAAAAATTGATTTCCTTCAACTTTTAAAAAGCAGATAAAACTTAATCTATAAATACAATCTACAGTTAAAGTAATCTTACCAAAAAATGATATTGATAAAAAACTGTAATAAGCCAATCAATTAATGGTGCAAGTGGTTCAAGCTTTACAACTTGGTCTGCGTTTTCAAATCTCGACCAAGGGGCAAATGGTAGATTAAGAGCGCCAAAATGTTTGGGGGGGGCTCAACATGAATAAACCAAGGCAAGGGAATTATTGGGGGTTAAGCCCTTGTACCCCTTGCTGTCCCTGACCTTAACCCCATATAATTGCCTGCAATTTTTGACCATGACCCTTGCCTTATCTCATGGAGGCTTTTAGGGCTGAATCAAGAATTTAGCAGCAATGCAGCAAAACTTATAAGGAAATATGTAGGTCTGGTCCTATGCAGCTAAGCAATAAGTTGCTTTTGCCTTAGTGCTCCCCTCACAAGCTCAAATGTTAAAAAAATGTTCTAAGATAAATATCAAAGAATTGTTTGAATATTAGAGCTGTGTGAGAAGTCTAGATTGCCATTTTGTAACCTTGAATTTAGTGCTATGTCTTGGAGTGAACAGATCACAACTATAAACATTCCTTATTGGGTAAAAGCTGGAATGGGATGGGATTTAATTTTATTGTTTTCCAGAAACTTTGCTTTCCCTATTATCTATAGAGAATTAAGGCATATAAGGCCAGCTACTCTAAAAATGAGTTCATACTGCATTAAACTTGAATTGGACAAGGCCAAGGTTTTGATTAGTTGCCTAACAAGCAGGTTTAAATGTACTATAAAAGTATCCACTTACCCAGCCACCATTTTTGTTTATCCATGGCATAACATGTTCATCTATGAACTCACAGAGCACTGCAGTGACTTCAACTACAACTTGAGGCTGTTTGTGCAAAATGAAATAGTGGCAAAGCACTCCAGCAAACACAAATATTGATACCACCCTTCCCCAGTTTATACCTGTAACTATAATCTCTTTACATACAGCAATGAATGTTGCTCGAACATTTTGATTTGTAACTGTAAGGGTTCTGGAAAGATGTTCAAAAAACTGCTCATTAGTATCCTCTAGTTCTAAACATAATTTTCCCATTAGCAGTTGCAATTCTGTTGGGTTTTGAGGTGGGATCAGAAACTCTCTAGGCAGCCCTTCAAGCAAAGATTGATCCAGTTTAGTTCTAAGACGGAATGGAATGTAGTAATAGGCCAGCTTTGATGTTGTCTCTTTCTCACTTTCACCACTGCAGATTGGCAGGTAGGAGAACAAGTGCTTGTGTACAGTGTTTATCACATCCATTTCTCTGCCTGCTCTTCGTCCTTGACCTATAGAATAAAAAAGATTGTCTAGGCTGGGCTGGTTGGTATCATTTTCTGTGGGAAATTTGGAAGTCACCAAATTGGCTGTAATGTATAATTGGTGTATTAAGTGCAAAATCAAGATGGAAACTGTGGTAGTCAAAAATATAGCAGGATAGAAACAAAGCCTAGTTGAGTACTGTCAGACAATCCTCAGAGTATAAACATCAAGGAATAACTTAGGGTAGGCCGAAATTTTTATTGATAAGTTGATCAAAACCAACATCATTGGGCTCGGAAATAGGGGATTAAACAGCTTTTGAAACACTAGAATGGTATCTCAAGATTCATATTCATCAATTAAACTACAAGAAGTGACAGAGTTAAAATGATTGTTAATGTTATTTCTTATTAGCTAGATTAACCTTTTCCTTAGAACTACGAAAAAAAATGTGTTAAGGTAATTTTTTCAAAAGTATCATAAGTGTCTAAATTGTCCAGGCCAATACAGAATGCCACACTCCAAAGAAGAGGAAGTGACTCTAAAGAATAGGAAGTGCTACAAAGAAGCAAGAACATCTATAAAAAAACTAAAACAACACACTCAAACAACGAAAACACAATCACAACCAAGCAACTCAAGAAACACACAACACTGACTACAAATGCGAATGGGGGGGGGGGGATGAGTCACATGCTTGCAAATAACAAGCTAGCCTGGGGGGGGGTAATGTTAGCATTGCTTGCCAGCTAGGGGGTATGTCTGTGTAGAGCTGAACTGATCTGAAGTCAGCCTGACTAGACCAATCAACTCTGGGGTGGCTTACAGCATATTAGACTAATAACAGTTTAATAACAAAGCTATAATAGTCTAATAACAGTTTTTCCAAAGCTAAAGGCGTAGTGGCCTTCAATTTTTTTTGGTAGACCCTAATTTGGATTTGTGATTGAGGCTTTGCAGGTGAAAAGTCTTATATTGAAATTCTTTCCAAAAAACCCAAATTTCCATTTCCTTTGTTTTTACTCTGTGAATGTGACTTGTTTGCCATACAAAACAGGTATGGAAGCCATTGTATTTTACTTGCATGTTATTAGCCTCTTTGGTCTAAGGCTGCGTTCACAATGGGCGCTTAAGAGTCAAGTTTATGCTAGATTGCTCCCATTTTTGGCTGTTCACATTTCCTGCTTTTAAAAACTTGTGCAATGGCATTGTTCATAAGAATTATTTTGTTTAAAATACATTCATGTTTGTCGGAGACCCCCAAATTTGAAATACAAGAATTGGAACTGAAATGTAAGTACAATCATTTGTCAGCAGAAAAGCGATGATGAAATGAGGTCCAACAGAGAGAATTCAGTGGATCCATCCCCCTCAAAAAGCTAGCTCTTTATAGTTTGCAGTGAGTGACTCCTTTTCTACAGGAGCTTGTAACTAATGTGGCAGCTAACTAACAAGCAAAATTGCATTAACTAGGGTCTTTGTATTTGGCAATTTTAACACTACAATAGATTCTATAGAAATTATCTCATAGCGACTGAAGACAAAAAGATTGCCCAGTGTGAACGCAGCCTAATAACACATTTCGGGATGCCTGCCCCCTACTTCATGAAAGAAAATTGCAAACAAAATAACTACCATAAATCAAATTGGTTCTGTGCAATGGATTGTTTTTCAAGCTTTTTTCTATGTATTTGAAAAGTCTAACATAAGAACAACTTTTATGCTAAAAACGACACAAGGCTGTACACAAAGACTTCTCTTATAAAGATCATTACGGTGTTTCCAGGAATTGCTTAGCAGTTTGAATATTGTGTCTCAAATTGAAACTAAAAGCAAAGAGATTCAATGGCAGCTTTTGTCATGAAAAAGAACTTGATGGCATTTATATTTGCTTTGACACCATCGATACATTTCTCTGGAGTATCAATTGCTGCTGTCATTTGATCTTTGTAGCCCAGGCAAGCTTGCATGTGTCACCTAGTCTTCCTGTTTTTTCATAAGTAAAAACAAGGATGTCTGAAGAAAACCAGGACATCCAGGTCAAGTGTATTAAACTATCTGTCTCCTCCAATGCTTTCACTTGGCCAGCAAAAGGGAACATCTACTGGATTCCAGTTACAAATATTCTGTGTAAAGTAACCTCACTTAAAATGAGACACAACCACAAAGCAAAGAGAGATTTTGACTCTGTTCGACAGTTTTACCAAGTTGTGTAGTTAATAAGTACTAAATGATAGATGCAGCAACATGTTGTTTATTGGTGATGTTTTTTGGAAATTATTTTTTAGCAAAATAAATTATTACATTTGATCAATTTCTTTGCCTGTTTCTTGTTGATTGAAACATTCTAGTACCATCTGGGATGGTCAAACCAAAACAATGACTAGAAACCTTAACCAAAAACAATAAGGTTGTGCCAATTTGCTGAAAAATCTGTGTATGTTGCCCTCCTTGTACAAGATAAATAATCAATTTTTGAGAGGTTTATTTCTCAAATTGACTTCCCAATCCCCATATATATTCATCTTTTAAACATTCATAATCAGGTTTTAATGTTTGTTTAAACTACTGACCAGGAATTATGATATCTCTCAACTGTAAATTTTTGCCGACTTCAGCACTTTTTTGATTCCCTAAAATTTCAACTTCCCAATGAGTCCCCATGACTTTTCTGCTGATCAAATTGAACTATGACCAGCATTACATGTGTAAAATATTCAACCATAAAAGCAAATTCGATCCTACTTTTCTGGGGGCTCAAAAACAGGGACCATATTTCCTCAAACTTTAGCCTGGAACAATTTTGAGAGCCTCATAAATAATAATTTCTTCCCTCTGATTTGCTCAAAAATTGCAGTTCACTTTACAAAGTTGCACAAAAATAAGCTTTGCTTCATAAAGATTTTTTCAATTCAAACACTGGCCCTTCAAAGTTTGAATTTTTTACTTTTAGAAGTAAATTTTTAGCAACATTAGGATACCATTATAGGCCAAATATTGAAGCATGAATTTTTTTTCTCTGTTACTGCTACCCAAAAGGTTCCAGAGTATCAGTTTTGAAGGGGCTACTAAAATCAGATCAAGAAATATTGGAGCTTAAAGTTTACAATTTATTTGTTTCCACCTCCCAGCATTCTGCATCAGAGCCAAAGCTAGAAACTTTGAAGAACCATATCTTTGGAATGCTACAAGATATCAAGCTGAAATTTTCAGGATGTTCCTATCTTATGGATGACCCGTAGTCCACTTGGCATGGAACGATCCCACGCACCATAGCAGTGGCAGAAAATCAAGGCTTTTCCCTCTAAAGTCTGCAGAAAAAAGCAAAACAAGTACGCCCCCTTTCAGTTATTTCCAAAAATTGTTGAAACCTCAAGCTACATTTATTTCAGCAATGTATATTGTGTGTACGATATTAACATTCACCATGAAGTGCTAAATTGACTTCATGCACATTCATCCTTCAGCCCCTTGTCTGTTTAAATTTTATTCCCAAGGCCTTTGTAGCAGTCGGAGTCCTAGTGAAACTCGAAAATAGGTCTCCCAATAGTCCTGGTGTCTAAACCCACCAGCAAAGTCAAAGAATAATCGCAATATTGCATTTCGAAATTCCTGCCTTGTATTTGTATTGAAATAACTGCTATTCACAGCGATGTTCCTAAGGAGACATATGTATAAGGAATGAATTATGTGGTAACGACAGTGATAATCACGAGGGGAATACCTTACGTCATCGCTATTAACGACAAACGGTCCGTGGCTTCTGAGAAAACTTTTTGACGTGCCCATGAAAAATTTGGTTTTAAATCTTTTACCTTCAGTTTAGGGTACGTTTTAAGAATATTTGCGAATCTGTTTTCTCACTGGACACCTGCAATAGCTACCACGCGCAAACTGCTAATAATAAGCACGTCGAGGTTTTATCCTCTCCTGAAGTCTAAAAATCCGTATTGCTTCAGGGTTTCCCTCAAAATCAACTAATGAAACAATAATATACTTGATTATGTAGCAAAACCAACGTCCTTTAGGAATATGTTCAGACATTTATAAATCGACGTAATATCCCTATCTTTATTATTCGTAGCTCAGGCTGTCCTCACTATCAAAACATAAGAGAAATAAAATAGACGGTACAATTTTCGCAATTCATAGTAGATAGGTACAAATTTAGCAAAGGCAATAGATTGTTCAAAATTTAATATTGCTGCCATTTAGAGGTTAAAAGTTTGTAAATGACGAGCAACTTTCCGGGATATGAGATCGCATACGTACTGGCCTAGGCGTATTGCGAGATTTTTTCGAGCATATTTAGGCTGCTTATGAACGGAAAAGCAGCATGAATTTTATATCAATATGACAAGAATTTGCCAAAGAACCAGAAAATGGTCTTACCTTTGTGAAATTTCTTCACATAGAAGCCTCAGAAGACATTTTTTTGGCTGGGATAGCCGCCAACCGACCTATCTAAGCAACGTAAAGTTCAGCAGGTGAATTGTTGATTGATGGTAACATTCCAGTAATTTCCTTCTATCGAATGCAGTGATTTGATTGGTTGAAGTAGCAAATTCTCAAACCTCATTGGCCAATTTTCTTTGAGCCTGAAGAGAAAGTAGGGTCCAGGTGACAACTAGGAGCACGTTTGCGAAGAGAAAAGAACCGAGTTTTGGGGTCTATGAGGCACATGGAGTCATTATAAACACAACGAAAATGCCTTGCTACTTACATATAGTCCTTCATCTTGAGAAACAATGTTACACGATTTAAAAACAATAATACGCTTCCTTGGAAACAATCATCATTGTTTTGGAAACAAAAATCCGCTTTTTGGAAAACAATGACATCCCTTTTGGTAAGCAATGCGTGGTAAACGTTTTGAGAACAACCCACCTTTACACATGACATATTTAAGATACGGGCTTCATATAACTTGGCCCACGATAAGCCTAATCATGATTGGGCTTGTCCAAATCACTTAGGCCATGATGTCTATTGGGCCACAGATTAAGAATAGTCTAACAACGATAATCAAGAATCAATAAAATATGGGACAGATATGGGACAGATCAGTTTGCAAATGCAGTGCCTGTCAGTCCAATATAACACTCTGGCTTAGTTTCTATCAGTGTAATAATGTATATTATAATTTATCCTTTTTGTTCAGGTAGATTCGATTTTGATTTGTTAACTTTGCATTGCATGTATGTGTACATGAGCACTTGTGTTTATACTGTGAGCTAAAATATTCGATCGGATAAGAATAAATTTACAACAATGTTACGATTTTACGCTTTTTAGCAACAATGATAAACTTGGGTGTAAATAATTATTCAAGTTTTAGAACTCCATATCATGGGTACAAGAAATCTGTGAAAGATTTTGTGACTCGACAGTGTGGATGACATTTTCCGGCTTGACAATTGTCCCGCAGAGACAAAAAATCAATTTTTCAGGTGTGGGAGGATCACAACCTCCAAAAACAAGCATTTGCAATTTTGCCGAAAAAATGGAAAAAAATTACCGATCAAAGTGCTAAAATTGTATTTCAACTGCAATTAGCCAAAGATGGGAGAGCTCCCCCACACCCTGCAATTTTCGCTCAGGTTAAATTTTCATTGTATTAGAGAAATCAGATTCAGGAACAAAGCAAAACTGCGACGAGAATCCAATAAGAGAAATGTTTCAAAATAATTTAAATTGAACGAATACTAATAAATTTTCTTTGCCCGCCGACACCACTATGCACCCCTGAAGATCATATGTTAATGAGCACAGGTGGAAAATCTAGCAACTTTTTCATCCCTCGATGTCATCTTTCTCCATCATTTTTCCCTCCAGAAACCATTGGCGTGTAGGAGAAGACACTTTGGGGACAATCTCGGTCCAGGAGATCGATAGAAAGCCTTCAACGTTGTCTTTTTTGTAAAAAGGCAAGAAATGACTAACGACAGTTATCTAGATACAGTTCACTGCGTAGTTTGCTACAAGATTTTCTTCGAAATCAAATACAGCATAATCTTGAAATGTCAATATATAAAATAGAGTATTATTTAAAAAAAGACATGTTATCCCTTGTCAAAACTTTGCACAATCTACAGATGCAAGTATTTTCATTCCATATAGTCCTATTTCTCTTGGATTCAGACTTCAGAGAATGCATTAGAATCCTTTCTTTCTTTAAAAAATTTGAGGAATTGTCGACCATAAGAGGCTTGTTCTTTAGGTTCAGTCGAGGTCTCAATTGTAGATGGCCAATTTCAAGACAATCTATGCGTGTCAACTGTCAACTTTCAGTTTTTTCAAAATTTACAAACGATACTTTCGCTAGATTCCTATTTTCGCTAGACTGTATTGCCGATCTCGGAAAGGTTGTCCCTATAGTTAGAAACAGCGCTTCTTTTCCTCTACTTTCTGGTTTTAATCTTGCTCATCCTTATGTTCATTGTAATTCCATGTGTCCACTCCTTCTTTTCTTGTTTATGATTAGACAGAAGACATCTTTTTTAAAATTCCTGAAAATAAAATTACAATTTTGACTTAGGATATTCACCTTTGACTCAAAGGCTGATGGAATTGTTGTCAAATGCTCATCAGCACAATTGATATCTCAGTTAATAATGTTGAAACATGATTTTTCAGTTATTTAATCTAAATTTTCCCTAATATATTAATTAAAATATATCTCAATTACAAAGAGATCTAATTTCTAAAAAAATGAATGAAAAAGAAACTTCTGAAATGAGTGCAAATCTCCTTTTGAGAGATGACATGTTGGCAATTAACTACTCTTCTGTTCGCGCGTGCTCATAAGACCTTCGACGCATTGAGCAAGCTCGGCGAAGAATCCAGCTATCAAACTTTTCAACGTTTCTGCGCACGTATGCTATTGATATTAAGGAAGTCACCGTAAGTGCAGGGCGAAGGCATCGATGCCACACATTTTATATTTTTCTTTTATTTTTCGTTGATTAGATTGGCATTGGGATGGCCAAAGTCTCAGAGAAGACTGTCATGGCGGACAGATGGGAGTCTTGCCGGCTAATTTGGGCTCCGGAAGTGTGTTTAAGCAAACTTAGCATCTTTTGCACAGTTATTTTCCTTTTGATTTTAGTTATTGTTCTATTTCTTTCAAAGTGTCCCCATTTTTCTCAAATTAGCCACTTTTGACATTTCTTGGATGATTCCTTGCTGATCCACTTCAAAGGTATCTTTACATGCTCTGGTATCAAATTTTATCCATAAATATCAGGTGTTTGGCAAGGAACCAATTTTAGCCCACGTGGCCAATTTAACGATACCATTTTGAGATGGTTACCCAAAGGAAAGGGGAAAGCTCTAGATAGGCCCTTTCAATCTAGACTTGGTGTAATTGTTTGACACCAACAGGCTTGTTCTTGTAAGGATAAGTTAGTTCAGTTTATGAAAGGTACTTCTAGAAAGTTTGCACCTCTAAATTCTGATATGAAGAAGAGTCTCATAAAGATTCAAAGGTGAGATTTAGTAAATGTTCTCCAGTGGCTAAATATTGCTTCATGGTAAAGGAAGCCAATGAAATGATGGAGAACAACCATCTCTTCCTGTTCAACCTAGAAGGTTTGAGTAGAAAACGTATGGAAGGCAAAATTTATCTTTAATTAGAAAATTTTTGGAGAGAGAAGGGAAATTGCCTTTTTCAGTGAAAAGAACAATCACTGAGGGACAGCTCTTGTATTCAATAAACTATTGAAAAGCAATTCATGTTGTACCTTTCAAACCCTAACCTTTTGATAAACCACAAATTTATAAGAAACCAGTGCTCTGGTGCAAGCAGCTCTGACATAAGTGCCTCTGGGTGGGATCCATATAAATTACAAAAAGAAATCCGTCATGCAGAGGCGCTGGAAGCTTCATGATGCGATTGGGGCAGGAACCGCAGAAAGGGCATCTTGGGGTAGCAAATTTTACTGCCAAAAAATCGGGAATCATCTTTTAGCTAGTGACGAAACCTGGTTGTGGGGGTGATGTCCCTGTCTAAGTGAAGAAGGTCGGGTGGTTTAGAGCAAGCCTCTAGGAAATTTTTATATTGCTACACCTTAAATTGTCAGAAAATGGGAGAACGTCCATAAAAATACATTTGAATCAAGACTACAGTCTAACATTATTCTCAGAAATTCTTTCAACCCAACATCAACCATCAAGGGAGGCTTGACCCAATCCAACCTTACTTAAGAACAAAAAGTTGTTCTGATAATCATGAACATGGGTTGGTATAACGTTTAGAACTCCTCTGAACATGCTGTGATATTGAGAGCAGAAAGAATTGTATCATTCTATTATTGTTACTTCTGAAGAGAGACAGCTCGGCTTTGAAATAGCTTCAAAATTTTCCTTTTAAAATTTCAGATTGCTCCAGAGTTCCCAGGGTTCTCATAAAAAAATCAAATAACTCAAAAGCTAATGACTTTAAAAAGAGTTTTTAGAACTGGCTTATACATTTGCGTTCTAGCCAGGGACAAAATTTCAATATTTTCATGAGGGGGTATTAAGCTGTGATGCCTGACGAAAAGGCATGTGATGCTTGACTTTCTAAATCTCCTAGCTGTAAAGAGAGCAATTTAAAAAAGAGATTGAAGTAGGGTTTCAATTTTATCACAGTTGAAAAACAAAACAGCTTGGAAATTTTGGAATTTACAATGTTTTAACAAAAATAGAAACTCCATAAAAGAGCTTCAGTTTTATTTTCTGAGTTTGATTTTCAACTTTCTGTTGCTCCGTTAGGCAATTAAACATTTTTAAACACTCAAGTACAAAGTGAGTGTATCTGAATTCACCATAATACTTGATAGGTACACCTATCATCAAAGCTCAATTTTTGTGTTTTCGTAACCATGGATATTGTTCAGAAATGCAATTCATATCTTAACCACAGTCATTTCTATTCTGTGTCTCTACAATTCCTTGATAAATTTCTATAATTTCCCACTTGAACTGTCAGCTTAAAACTTTCTGTTACTTGTATCAACTATTTGAATTTTCTTTAGTTAAAAATGGCCATTTTTGGCAAAGGATGCAATACTTTCGGACTGTTGTGTAAAACCTTAAGAGAATTTCGGGGCATAAGTCCTTATGAATGTATAATGAAATTTTTATACATTTGAGAGGAAAGTCTTGCTTGATTTTTCTCAACAGTGTATTCCCAGATGGCATATCCTTCTTGCTTTGATTTATTATGCTTCAAAAATGGTCAGTGCTCCATGGGCTCTGACACAGGATGGAAAGCTGGGGGGGGGCATGCCCTGTTTTCATTTTCTTCTTGCATCAAACACACTTCTCTCTCCCTCTATACTTTTGCTGTCGATAAATATGTCAGACTACACTTCCACATCTCGAGGAGAAGATAAACATGTGCACTTTGAGCTCGAGATGAAAGACAGAAATGTATTCTGTTGCTTGCCTTGTTTCTGTTTTATTTTCCCAACTGGGTGGAAATTAAAAAAAGATGGGGTAAAAAGATCATAAATTCAAAAACCTAGCTGGGGACAAAATTTCCAGATTTGCCTGACCGATATACTGGCAACCATAAATTTGCCTGACAAAAACATAACATGGAGCACCCAACCCCCCCTCCCCCCAGCAGTTTTCCTCCTGATTATAACACAGCTTACCAAATTCAAGCCAAGTTTTCAGGATATTTGTTAAGGATTTCAACTAGAGGGGATTCAAAAGGGGCAAACTAGGACAAGCAAATAGACCCACTGGAACAAGTTCCTTCTTGATCAAAAAAAACATTTTGAATAAACATCTTGAATTCAAGGACATAGAAAGAATTATAAAAGTTGGGGGAGGAGGGAACATTGAAGGCACCCTAATAAAGATTCCAAAAAGGGTAAAAAGGCTGTTAAGATATTATTTTTTTAGCTTAGTTCTGAGTAGTACTACCGAAAGGTTTCAAAAGCCTTGTGAAACAAGTGAAAGACGAGGCCCTTTGTTTGCAAGATTAGCTAAAAATCCATTCCAGGGTATTTTTTGTAGTCATTTTCCTACAATCCTTTAGAAAATTTTACAACTTTGTTATGCCTTGAAAATGGTTTAACAAGCTGTAAAGCCGGAGGACCCCCACTTGGGTTTTCCCATTGGCTCAACATTACAGTTCTAAGATTATCTTTAAATTAAAGAGATTTCAGGTATACAGAATAAGTACTGGAGACCCAATTTATCTGATCAGAAAAGAGCAAACTGTTTCTAGAAACTCCTGAGAAAGAGCAATAAGAATCTACCAAGCCCCCGGTTGCTTGTGTACAAAAGGAAGAAATTTGGAAGACATTTCAGCAGCATGAAATACCATGTTTACATTGAAAAAAGATCTTACTAGAATATAAAGTTCTTGTAGAGTAATACAATCATTAGAAGTTTATTGCTTTGCATTTCAAATTCTGAAGGCCATTACACATGGTCAAGCCTGAAAAGCAAACTCTGGGACAGGATTTTCTACCTTACTCTTAAAAAATGCTCACAACTTTGCCGCACCATTCTGACATAGCAGACATAAATAGAAGATTCATTACACCACACCATTTAACAAATGGTTATACTTCACTAGAAAACTGGCTTAAGGTTGCTAGATCTGTGAGATTTTTTTCAGAATCCTTGAGAACATAAGGCAATTTTTAAATCTGAAACCGTTGGCAGACTCAGGAGACTTAGCATGGCAACTGTGCTTTGAAGATTGAAGCCACAAGTGTTTGAAGCAACTTTGAGAGCTGGTCAAGAGTGAAGTTGCTCTTTTAGAAAAGTTCTGAAAAGTGGAATTGGGCCTTTATTCCCCTTTGCTAGTGTCATTGTTCAATAAAAGATTGTTAAAGCATGTTCCTTCTCGGCAATAAGTACCAAATTTCATTTCTACCTCCTTATTTTTCTCATGTATCTATCTGCTCTTCAACAAAAGTTGGACTTGAGGTCACTACCCACCATGTCCAACTCATTCTGGTCCTGTTAGGTTATTATTTCCCCCATGGAATTGCTCGATTTGCCACTAAATGTTTTAATTGCCCTAATAAATCAATCTAAATTTTTTTCCAGATGATGATGGACCAAAACTCAGACGTGAAGCTGGAAAATCTCACACAAGTTTCTGTCCATGGTAGTCACTTAGGTCAAGTGGAGCCAATGTCTGATGATGTATCAGATGACCCATCCTCCCCAGAGTCAACTACATTCGATGACAGTGACTTGCTCAGTGGAGGTATGGCATTGTTTTCAAGCAAGTAAATGTACCATTTTTGTTTTTATAGTTTGTTTGAGTGGAGAAAAATAGGCAACGATGATAAAGCAAAGCCGAATCCCTTTGATAGGGAAGGCCAAGCATATGTTGCACATACATTTAATGTGATCTTCTTGACGTCCCATTTTGAGGAACTTGAGAAGTTAGTGGCCGGTCCTTAAGGAAATTAAAATATGCCACGGAACACCAATCCCACGTTATCAAAAAGCAAATGTTTCTGAAAAAGGGCCTTTTTGTGGACGAAAGGCATCTAATCCTGAAAATATGTGCCCTTTTTGAAAAAGGGACACTTTATATTGTGGAAAACTTACATGGCATGGGTACTTTTTTGTTTGTTTTTTGGCGCTACAAAATTTGAAAATGAGTTTGAAAAAGCAAATATTTTACAACATACTAAAAGCATTTCTTCGGACTCTCCTCAGAGGATAAAACGCCAGAAGAAGGCAAATCAGAAAAATGCGAACACATGACCGGTCTAGTTGTCCAATCAGTACCGCATGCCTATAGAAAAATTACCACTGGAGTCCAAAAGAGAAAACGTACCCATTCTGTCTACACGAAGGCGGCTTTTCTGTTTGTATGTAGATCAGTTCAAAAACTGCTGGATGAAAAGAATGACTGGACTCTGCCAATTACCCAGTGGCGATTCTAGCCTTAAAAATCTGGGGGGGGGCTAACCGGGGGCCAAACTTTCAGTTATAGGAGCCAACACTAGCTTTATTTTGGGAACTAGTATAATGTAAAGCAGTGGATTGGTGGCTCAAAATTAGCTAGCTACAAGGCACTGGCTCTTAGCTCCCCATAGATAAGTATGTCCTTGGTACAGCTCCATTAAGGCTGGTATCATTATGCCAAATAGTTTTATTTGTGGTGTAAGGAGCAGCTGTGTCCTCTAGGAAAAATAACAAAGAAAAATTGTTACTGGGGGCCCCTAAAGGTTCGGGACCGTTTGTTATATGACCAAAAGTAACTTTGTTCTGTTACTCCACTGAGTTTTATCTGTTTAACGATAATGCATCATGATCATGGTTTTCAACAGAAAAACTAAACTTCTAAAAAATAAAAGTCTAATAGCTTTATGAGATTGATTGGTAAAATTTTTCCATAGTAGTTATGTCTTATATCCAACCTCCATGAGATCAAGGAAAACATCCTGTTACGCAAAATTTCAAGTCATACAATTTCATTAAGCAATAGTAGATTGCCATGGTATACTGGGATGGTATTTGGCTGACCCTACGCACCCCACCGCAAGAAGGTGGATTTTCGTGATAATATATAGCAAATATAGAATTTAAATGATTATCAAGAATGAGTTTTTCTTGGTAACTACAGAACTCTTGGGTAACACTTGGTTTTTACTTGGTAACTTATTAGAAAGGAGCCAAAATTTCATAAATGTCCACCTCGGTTACAAACCAAAACGCTTATCGGGGCCCCTAGTTTGTTAAATAAATGCAATAAAGATAGCATTGAGGAAAATAAAGAGAGCAAACCCTAACAAAGTGAAAAAACGATTGAACAGCTTCGGCAGAAAACATTGAATTTTTAATAGAAACTTTTGAAAAAACTTGGGGGGGGGCAAAACAAGGGGCAAAGAAGATTTCTGGGGGACCGTGGCCCCCCTTGGCCCCCCTTGGCCCCTGTAGAATCGCCACTGAATTACCTGAAACATACCGTCTGGTTTGACTAAAAGGCGTTGTCCGATTGCAGAATCACTAGTTTTTACTGTGTTTTTAGGCCTACAAGATCGAGGATGCTGTTCTCTTTGAGGGACAGTTTTGTTTCTTATGTTGGAAGGAACATGTTGCTTTATCCATGTTGAAGAAACGTGTTGTCTTGGCACGTAAATTAGAAAAAAAGCGGAACGTTTTGGGTCGTAGAAAGGTAATCCTCATGAATTAACGGGGAAACCTTCCTAGTACTGTAAACAATACGAGGATTGACAGCAAATTCATTCTTGTTAAAACTTTAGTACACAGGTCACTCATGATCTGCTTGAAATCTAAACTCCACGCTGAATTGGACAAACCCAGAACGATTTTTCTGGACAATGGCTATTCAGATGTCATTTCTTCGTACACTGGGGAAAGAAAGGATCGCAAGTTTTTCGGCTGTCAAAAAGGTTTGGTCCGCAAAAGTGCCCAGTTTGTCTTAAATTACCATTTTGGTAACATTTCATTGCGATTCGAAAGTCAGATTAAACAGGCCATCACAAAATGTTTCTTTGCTGTCAACGGCTGGTTTTATGTAGCGATTGTAGCACTTTTATCTGTATACATCAACTCCCAGCAACCTCATGTCACAGCATAAAATAAACAATTGTTCTTGCTGTTTGAATGGAGGAAAAGTCAATAAGAGACAAACCACTGAATGTGCCAAAAGTTACATAATTGCTATTTACTCATTTCAAATTATTCTAGACTTTTTAGGAAACTTTCATTTCTGATCCACATACTTTAAGTTCAAAAATTTTCAGCGGATAAAATTTTGGACAATAACTAGGGCGCAAATATTTTCTGACATATCATTTAGATATTCAAAGCAAAACAAGGTCAGGCTACTGATTCACACATGTTTGTAAGATTGTTTTCGTACACTTGAAAAACTTGAAGAGGCTCTCAGTACTGAAGATGCGAAGAAACTTTTGGCACCGAAGTTTAGTGACGTTTTGATAGACGATGAGAATGATGACCTTATTTGTTTGGAATGATAATTGTAGTTGCTTGGAAGAAAGCCAAAATTATAGCTTTATCAGGATATGTTATAAACTAGCATTTTCTTTGCTAGGTGGTGTGCCAGATGACGTCACAACACACCTTGCCAACGCTGGACCAATTGGTGTCGCTGCTGCTGCGGCCATTGTTACTGGCAAAAAACGCAAGCGACCTCACTCATTTGAGCTGACACCATCAGTGCGTAAGCGGCAAGCAACGCGATTGCTCCGCAAGTTGAAGCAAGTCATTGATGAATTTACCACTCGTGTCGGTCAGCAAGCTTGCGTTGTTGTGTGCTGTCCAGGAAAGGTGAACTCATCCTTTAAGGTATTTGGGGCTGCACCACTAGAAAATGTTGTACGAAACTGCAAGCAGCTGATTATGAATGACCTCGATAACGCGCTGCAGCAGCAAGCTCCGCAACCCCAGCCTGACACCTCAGGTTTGCATGAGTTGCCTCCTTTAGTTGTTGATGGAATTCCGACGCCTGTGGACAAAATGACGCAAGCACAGCTGAGAGCATTCATCCCAGTCATGCTCAAATACTCGACTGGAAGAGGGAAGCCAGGATGGGGAAAGGAAAGCACTAGGCCGCCATGGTGGCCTGAGGACGTGCCCTGGGCAAACGTAAGGAGTGATGCAAGGACAGAAGAAGCTAAGGCCAGCGTCTCTTGGACAAATGCGCTTAGAAAAATTGTTCGAAACTGCTACAAATACCATGGTAGAGAAGATCTACTGATTGAGTTCAAAGAAAATGGCGAAGCTCAAAGTGTGTCACATGAAACACAGTATACTCAAGTTCAGTACCCCCACATGGTACACACGATCAACAATGCTGATGGCACTGTCTCAATTATACAAGTAGATGCTAGTGGAACTGTTACCACCCTTTCCGAAGCCACAACACATTCTGAAGCGACCCAAGCTGTAGCAACGCTTGCAGAGGTCGCTGCTGCCTCGCAAGGGGAAATGATTCTACAAACCCAACAGGCAACATCAATAAGCATCGACCCAGCTGCCCTGCAAGGGGGTGAGGGTGTCACTACCCTTACGGAAGCCAGCCTTCAAGACGGACAGCTCCTCCTTGGTGATGCTGCATCAGCGGCAGCCGCAGCGCTTGTTGGTGTGCATGAAGGGTCGGGTGTTGTCAGCATACCTGTTCAGGCAGCTGCTGCCATGATGCAGATACAAGGAGGAAATATCATACCCATCTCAACTGCCACTGCTTTGCAACTTATATCTTCAAACGCAGCGCAAATATCGCTTGCATCGCACACAGCCCTAGCTGCTTCAAGTTCGCCAGTAACAAACACCACTTCAAGTATTCATTTAGACAGTTTACCAATATCAGAGCATTCTGTCGAGAAGTCGCACAACGAAATTGTCCCTGTAGCGGTGCATGCTGTCGAAGTGGACTCACTGGGCGAAGATCCTGAAAGTCAAGTCAGTAGTTTTCTGTGCTGTCTCAAAGACCCCCTGTCGCCCTCCAGTGCTGATGTTCACAATATGCTCCCGATAGTTGGTCAGGTTGTTCAGTTGAAGCCATTTCGCAGAAAGCTTTTGCCGATTTCGTTCAAAACAACACATTTTGTATTGGAAAGATATAATTGGCAAAACAGTTTTGCTAGTCATTTATTCTGTATTTGAAAGAATAGCTCAGTTTTCGGACCAATTCTCGCATGCGACATTCCTTTTGTTCTTGCTGTAGATGAGTTTTATGTAAGATTAAATTTATTTTCTAGGAATTGTTTTGGTTATAATTTTTTAATTGTCGATCTCGCGAACAGATTATGTGTTGATCATACACAACGGTTTTTAGATTTTAGGTCCTTTCTGTCCCTCAAGTTTAATGAAAAGCCTCGAGAACACGTGATGTTGACATAGTGATTAACAATTGTTTCAAATGATAATCTTTAGATGCAAATCGGTAATTATACATCATCACGATATTAAGATAATCTTTCCTTAGAAATAATTGTTTACTTTTATTTGTCCAATCAAATTGTTTTGAATGGAACGCTGGTACGGTTTAAACATGAAAGCTTTTGATTGATATGTATAAAGCGGCTTCAGAAGTTGAGAAACTTCAGCCTTTTTCCAAACATCCCCCATGCTGTACCATCAGGCTCGTCTGCATCAGCAAAAGGCAAAATGTTCCAGTCTAGTTGTCAAGCGATAATGTAGCACGGAGATCAAAGTAGTTGTTTTAATTGTCTGAAATAAATTTTAATTTCAGAGAAGCTGAGAGGTGTCTTCGCAGTAGTCTGAATATTTAGATAAAGGAGAGAGCTCAGATTTCTATATTCTCAGATCCCTATAAACTTAATGCTGGAGAATCATTGTTCGAAATTTTTTGTTTTCCTTTTTTCTATTTGTTTTTCTAGTTTTTGCCCACCAAAATAGTAGTCAGTCTATAAAAACTCTATCCACTGCAGTTCTTTGATGAAGTTTGCGAATCAAATTTAAAAAGATTGTTTCCAGTTTGAAACTGTGCATTTCGTCAAAGATGGCCAATCAGTTAGTGTAGTTACCCCCAGCTCCAATAAGTTTTTCTCTGGATCTGTTCTCAGTGGCGGATTTAAGGGGGGGGGCAACTAGGGGCAGTTAACTCTCGTAACCAATTTTTGAAAATTTTTCAGCGCCCCCACTACCGACTGCCCCTCCTTCAAATTTGCTCTGGATCAACCCCTGTCTGTTCTTGAGATTTCCTAGCGTCAAAATCATGGAATACAAACCGTGTAGTAGGACCACGGAATAAGAATAACTTATTCTGTGAGTAGGACTTTCGCTACATGGAAGGAACCTAGCAGCTAGCTTTAATAGTAATTCATTTCAAAAGTAATCATATTGCCGAGATGTTGATTTCGTGACAACATTATCTTTGAGAAAGGATAAAGATTTGTGGAAATTGCTCCCCTTGTTAGTATGTTAAAACAAGGCCCTGGGTCTCTGTCTGTGGTGAACGGTGCTCAATTCAATGTTAAGATGTTTTAAAAGAGGTCATGTCAAAACTAATCTTTTTCGAGATAACTCGACGGATGTCATTTTGAGTTAACATTTTTGCAGGCAATGCAGTGATTGCCTTTCTTGTTTAGTGATAACGATAAACACCAAATTTTTATAACAGCTTTGTTAATAACCATTCTTAAAACTCTAATGATTTTAACATTTGTGATCCTCTATGAAACTTTCCATGCTTGAAGAAAATTTTATTTTATATAAGGAAATACTACGGAAGAGACGAATTTGCATTTGTTTGTGACGAATTTGTGAGGCTTTTGAGGAATTTCATCGTTTGCGCCCATTTTATCAGCCAAACGCAAATTGTTTTACATCTACAAGTTACTCATTTTTATTTTTACTGAAGTTACTTGTGTTACCCTGGGTACCACACTCTCTCCAAAGCTTTAAATTTTCTGGTCCCCACAGCCTTGTGGCTGGCATCGTCAATATGTTTAAAAATTTGTCATTAAAAAGACAAGATGTCAGTGAAGAAGCCACAGTTCTGCAACCTCCTTCTCACCACAAAACCAGAGCGCGGCACCCAAATGAAATGTTTTTGGTTACTAGGTGATGAATTGTGCACGTGCTCCAATTGTGTACATTTGACCTTTGGCGGTCTCGACCTAAAAACACTTAGATAAAAGGAAAACATAAAAAAGGTCATCCTGCTGTGATTTTCAGTAGTATAAAGCAAACAATTCGGTGTATCAAACTGAAACGGTTCGATTTCAAAACATAAAGCACAGATGCGTCCTGAGCAACAAGAAGAAACATGGTAGGTTGCGATTTTTAAATCGAAATTTATGCCCCCATTGTGTTTTTCTGTAGAACAGATAGCAGATTCGATGGCCTCTTTTTAAAGAATGATCTGCCGGTAGCTCAAAATATTAGGACTTTTTTTACTGGTTTTCAGTATTTTCTGAGCTTTGTAGCGACTCCCCTTTTGTCATTTAAAGTATGAGTGAATCGTTCCCTTGTAAATCACCGATTTTGAAAAACCCCTGACTGTGACCCAACTTCTAATGAAAGCAGTGACTGGATGCTGTTGTGCTTTATATGAAAGGACAACTTGGATATATTCTTTTCCTTTAGTTTTACTCAACATTATCAAGACAAATGTATTTTCGAGGGGTCTTCACAAAACTGTAATTGGCCTGTCAAAGTTAAACCGCCCTGGAGCCACCCGTTGTTACATGAAGATAGCCTTCCAACTGGTTTTTGGAAGAAACACTTTATCAGAAATTATGTCTTGCAAAAACATACTCATCCAATTAAAAACTTCAAAACTTAAAGAATTAATTGATTAATGAAAGTTGAGACACTCAGATTAAAAACTACTTTGTACATATTTTTTTCATTTTTATTTTAAATAAATTTTCCTGGTACAATTTACTTACATTGATCGTTATTTTAACATTTTGTTGGTGGTCTAAACATTATGAAAGTGGTTGCTTCACAGAACAAATCGAAAAACCTCCTTTGAAGTTGGCTAGCTATTTAGTAGAGAGCAAAAAAAATTTAAGTGCTTCTTCTGAAAACGTTTGTACTTGTTTAGTTGATTGGTGCATAATGTACATAATTTATTCATCAAAACTTTCTATTCGAAGAAAAATCACTTTTTAACACATAAAATTTGAGGTCAATGATGGACAAGTGAAAAAATCATCATCGAAAAGCAGAAACCCAAGTTCTAAAAGTAAGACCTCAAATGCAACAGGAAGCAGGACCCCATCAAGAAGCCCATCTCGAAAAAAATCTGGAAAAAGTTCAGCTAGGAAAAGATCAGCAAAAACACCAAAGCCAGATGTGGACCCAATGAGTTCAGCTGCCATGACAAATGCATATTACATATGCCATAATGCTGCAGATTTTCTCAATTCTAGAGGATTTGGCTATGAAAAAACAGGAAAGAAGAAAAAGAAAGGTAAGGGTAAAAAGAAGAAGAAATAGCAAAGAGGAAACTGAATCCATTCTTGATAATGAAAAATGTACCGACCAAGATTTTCATAGATAGCTTACCTGGTCCAGTTCTAGACATTGTAATTTGATCTACATTTAGCAAGACACTCGAAGGTACAGAAGTGTGGATCTGCCAATAGCAGTTCGGGTATGGTGCTGCACGTGAAAAGATGACCTTTAAGAACCAGTGACACCAACTTGCCTTCAATAATTTTTTACCTTGATTTATTAGGTAACTTTTTGAAAACATTGTAAAAAGCCTTATAGTTCCAAGCATATTGAAATAACTGACTTGTACATTCTAAATTTCTAGCTTCAATCACTATAAAGGCTCATGGGAAGTGTCAAATTTTGCACACTTACAGTACATAGAACAACTGCCAATTAATGCTTTTGAATACTTCTGAAGCCTTAGAAAAAATTGTATTTTTGAATGCACCTTGTAACTGGTGGAAAATGTCAAGATACAATCAAATTGCAAAAATTTCTGCTATTCTACTGGTTTTAGGAAGCAGTACTTTATAATGATTGCAAGATTTGAAAAATTACCAAGCAATACTACAGACAATGTTTTTGGCAAACCATGATACTTGGAATTAAAGGGAGAGTTTGACTACAAACCATGTTTGACAGGTAGCATAGCTCTTTGATAAAAACCTCTATCACTGACAAAAAGTTTCATTACAAACAAAATATTTAGAATAAATCACAAAAATCTGAAAGGACAAAAAAGACAGGATCCCTCCACAGTAACAATCTCCTTCTTCTATTAAAATATAAAGTATTTGATTTTAATAGAAACCAGAATGTAGACAGCAAGCATTTACTGTAAGCACCCTCAAAGTGTATTTTTCTCTTAAAAATGATACCATTTGTATTAAAGTATTAAAATTTTTTATCAACAATGAGAATATCAAGGCTAAAACGTGGCATGAAAGCTTTGTCAATTAGTAAGAAAATATCAATTAAACAAAGTACCAGATTTTGCCATGTATAAGACACACCTCTTTTTTAATTTTTATTGGCTTTATTATTGGCATCTTATATATGGTAACATTGACTGTCCTACCATTTCCTTTGAAGGCAAAGTGTCATTTTATAGACAAATTATTATGATATTTGGAGCTTATGTTCTCTTAATTCGAATAATCACACTTTTACCCGAAATTTAGTAAAAACTTTAAATTCTCCATCCACAATAGAAAAAATATCTGACAAAAGTTAGTGTCTATAAAATTGTCATGTTTAATTTTTCACTGAAAGATGCATTCCTTACAAGAACTGAGTAAAGGGGGTGCATCTTATACATGGCACGACACAGTAGAAATAATTTTTTCAGAATTCAAACATAGAATTAAGGGTGTGTCTTATGCAAGGATGCAAACATGGCAAAATAATGTATTTAGTCAATATTACTACTGTTTCAAGAAAGATAAGTCTTTGACCAAAAAGCAAGCCTACCATATATAAATTTGACACTAAAATTCAAAGGCAGGCTACCTATGTTAAATATTACACTCAATTATTTCTAAAGTAAATATACTAAACAAATGATTTGTTGAACTGAGCTTATATAACATTGCTGAATAGTTTCATGTTAACATTTACTAATGAGATGGGAACTTTGAGTAGTTTCTCTTGACAATCCACAACCATCGAAGCAAAAAAAGGTGACCAGAAACAGTTTTTCAGTAAGAATCCAATGTTGCGAACTTTTATATTTGTATGCTAATGTTCTTAAGTCAAGGGGTTGGGCAAATATATGCAATATATAGATAAATAAAAATATTTCATGCCAACATTTTCTTGAGTCTGAAATAATTTGATATTATTGCAAACACTGCATTCATTTATTAATAAATTAGAATGAGTAAATGACAAAAAAAGAAATTTTTATAGTCAAGGAAACCTGCATATTTCAGACTCAGCAATACTTGGAATATCACAAATCTTATTTCTTTATTTCACTTTCTTCTTAAGTTTGATATAAATTATTTCACAGATTTATCAAAAGGTTATCAGCACAGACAATACAGCCTATGCTAAAAACGAATACATATTGAGAACCCTAAAACTTCTGTTGAATATTTCCTAAGTCTTAGAACAGAAAAGTTCTTCCCCAAACTCTGTTGATAACCATCATAAGTTTTAGTCTCCTACATCTGCATCTCTGTCTCCTATTAGCCACAGGGCATGGAAAGCAACAGCAAGAAGAAGTGTACCCAACAGATCCCCAATGGCAGTCAAATATGGGATAGAATAATTGTCAGGGTCATTCTTTCTCTTCCACATCCAGTGAACCATCCAGTTTGCGACAAATAGCAGTATTGTTACCTTGTATGAATATATACACAAATATATAAACTGGTCATCAATAGATCTCAAAGAAAAATGTTTTCATAATTTCAGTTTTTAAAAAGTGTCACAGAACTTGGTATCATGGATCAATTAATTGAAATCACAAATAATAAAACAATTCTTTAGTAGTACAAAATTAGAAAATGGCTTTGAAGAAAGCAAACATTATGCAACATGAATTATAACCTAGGAATATATTTCTTTCTTGATCTTTTCAGCCCTTATTCTGATGTTTTACAGTCTGCAAGTGTCAAAGGCTTGAATAATAAGTCATGCTGCAAAATATTTGTTTCTTAACAAGCCATTTTGAAATGCTATGCTAGCAAAGTTCAATAATGTTTCAATCAAACAAGTATACGCAAAAAATTATGTAAAAACAAATTACAAAAATAAGGCAGAGTAATAGCAAAATGATAGTTAGAGATATTTCACAGCTGATTAGCTTGATCTATGCTATAAAATTTATATGTTGATTCTTTATTCATATAAATGCTGGGAAAATTAATGTATCATTTTGCTAAATAGAAATATCCAATAGGAAACACAAATTCTAAACAAAGTAAGTGATTTTATAAATAGATACCTGAAGAATTCCAACAAGTAGGTATGTTGAAGTAAAAATTGGTGTTAAAGATGTGTGTCCAGCTTTCATCCACGCAATGATGCTAAGGAAAATCATGTGACCTGGGACTGACATTGCAATTAAAATCCGTGCTGTCTTTGAATGTCCACCTGAAATGGAATTTTGCTTTGAAGGAACCATCAACCTATTTCCACGTAAGCGTTTAAGAATTTATATCTATTGAGATCAATTGTTCTACCTTATTAGCGCTACCAAATCTTTTGGACTTTCTATGTTCTACTGCCCTTTAAAAGCATGAAAGAAAATATAATATTGTAGCTCTGTGAAAGATGTTACAGGATACCATAAGCTTCACAAATATTTTATACTAGGTATATAATAACATACAGCTTGCTAAAAATGCTAAAAATATTTTAAAAAATTCCTGTAGAACTGTATTCATGGAAAATTTCCTGCGACCACCCAGTCACATGGTCGGCTGGGTTTTCATGTCCTGGCCTCCATTAAAAATGAAATTAAACTAAATGCAAAAAGTTTGTTTTCTGCACCAGCAGCCTCCTGAATTTCTATTGATGGATCCTTTGCCTTATAAATATTCATGACATACAGCAACAAAATTAGGTGTAAATCAAATGAATTTACCTGCAGTACAAAAGGAATGTATGCACCCATATCTAACACCTTGTGGAAGCTTTCCAAGAACTGATACCCTGTGAAGTGAGGTTGATATCCTGCTTGCCTGAACAGCAACCAAGTTGCCTCCAACTCCTGGAAAGAAAAATACAGGAGAAGTATCACACATATGAATCAATTGATGAAAAAAGCAAAACACAAACAAATACTATTAAAGCTTTTTTAGAATTATACTGGGATGTAATAAGTCAAGGATATTAACAGAGAGTTTCCAAATAAGAAATTCTCAAGAAGTTTAAGGTTTAAAATCTATACATAGAAAAATAAAAAACCAGACCGATTAATGAGCTCATTCAACTTGTAAAAAAGCAAGCATCAAAGCTTACATGAAAACCGGCTATCAAAACCACTTTTCAACAAAGAAAATTTGTGCTTCAACATACCATTCACCACAGGATTAAAGACAGCAATTCCATGATACCTTTCAACAATATAACTAAGGACAAGACCACCAGCACTAGGAAAAACAAGTTTCCATAAAATTCAAGGAAAAGGTGCCTGGCTCAATAATAAAGGTTAGTTTAATATTAATATGCAGGTTAAAATTGGTATAATTTTATGTTGTTTTGACCAAAGGTTCTGTCAGAGACATTTTTAGGGGCAACAAAGCAGATTTGCTCAGGTTCTGCATATAATATTTTATTTAATATGACATCCACTAGAAAAGAGCTGGAATTCCCAGACAGTGTGTTTCAGGTCAGTAGTGTGTACTGCTTTAAATATTCAGTAGTCAAGGACTCAAATCTGTAATCATCAATAGGGATCTTATGATTAGATGGTCAACAAAATATACTCTTAGCTGTCTACTCTCAGTCAAATTATCATATAATAAACAGAAACTGGATAACTCATAAATGATATAAACTTAACACCTTTAGAAAACTAACAAGCAAATATAGGGCTTATTTCTTCTTTTGGCACAAATAATGCCCTATAGAGTATTAAGTAGAGAAAATTATAATATGCACGGTTGATACTTTTTTTCTGCTCAAACAATTCCAGTTTCTTAATCATTTGAAAATTTCTGCTGAAAAACATTGCCATAAGCATTTAGAAATGCTTAAAGTTACCTGCTTATACACATGGCACTTATAACTGGCGTCCAACCACTGTATAGAGTATCATGTGTGTATTTATTGTGGTGTGATATATAGACCCAGAGGGGCAGCAAAATGACACATAATACACAAATCACTGGTGCTATCCAGTAATGAGTACCTAAATAAAAGAAAAAATCAGCCATTTTATGAAGTGCTTCTATCAAAACAGGATTATCTCGCAAAATATCTGTGCAATAAACGGAACTTAAGGAAACTGGCCTAAAGTTTTCAGTTTTCATTAAAAATTCCATGAACATTCTTTTAATTGATTGTATTGATTGACATTCATCAATCAATGCATTCATGTGAAAACCGGCTCATTGAATTTTCATTCTCCTATCAAACTTTGAAGCTGCAAATTGACTATAAATTTGGGTTTAATGGAATAGGAAAACTACATCAAATATATAGTAAAAGTCAGATATTGGCTGATGTTTACATGTATTTTGAAAAACAAATAACAACACACAACATAATCAGTAGATAGATTCCAAATTCATAAAACCTCACACACATTCTACTTACCAATGCGATCATAGAAAAAGGAGCTGATGGTAGACAGCAGAGCAAGGGTAGTTAAATCTCCCAAACTAGCGGCAATAGGTGTTGCAACATTATCAGGGTTGATACCACATTTCTTTGATAGTATTATAACAACAACCATAATGCTACCAAGAATTAGACTGGCTAATGATGCTGTTACTAAGCTGCTGGCACAGAGGAGCCATGCATGATGAACATCAAAGTGACCATCAAGGACCCAACCAAATACAACCGCAGCTATAGATGCAAGTGCTGCAACTACCAATGCTTGTGCCTGTGAGTGAAGCAATTATTGAAGCATAAATTGATTGCCTGACCTGTAATTAGCAAGATAAAATGTATGCTTATTACAAAATGTGTATTTATTATTAAGGTGATGTTTGTCAGCTGACATTTTCAAATGGTTAAGAATCTGGAATTGTTTGGTATAATGTTTACTCAAAAAGTCTGGATTTGAAACATAACAAGATAAATCATCCAAGTTTCAACAAGATCCATTTGGAAGTCAAAAGCAGATATTCTGTTGGATTTATTTAAAAAATATGGGATTAATCAAATGAATAAACAGCTTTTGTGGTTTCATAAGGCAAGTCATTTGTAAATGTTGATATAGATAAGGTACAAAAATTCAATTTGCAAAGGTTGCGCAACTAATATTCAAGTGTGATTAATGCTCTGATAATTTATGGAATAAAAAATTTGTTCTGGTGCTCTATGGTTTGAAAATTCTGACTAATCTTATTTTCAAGCAGTTAAACTCACCTGTGTCAAAACTAAGTTACCAATAATCAAACTAGCTTGCTCATTTTTGGTATCCATTGAGCCAAGATTGGCCTAAAAATGATAAACAATAAGTATCTAAAAGTAACAGTGTAAACATTTTAGAAGGAATGTGTCAAAGTTTGCACAAGATTAAACATAAAATCCATCTTATCATCATCTTTTGTGTAGACAGAAGGAGTTCGTCTTCACCTGAGGACTTTATTGGTAACATTTTCAATGGGCAAGCAGCGCTTATTGGGCAACCTCAACAGTTATGTGCTCACCTTTTCTGATTGACCTATTTCCATCCACAACTGGGTATACATCAGGCCTTGCTCTAAGCAAAATAAAGGTGCTCTATAAAAAGAGCTCTATTTTGCACCTCTAAATAAAATATCCTTGAGAGCATCCTTCAAGAGCTTTGGAAGATCGAGAGTTTCTTATCGAGAGCTTCGGAGATTGTTTAAATAAGACATTCAACGGTGATACAAAAAAGCACCATGATATGGAATAACAAAACAAAACATGCAACAAATACTATGTTAATGTAAATATATAAATATAACAGAACAAAGTCTCAAAATTGTTCAGATTTTTCTAGATATGTAAGCTGCCATCACTTGATGAGCTTTAATCACTTTCAGTATCATTAAACAGTTATGTTCAGCTTCATATCGAAAATTTTCGAAAATTTGACTATATTTCCGTTTTTATCTTCTTCATTCTTTAAGACATGCTAGAACATTTACGACTCACAGAAGCAAATGAAAACTAAAAAGCAATACGATAATTTTGGGGGAAATGTTATAGATGATTTGCACAGGACATTCTAAGTTATTAAGAAAAACAGAAAACAATACTTCAACAGAATATTAACGCTTGCTCAAAAAAGGAGAATACGCTTCATGGCCTGTGTCATTGATGGTTATTAGAGGGTTATTAGATTAAAGATTGTATCGAAAATCCATAGTTGAATTTGCTGAATTTTTTCTCCAGTGGTAATCTTACGCAAATCATAATATTGCTGTCTGTTAGGTAGATTGTTTATGCTTGATCAAGTTTATTCAACAAATGTCAAAAATTTATTTAATTTTTGTTTTTACTTTTTACGTTTGATTTTTTTAATTTATTTAATTGGTAATATTGTTTTTACTTTTTGAGGGGCTCTTTAAATCGCTCTCCAAGGCTCTTTTTGGGTGCGCTCTAGGCGCGCGCGCTCGATCGAGCGCCTTTCCGGGCAAGGCCTGTATACATGTTTCCTAGCATAGAGTTTTCAACCTATGTTCTGACATTTTATACTCTGAACATCAGATGTAAAGCTTTAGTATGACTCAAAATGTTTGCTTTTTCAATGCCAATTTTAAGCTTTGTAGCACCAAAAGATCCATCTACAATATATTTACAGGGTTTGCTAGTATCAACACGAGTGCAAACCTAACCATGCAATATTTGATTGCTCTGGCAAAATACATTATCAAAATATGAAATTCAATATTTTCATTTCTCTGTAATTTTGAAAAAAATCATGAAGTTTTTGTCAAATTGTGTGGCTTTTTTTAAAATACATTCCCAGTTATCTCTTGTGACCCAAGCAAGTGGCATCAGAGAACACAAAGCTGGTATATCAAAACACTGGAGTTACCTGAGTTCAGCATAGAATTTAGCAAGGATTTTTTACTTAATAGATATGGAGTCAAGAACTGTCTAGTATCTTGATACCAATTATCATTTTTATCATTGCCTATGTTTATTTGACAATTCTTGGCAAATTTCATTTGTTGCTGATAGCTCTAGACATTGTAGTTTAACATTTACCCTAGTTGGGATAAAGCATTAAAGAAATGCTTAATGTCATTCAATGAGTGGTATTAGAGGTTGCAGAATTCTTTCCATCTTATTTTATTGCCCTTGTTTCTGGCAAAAATCCATACTTACAGCTGTTGACATTCTTGATGCCAGTGTCATCTCCAAATTCCCTTTCAGACCAAGAAGTGCTGGAACTAGTATGAATACCTCAGAAACCTCTTTGAAAACTGCCCAGTGCTGAAAATTTAAAACTGTAAACATTGATAGACCTCACAATAATATGTTATCCTGTTTACATTATAGTCAAAATGGGTTACTCTTAGTAGACCTAGTTATTTAATGCATTCCAGACTAATCCATCCATACATTAAGTCAGGAATATGTACAACAAGTTTTAAGGAGGCATCATGCCAGTGTGATATGTTGAAAACCACAGGAAAGATATGCCTTGAGTTTTCAAGACATAAAATGAGAAAAAGAGGATTTAAAAGTAAATAATTCTGAGCTGATACCTTAATAGGACGAGTAGAAGAGGGGAAAAATACTTGTCATTCCTTAAAGTAGCGTTATTGCCAAAAAGGGAGAAGGGCATGTTGAAATGGAGCCTCGTTGGCAGGGGCGGACACTTGGTCAAATATTAGGGGGGGCAAGCCTATTGTTTTAATAAGATGACGTCACATTTCCCATTGTTTTAGAACAAAAGACCATTGTTCTCTAAAGTATTGGGGGGGCGATTGCCCCCCCTCGCCCCCCCCAAGTGGCCGCCACTGCTCGTTGGTAAGAATTTTTTCATAGATGTACCAATCACACACATAAATTTTGAGCCCAAATGATTTATGCATGTTGTGCATGATGTTCCAAGTGCTCTCCTAAATAAATAGTTATATTTTCTTGTTTCTATTATGGTAAATATTCAGTCGTTTATTCTGCAATCTCAGCATTTGGTTTCATTATCAAGATAGGCAGAGGAGTTCTTTTGCTATAGCGTTTCTGCATGGAGGGCTGCCATTCAGCAAAGTCTAGCAGCTTTTTATCCCTCTGGTGCACAAAGTGGCATGAGACAAGAACCAAAGATTGCAAAATCGACCCAATCAGCTTAACAGTGCCGTTCAAGGGAGCAAAATTTTCTTAACTTATTGGAATTCAAGAATTACCCTTGTTCTAGAAAATAATTTTGAAAAATAACAATCTTCCTTGTTACCAGTTTAGGTGTCATCTTTATCAGCACACAAGATTTATGCACCCCAAGTATCTGTGTCATACTATGTGCCGGTTCCTGCTTTGTTTAGTGCTACACCCTTTAACTATGTTGCAATCAGCAATCAAACAAAACTAAAATACTGAGAATTCTGGACATATTTTAAAACCACTGAAGAAGTCACCATAACTTGGAATTTTACTGGCAAAGGTCACAGTTTAAATGTTGCAAAGTATGGCCTCTATTGAAAAGGTCTTGAGTGTGCCAACAGCCCTGCACCTCAGGTGCAGAAACCACCCAAATATTGCCATAGTGCGCCAGAACTATCACTTTTTCCTAAATTTAATTTCAACAAAGCTAACTGTTAGGGATGCACCTTTGTCTAACAGCACCTTTGCCATGCTCTGCATACTGGCCTCTAAGTGGGTGCTTACACTTCATGTTCACATAGAATTAGACTTACCTGAACAACATCCAGTAGAAGTCCTGCTGCTACAGTTCCCATGCCAGCAATCATAAAGGGAAAGAAAACTTGTAAGGCAATGCTTATAGATTTCTCTTCAGTACTTATTTTGATATCAATTTCACGATTACCCTCTCTTATTCTTCGAAATTCTCCATCTGGTAACAAGACTGCTTCTTCAGTAATATCATCTTCCTCAAAGTTAGCGTCCACATGTGGTAGAGGTTTATAAAGATTCTTTGAATTAAAGCTCCCAAATCTTGCCGAATTGTCTTCATTTTCATCCGATGACAGCGAAACATCAGCAGTTGGGCTAAGTAAATCAGACGACGAGTCTCTATTGTAATTTTCAGTAAAAGAAGTTTCACAAATCTGAGACCTAATCTGAGATTTTAACGGATCTTCAAATTCAACAATAGGATTGTCCTTTAACACGCCATTTGACATATCTTTGGAAACTTTAGTTTCGCTGGTGTCACTGGATGACGAAAATGTTCTTCTACGACCCGCTGAACTATTTTGGAAAGACTCTCCTGATATCCTTGGTACCATGTTGCCACCTCGGCGCCTTAGGCCCTCTGAATTCGTGTAATTTTCAAGACTTTGCAGCTCGTTACTAGATAGGCCTTTAGCTTTGTCATCCGAGTGAAGTAATACACTGCTCATAATATATCAATTGGCATTAACCGAATTTCTTTAGAGTATTTTATCGCATTGATACCTTGTTTCATTATAATTCTCCTTTGATTCAAAAAGGCCAGCTTTTTGTTTGAGACACGTAATGCTCCTCCGCACATTCTCGTAAACAAATTGTTCGTGTTGCAATGTTTGGTGTGTGCTCTCAAGTTCCTGTGCTCTCAAGTATCGTTGCATAAGGAAGGGGGTTGGCATTTTTTGAAAAACCTTAAAATTAGAGTCATGATAGATTGAAATGCTTAGATTTTCCGAAATTATGTTTAAATTGAAAGTGCTTAAATAAGAATTTTGAATGAAATACATAATTGGGAGGGGGGGGGGGTGTTAATGGAAATGGGTATGCATAGCACATATCTGGAATTGAGACTAAATATAAACCTGTTTGAATTTTCTTGCCTATAATTCAATTTTAACTAAAGATATAGGCTGCTTTTATGTCTTGCAGAAGCAAAGAACTCTTCTTATCTTATGCTCTTACGGCATCATTTTCTATTTGAAGTTTAAAATTGGTAGCAAATAGAAATAGCCCTGTCACTCGATCTTGCTTCATGGTAAAAAGATAAAATGAATTTTTGGCTCTCTTCAAAGCTTGTTTCAACTGAAGCCATTCTACATAGCAAGTTGACTCCTTAATAACTAATAAGATTTGAACTCCATAAGAATGGGCAATGGAGCACTGTATGCAGTTTGTCGATACTTAACAGGCCAAAAATCAGGGGAAATGTGACTAAATTTTTCGCAAGCGACAAAGTTTTGCTCAACCTCATTTTCCTCAACTTCCATTCATCACGTTTTCTTTTTCTCTGATAACGTAGTTTGGTTATTTTTACGATAAGAACAGGAATGTTTTGAACGGATTCATTCATTCATTCTATAGGTATGGATCATTGTTATATTCTTGCATCTTAACTTCAAATTTTCGGACTTTGCATTTAAACAAAGTGATTGCTTTTGTTTCATCGCGTGAATTATAATCACGTCAAAACATAAATTTTACGAGTATATTATCTTTAAATGTTATCTAATGATATTAATTCAATTAGAAATTCCCCTGTAAAGTTACATTTAGACGTGAATATACCCCCACCCCCCTAAAGAACACGATCTTGGAATATATCCTCTACTCACTACTGCTCAAATAACAGAAACAGGACACTTTTACCAAAATTCATTTCCCTCGTATTGAGCCTTTCGCTATATCTGTATCCCTCCTTTATTATGAAAAGGTCGTTATTATCGAATGCTTTTAAAATTGCTGGCCATTTTGTCAGCCAAGTTCTATTTTTATTTTTTTTCTACAAAGTAATGCCATAACTGGATCACTATACTATCAAAATCAAGTTACAAAAACAGATAGGCGTAGGCCTACTACAAAATAAAAAATAGTACAGTACTGCAACTACTACCGCTCTACAATATTACGGACAAAACTGATTGATACCACAAACAAGATTATGTATACGGGCACAACATCTTCTCTATAGCCAACAAACATGGCAAAAACATTTTGAAACACTAAAGGGCCCCTAAGCTTTTTGTCTAACGCTCTTCCCAGTATAAAATATTAGAATATTCAGACAGGCATCAGTGGGAGGGGGGGAGGGGCTGGGGGTTGAAGCTTCCAATTGCTCAGAGATGCAAATCTTTTGACCATCGTTTATTATTTTTTTTAGAAGCAGATAATATGAGATATGAAATAAAGAGAACAAACTGTTCATATATTGCTTGATTTTATTTTATCTATTTCATTATTATTTGTATATTATTTGCATCAATTTAGTAGATAACTTTCTGTATCATTGCAATGTCTGCATTTTCGATGTGTAAACGGGTGGTAAACGTGGTAAAAGTTTCCCAAATATTTCCTAAAAATCAATAATCAATAATTTTTCTGAGAAACGTCAAATTCTATATTCTGAGCGGTGTAGTATTTTATTAAACTTGATCTGGGAGATGCATTTTAAGCCATTATAGGCGGCTAAATTCCAAAATTTTTCTTACACGTCAGACCCAATCATAGAGTGTCCTCATATGTCACTAAACTCACTAAACATGGTTCTTAGCCCCCCCCCCCTCCAGGCGCAATTTCGTGCCGTCTCTGATATTGATGGAAAATTCTAATCTAGGAAATACCATACATTATAAAGTTCAGAGGATTCAAGCAATAAATATTAGTTGCTAGAAAAATGCCAAGGCATTTGGATATCCAAAAGAACAAAAGTAGCATTTTCAAATCAAAACTTTGAAGTTTTTTTCTTTTAAATTTTGCTGTAGCAATTTTTGAAAATAATTTTTTCATTATAGTGATTCAAGAGTGATTCAATAATTGGCTAGAACAGAAAAAAATCATGCATTCATTTACCTGTTCAAGATAAGGAATTGCTATTGATATACTTCAATACTCTCTTAAAGAACTCATGTATTGTTGAATACAAGATAATATCTTGCCCAGAAATTTCGTGCTTTCATAAAGAAAAGGCGGATAAAATACTGTGCAATGGAGCTCTTTGTTGCACTCCAGCCATAAAGAAATTTTACAGACACTTCTTTTAACAATGATGTATTTCCTAATAAAATAGGTCGTTAGTAAAACTAGAAGCATTATAAAAGCACAGTTATTTTGAGATCTTACTAACTTACGAAGCTTTTGGAAGAAGATTAATTCAAGGAGGCATTAAGAAAGGGTGTTATAAATTTCATCTCCAAGTAACCACACAAAGAGCTCTTTGTGTAGCTTAGTGCAAGTTTCATATAGGAAACCTGCAGTAGCACTAAGTTCTAAAAGTTTCTTGACTTGGCATCCACATTTGATCCTTTTAGTACTCAAAGTTTGTTAGTTGGTTTCTCTTTTTCGGGACCTGAATTAGCCATATTGTTTTGAAGTTGAGCATCTTTGGAGGAATGTAAACGGAGATCGTTACGAAAAACCCATGCTGATCAAAACGATGCTATTGTTTCCAAAGAAAAATTATCAAAACAAAAACTTATGCAATTTTATTTTAGAAATGGAAATTTTGCAGTTTCTTAATTTTTCTTGAGCCTAGAACTAAAGTTTCTTAAATTTTTGGTAATCCTAGTGCTAGTTACTTAAAAAACAAAGTATAAATCAATACACAAAAAGATCTTAGCTCAAATCTTTCAAGGGGCATATTTGAGGGGGGAAGGGGGGAGGGGGGCTTATATATGGAGGAAAGTTGTGGATTTCTAGTAGTACTTTTCCCTACTGCTAAACATTATCTTTCATAGAATGCTCTTAGTAATACCATTCTGCCAAACACAAGATGAGATGACGACACATTTCCTGGTGTCGTATTGTCCAGATGTCATGACATTCCTGACTATTGCAGTGGTTTGCAAATTCCATTGCAAAAGTGAAAGCAAAATATATTGGCAAAACATGGATGATCTGCAGAGGGAATATCCCTGTTCCTAAGCATCTAAAAATCTTACCGCATAGACAAAAATTTCAGCGTTGAGTTACTCTCCTTCAGTAACAAGCCTGTTTGAGCAGAAAATTCTGACGTCACAGTCCCATGCCACTTTCATTACAGCATACATGAAGCAGACAAGAATTGAAAATGGCGACGGCAGAAGTAGTGGTTGAAACTGAAGCAGGCATTGATGATGAACAAGCTGAGCCTGACCAGATAGAAGAAAATGAAGATAACAATATAGATAGCACCAGCACTAAGAAAAAAAAGAAGAAGAAGAAAAAAAAGAAAGGTATATTTTGTCGATGAACCAGCCTCATAATACCCTTGCCTGCTTTTCTATTAGGTATTCTTTATCACGTGCACCGGTGACATTTGTTTCCATCAATGCGTTGTTGCCAAATCTCCTGTATTGAGCTGGAATCCCCAGCATTAAGAGGTTAATTAGGGTAGAAGGAACAAGAGAAAAGATAGGAGCAACGTATATCAATTGCCTTATCAATAAAACTAAAATGTCTAGAATGACAACACTTTGTTGTTGTGGATATTGTGTTTAAAACGCATAGTCTGGAGAGGTTGAGAAAAAGAAGAATTTTGGTTTCCACATAACACATTACCGTCCAATGATTGGCCTAAATGTGTATTGAGATCAGCCAGAGAGCGCTGAATGTTATATTTTTACAAATCTTACTAAATCTTATCACCATGAACATCATTTTTGTTTATAGTCCATCTTTTCCCATGTCTGGGGTCAAATATGATCCTCCTTCTCTTACATGAGCTTTTTACACTTTAAAATCATGATATTAATGCTTTCAATTGAACAATGTAACACCTAAAACTTGATGCATACTTTGTAGCAAACCAGTCTGAAGACAGTGAATCAAATACTGGATTAAGTGAAGAGATCAAAGATACTGAAAATAAAAGTCCAAACAAAGAAAACTCAGAGAATCCACCAAACTGCAATAATTCTGAAAACCCTCAAGGTTGGTTCCTCATTTATTTGCTCAAGGAATGATAATTTAAGCATTGTAAAATTTATTCCATCATATTTTTGCATTGTATCTTTAAATAATTTAATTTAATAATGTTACCTTTCGGTTTGTTTGAATGAAGTTTATTGTTTATTTTGCCAGCATGGTTGGACAACCTACCGCATGAAGGCCCAATTTAACCCAACAAAAATGTTGTTTGCAATTGGGTCATCATTTTGAAAAACAGTTGTGGTGACTCTTCTTTACAATAAAAGATGGACCAACTGACAGTAGCTTTTTCCTGAGTAATGTCTTCAGTGTTAAGTGACAACCTTGACCAAACACATCATAGCAAAAACTGAATATTATGCAAACTTGACCAGCTGTCTGGCAAATTGCATTCTTACCTCTAAGTAAGGCTGCAGAAACCATCTTTACACAAAAATTGCAAGGATCTATAGTCAGTTTTCATCACAGACCTGTGTTACCATGCACATGTTTCTAAAATACTATTTTCAAATGGTAAATTAAGTTGAATTTTTATACCAAATTCTTCCAGTTTTGACTAGACTTGTATTGTCTTGTATCATCTAGAGTGTTTTCTGATTTACACTCAAATTGGGCATCATTAGCAAAGAAAAATTAAAGGGTCCTAAAGGAGCTCTCCATATTCCTGAAGTGACGCACGAATGGAATTTTATGCCATACTATTGAAGCCCTCAGCAGTATGAAACAAAGATTTCCAAGTTGTTTGCAAAATATTGTGACTAGATCATCAGGCATCCATCCATCATGCTAAGGTGCAGGAGCTTTTTCTGGAAAAGCATTTACCAATGGCCCCATGGCCCATAGTGTACTATAAGGCGTGCTCTTTGCACGCCCTAGGTTTCACTATGCCAGTAATTTCAGCATGCAGTTTCTACCTCCAGCAACATTAAACAACCCTCCCAGAGTAGGTAACACAGCATGATATATTTGTCTGCAGGAATGTGGTTTAATGTACCATGCATTTTTCATATTGTATCATTTTCCTATGAAAACGAAAAAAAAGATGCCTGTTTATGGTAGGTTGAGCTATTTGTGCTGATGCACCAATGACCCAACTTGCTTGCGATGATGTGGGATTGTAGTCTCACGACTGACCTTCTGGTGTCTTTGGCATGTTTTTCTGAAGGAGCTTTTTGCCCTTTCTTTTCTATTTGTATTTCATTCCCCAGTTAGATAATTAACGGTATGCCACCAAAGATACTTGTTGTTAAAGTTTTGTGAGAACTGAAGAGATGACTTGAGAATTGGGATTTTTTAAGTCCTGCACGCTGAACGCTGCACGCTGAACGCTGCACACTGAACGCTGCACGCTGCATGCTGAACGCTGCACGCTGAACGCTGCACGCTGAACGCTGAACGCTGCACGCTGCGATTACTGGCCTAGTAAAACCTATGGCTTACAGTAGGCCTTAAGTACACTATGGGTCATAGGGCCATTGGTAAATGCTTTTCCAGAAAAAGCTCCTGCTCCTTAGCATTATGGATGCCTGATGATCTAGTCACAATATTTTGCAAACAACTTGGAAATCTTTGTTTCTTCCTGCTGAGGGCTAATACAATGAAACTTATAACAAATCATTATAGTACTCCATCACACACCTATAACAGTCAAAATACCACACTTGTGCTAATTTATTCCCAGGAAGGCCTGAAACAGCGCCTTTCTCAGATTAACTATCTACTGATTTGAAGAAATTAGGAAGTTTGATGCATGTTGCTTCAGTTAGCTATTACCAAACTGACATGGAATACATTGTTCCTGTACCCAAAACACAAATGTTGTTTGCAATTAATCAACAAAACTGCAAATGTTTTCACTTCTATTACATGAATCGGCGCTATGAAGATAGAAAAGTTTTTCATATTAGAATGGAAATTGGTCTTAAAAATTGATGCCAACTTTATCAGTTTGGTATTATATTAATAGGAGTCTGAAATCCATAAAGCTTTTTTATGTTGGTAAGATTTATAGTTATTTATGATTAGAGCTTTGTTATTGTGAGTTACTCAGTAGATTCAGTTTATTTTGTGCTTCAATGATAAAGACAGCAATAAATTTTGATTCAAGGGAAAAATTTCCCAGGTCCCATGAGGGACAGTGGCTACGCGAAGGAATCAACCAATATGTACATTTGTTTGCTAGCTTCTATGCCTACTGCTTTGCGCTACTATTCAACAAAAGCTTTAAAAAATATTCTACTGATAAAAAACTGTTAGAAGTGAAATTTAGGTTGCTTTAAATCTATATTTGGTGATATTTATAATGATAAATTTTGTAGACGAGAACAAGTCTGCTGTTAATGAAGGAACTGCTAAAAAGAAGAAGAAGAAAAAGAAGCCAGCTTCTTCAAATAAGGAAGGTAAAGCTATTTTAGTGTCGATTCTTTTGTCAGTGAATAACAGCTTGATGGCCTGTTAATGTTGTGTACTTATGCAGCATGAGGCGAAATCTTGCCAACAGAAGTCATCTGGCTAATTTTTTTATCTCTTTTAACTTCATAGATGCATCTACTGGTCCAAAACAACAAACAGACCCACCACGTGTACCTATCTCTGAACTTTTTAGTGATGGCAATTATCCAGAAGGAGAAATCCTTAACTATAAGGATGAGTGAGTTCTCAGTTTCATCTTACTTGCTGTGTAGAAATGGTTGTCTTTTAAATTTTCTTCTCTTTTCTGCCATTTTTCCCCTTAAAATTTTGCCATACCATTAATTTCAGTTATTATAATGCTTATTTGCTTGCATGAAGCCTTTGGTACATCTGATCGTCTTAGTCAATGAGCTGGAAAATTCTGCAATAAAATAAAAGGACAGTGTTTAAGTCATCTATTTTGTATAACATAAATTGTCAAATGTAACATGAATGAGCTCCCATTGGGTTTTATTCAAAACCATGTGGGAAAATGCTGCAGATTCCAACAACATTTCATTTGTTTTTGGGGTTTAACCAGTTGGCTTAAATACTGTAATGTTTAATAATGACAAGTCCCTTTCATATCATACCTCTAAGCTGTTAGACAACTCATTTTTTTAAAACATTTTCACCTTTTTGTCAATGGATATTTTTCCCAAAATTTTTTCACAAATTGTAACTGTCCTTAACCAAGTTTTACAAGTACTTTATCTTGCCTTATTTTGCAGTAATTTGTGGAGAGTAACCGATGAAGAAAAGAAAGCATTAGATAGATCTCGGATAGATATTTATAATGACATTAGACAAGCAGCTGAAGCTCATCGCCAGGTTTCTATTTTCAAATTCTTTATCAGTTTTGTTTCAAAAATTTTCTGATGTTAGCAGATATTAGATCAATGTAAACAAGGAAGCATTGCAAGATTTTTCCAATCAGTGTTTTTCAGTATTTGCTGACCTTTTTGGTTTCTTTAAAGCCTTGACCTTTCTTTAAAGTTTAGCTTTAAAAAATTTAGATTTCAGTTCAGTTCAAAATTATTTGCTGAATAGAATAATTAATGTTTTGAAGGTTCTTTGAAATGTTACATATTTAAATCAAAAGTAGAAAAAATTGTCTTGCAAAGGCCGTTTCATGTGTTAAATATTTAAGATAGGCCTTAAAAAAAATAAAAGGGAGAAACATCTTCAGGTCTGTTTTTGTCATGTCTTATATCTTGAGAGATTTAAAGATGCTATTTGAATTGTAAAGGAGATATAAATTGTTTGAAATATGTTTTCACAGTTTTAGCCACATTAGCCACAAATTCTTTATCAGTTTTGTTCCAGTGTGTCCTGACATCCATACCTGTGCGTCATGACATCCATAATCGCAACACATTAAGAAAAATTCTCTGTCATCAATTATCATTATTTTCAATGTTGCTTCAAAACTTATATTTTTTATTCCACCAGGTTCGGAAACATGTTATGGGCTTCATAAAACCTGGTTTAAAAATGATTGATATATGGTATGTTTTAAATAGCTTTATAACTTTTTGATAAGTTTGTTTTTTTTATCTATTGAGACATAGCTATTTTGTCTCTAAAACTTGGTCTTGAAAACAAGCCTTTTCTTTTCTTGGTCTTAAGACTTTATCCATTAACTTTATAGCTGTTAACCTTTTTTTCATGATATAAACAAACGTTTCCTTGTCACCCTTCTTTCTTTCTTATGTTTAAATTCTCTCTTCATTTATTCCAATATTGAATTTTCCCTTTTAGAAAAAAAGAAGGGAAACTTTTATTTTTAAATTTGTTTATGTCTATGCTTGCCAACTTTCCGACTCCGTGTAGAAGGATTTTATCGTTCCTATGGAGGTAGCCATAGATTGGCTTTAAAAGTTCACGCTACTGCGTTGTTTCTTGCGAGAAAACTAATGAAAGGCAGTAGATCCTTTCATCCTTGAATCCAAGGTGAATCCTTGAATCCAAGGTGAATCCTTGAATCCAAAATGAATCCTTGAATCACTTTGTTTTTTGTTTTTTTAACAGTGAGAGGCTGGAGGCTGCCTCAAGGGCCCTTATAAATGAAAATGGCCTTAAAGCAGGTACGATAACATAGCAATCAATTATTTCGTACTGTGAATGTGTTGTTGATACATTATTCAAAATATCGATACTTACCATAATATTTAACTTCAGTTACTGTGGAAACTTTCGACCATTTTGCTTCATGATTTCTATATGATGTAGAAGACTCTATATGATGTATGATGTAAAAGAAAGTTGTCTGATGATTAACGAATCAAATTTCCCCTAGGACTGGCATTTCCCACGGGATGCTCCAGAAACCACTGTGCAGCTCATTACACGCCAAATGCTGGAGATAACACTGTCCTGGAGTATGACGATGTCTGCAAAATAGACTTTGGAACACATATAAATGGTACTTACATACTTCATTCTTTTTTATTGATACACAGCAGTTGCATGGCTGTTGCGAATGGTGTTCTAGCGCAAGTCAGATTCCGTTTGTTTTGAAATACTTGGTTTCATTATCACCAAAGTGTTTTTTATTTTGAAAAATCTTACTTTCTGTCTTTTTTGTCACTGTTGAAAATCTTATTTTCTGTCTTTTTTGTCACTGTTGAAAATCTTATTTTCTGTCTTTTTTGTCACTGTTGAAAATCTTATTTTCTGTCTTTTTTGTCACTGTTGAAAATCTTATTTTCTGTTCTTTAACAGTGTTTTTTATAATTTTTTGGCCAAACTCCGTTCTGGACATCGAGAGATAGGAGTTTTCCAGAGAACTGGAATTTGACCCTTACCAACCACATGTCAGATTTTTCCTAGATCCAACCCTTCGTAGCTAGAGTGTTTTTGAAATTCTATGTGTTACGTTAAATGACTAGATTAGAAGAGCCGGGCTGATCCCTGACAATGGTTCTTTGAGTTCCATAAAACACAATATTTTTTAAAGGTCTCTTTAAAGCGTGCGAGCGCGCGAGCGGTGATCAAATTACTTCTGCAGGCACATCTGAAAAAACGGTCTTCGATAGACTTGTTCAAAGTTTTCAATTGTTTAAGAATTTAGAGAAACACTTCAGCTACAAGTTTCACCATGTTAATATTAAGGTTTACCGCTTTGTGAAAGTTATTTATGTAGAAAAAAGAGAATAATAGATTTTCCTAACAGCAAGAACAAGATTTGCAAAGATATTCATTCTGTTTGCGTTGCTGCACCAAGCTATCGGTTGATTTGGTCATTGAGTGATAACTTCCGTGTAAAAATATTCAGGACATTTAAACTGGTTGGTATTCACGCTTATGAGAGCATCGTCCAACTTTTCTGTACGTTTCAAGTATCTGTCTTGATTTTCTCGTGACCTGTTTTGATTTTGCTGTGCCTATTCATCTGCTTACGCATCTGCTTGCTGTAGCATTTAAGTGCAACGACTTTTCTGTATGCCATCGTTGACACGTGTTATGTTATCTGTTCAGGTCGTATTGTTGACTGTGCCTTCACTGTAGCCTTTAATCCCAAATACGACAATTTGTTAAAAGCAGTCAAAGACGCTACCAACACTGGGATCAAGGTAATGCATTGCGGTTTATTTAGGGGCGTTTCATATTCCAATGAGCTTTGCAAATTTTCTCCTTGATTAACAGTGGCCACCAATCTAAACATGCATGCGACACCCCCTTAACCATCTTTGGTATACACCCAGTTAGTCATTTATGTTATACACCCCTGTTACACACCCATGCTATTGACCCCTGTTATAAACCACTGTTATACACCCCTTCTATGCCATATGTTAGGATATCTCTCCAGACATGCTCCTTGCCTAACAATCCGTCATTCGCTTACTTTTGGCACTCTTTAAATGCCATCCTTATTTGTGTTCATGGGTCATATTTACACCTATCTGAGTATCTGAGATATCTCTCAACAACTTCAGTTACTCATGTCTAGAATTATTGCGAATTTTCCTGCCGCTGCAGTTGGCACTTTGTTAAGGAAGGAAATTGTGGCAGAATTATTTATAATGCAATCAGTGTCATGTTCCTTTAGGAAGCTGGCATAGATGTTAGACTATGTGATGTTGGAAAGGCCATACAAGAAGTAATGGAGTCGTATGAAGTCGAATTAGATGGCCGAACCTACCAGGGTAAGTGGCCTAAAATGATACGAGTTTGAGAAACTTTTCATTTTTTCTTTTTTTCTTGAATTAAATTGTCTTTATGAATGAAACTATTAGTGTCCGTGTCTGCTATTTTTCTTGCCAAATATAATTAGAACACCACAATATTCATGTTCAAAACTGACAACCCCAGAACTTAACTACCACTCCAAGTCATTAACGCTGTTGCTATATATTTTTGCCTCCCTCCCTTACAATTAGGGGGTGGGGGGTGGGGGGCTGTTAAAGACGATTATGATTTTGTGTATGCTTTCTAACAATTTTGGCAAAGACTGAATGTGGACTCCAGCACCAATGCATTGATTGTACCTCCAAAACTATCCTGAGCTGATCAGCAAAACGATACCAAAGTCATGGAGAAACCAAACGTATTTTTAATGAAGAAATGTAATTTTTTGTGTTGCTAAGTGTTAGTAGTATAAATTAACATATATTGGTTATTTTCTCATTTTTCTTACAGTTAAACCCATACGAAACCTAAATGGTCATTCGATTGGCCCATACAGAATCCATGCTGGTAAAACAGTTCCCATTGTCAAAGGGGGTGAAGCAACAAAAATGGAAGAAGATGAATTCTATGCTATTGAAACTTTCGGCAGCACAGGCAGAGGTGTTGTCCACGATGACATGGAATGTTCACATTACATGAAGAACTTTGACGTTGGTCATGTGCCCTTAAGGTAAGTTTACAATTTTGGCTTCACCCCTAAGAAACGTATCAAAATTGTTGATTTCTAAAAAGTCTATAGAAACTCATTCAGCATTCAGTATAAATTGCAATCATTTAGAGCAACATAAATTAAACGACTGAGGTATTATTTCATTTTTTTATGTACTGTGTAATTTGATCCTACCAGAGATCTCTTCTTTCCTTCAGCTGTATCCTACCAGAGATCCCTTCTTCCCTCCAGCTGTATCGTACCAGATATCTCTTCTTTCCTTTAGCTGTTAAAAGCTGTTTACCAGCAGTAGTTATGTGATAGAGCGATCGATGCTTGCTTGCACGGCAGGAAAATCATAATTTTTATGTTTTTAACATCAAACATCAATTTAGTTTAACTGTGGGTATATATGAATGAGCATTGTAAATTAAGATCTTCTTGGCTTCAAATTTTATTAGATTTGACAGGGGTGCAATCTCCAAAATTTTTGAGAGGGGCTATGCTTTGGGCAACTTCTAGCAGCCTCATCTATGACCATACTCAATATACTTGAAACTGTTTAAAGATTGTTTGTTGTGTATATGAAATCATTCAAGCTATTTTAATGGACTAAATAAGACTGATAGGAAACTCTCATTTACGGAATATGTGCTCACTTGTCAAGGGGGGCTGAGCTCCTCTTTAGAACCGTTTGAAATCTATCAATTGAAGCTGAACTTTTTAGCCACTGGTTATTGTTGGATTGTAATCGACTGCAAACTAATATGAAATAAAGAGTAGGCTGCAACCAGATTGTGGCCCATAATGAATCGATTCTGTAAAATGGTTGTTGAATGTTGCTAGATTGATTGGCAAATTGTATTTTATTTTATTTTAAGGATTCCACGAGCGAAACAGCTGCTACATGTTATCAATGAGAACTTTGGTACATTAGCCTTCTGCAGACGATGGCTGGACAGACTGGGCCAGGTATATTCCAAATGAAATAAATTGTTTTCACTTCAGTAGAACAGGGCTGTTAAAGTTAGTGTTCCCGGTCTCTGGTGAATTCGACCATCTGGCAACCAGTAGAGCACTCTCCACACTTCACCGAGCATACAACACTTTTTTTGGTTTTTGTGATTTTGTAATTGTGCAGACAATGTTTTCCAAAACAACTCTTGTGCCACAAAAAAATGTGAAATATTGGTTTCTAAAGTTTTTATTTGTGCATTCAGTTTATTTTACTTGGGATTGAATTGTTCATTTTTGCTTTGCAGTGGTCCTGTTTAGCTTCATAGCATCAGGCTAAATATCCACCTTTAACTCCAGTTGATTTATTAGTTATATATTTTATTTTTCAGACTAAATACATCATGGCACTGAAGAGTCTGGGTGATGCTGGAATCGTAGACCCATACCCCCCTCTTTGTGACATAAAAGGCTGCTACACAGCCCAGTACGAGCATACTATCCTGCTTAGGCCTACTTGTAAAGAAGTTGTAAGCAGGGGGGATGATTATTGAAAGTTCCTATGAATTATTATCGGAGAATGTCAAATAACGATACCTGCACAAGCCCCCGTTTACCAAGATGTATGTGTTTTTATTGATCTTTTTAATCAAAGATCTTGTCCATCATATACATGAAGTAGGTAGCTTGTTATCAAGGTACTATCATGGTTTCAACTTCACATGGTATTTCTTCTGTTTTTACTTCTGCACAATTTTTCTCCTTATCATCTACTCCAAATGCGGTTGTGGCTCAATTGATAGCCCGTTGAACCACCACACAAGCGACCCGACTTCGACTCGTCGTCGATCGATCAGATCGACACCATCGATCTGAAACACTTGCGCCGCAGAGCCAATTCAGCTCTCCACCCTTCGGAGGTCGGTAAATGAGTACCAGTGGAAACACTGGGGCTAAAACAACTGGTCACCGACGACGAGGGTCGCGCCCATCAGCTGCACGATGTGCGGAGTGACTGTACGCTTACACGCATACAGCCGGGTTGGTAGGTGTCGCAATGTACCTGGTACGAACGTGCTGTAGTTAGTAGTTATCACCTACTCCAGAGATTGAAGAATTTCTCTGGGTTATTATAAAAAACTGTCTGCGCTGAAAAGACAAATTTCGTAGTCTGCGTGCAGTCTTTACAAATAGAAGAAATTGTATTTGTAAATTGTATTTCCTCCTTTTGTAAAGACTTATTGCAGCTGCAAAATTTGGTGAATCCCAAAGAAATTTTCCTTAACCCAGAAAGAGCAAATGGACATGTACCGAACCAAAGACATTTGAACTACTTCATTTGTGACATAACATATGTAACCTCTTTTTGGACAATGTACGCTATTTACGCAAGTACACACATGTACCATTTGGACAAGGTACACAATGTACGCAATGTACACCGTCACCATAAAAATGTATCAAGCATTTTATTTATAATATTGGTTGATAAAGGAGAACTTTGAGGTTTAGGGCTATTCATCATAAATTATTAGTTAATTCTCTGGCTCCACTCTTTATAAACATCTGGTTATTGCGGCGACTTGATGCAAATAAATAAATACTATGAACTGCGTAAATACATTGATTAACTGTCCAATATTGGTTAGTTTTATGGGATTCCTGAAATACTCAAAAGATATTTAGAGTCAAGCATCACAAATTATAGAAAACAAAAACTACAATATACTTGTTTTTGCCACCCAGCAGAAGAAAGTGTGAAATGTCAATACCGTAGTGAAAATAACGGTAGTTAAGCACAATACCTTTAAGTGCAGTGGAACTTTCGTAAGCGTGTTTGCATTAGGCTCTGGAACATGGCCTAGCTCTTAAAGATTTTCAGTCAGACACTCAGAGAATTTACTTTTTGATTTTGCCTTATACCAAATTATATGGATGTTTTTTATATTCTTATGAAGTTTCACAATTACAATGTTGCATAATGGTACCACAGGGAGCATGGAAATGCATAACAATAAGTTAAACATATATTACTATAATTGTATAAAAGCTAATCTTGTAATAATACAGCTATAAACTAAAAACAAGGATCTTCATTGCATGTGAAGAACATTTTGGTTTTTACATGTTTACATTTTGTTCTAAAAATGTTCTGAAGCATGGACATATTTCAATGGTACCATGTGATAATATTTTCAATTTGCATCGTCTGGTAATATTTCGTGACAAAAGTGTTATTAACAGCTCCTGGAGAGATATGTTGCATAACAAACATGACCTAGCTCTTGAAGATTTTCAGCTAGATACTCACACTCATTTATACCATGTAATAATATTTTCAATTTGCATCGTCTGGTAATATTTCGTGACAAGGGTGTTTTTTTAACAGCTCCTGGAAAGATATATTGGATAAACCATTCAGTTGTAATATCAGTAGTTTTACACAAAGGATTTGGGCTATCCCTACAATCATGTTTACTGTAAACTTGTGATATGTAATGTTATATGCATAGCTTGCGATTTTTAGACCTTTCATAAAACGTGTGATATTCCAACTTGCTTAATTCAACACGTAACTGCGTTATTATTGCTTAACCTCTAGATATGAAACACGAACGCATTTCAAATAGCAACAACTTAGAGAGTAAAACTAAGTAAGTTCACTTTTCTGTTTTGAAGTTTGTCCAACGCTTGAGTAGAATTGAACACTAGTCGAGATTTTCTCAACCGATCTTTAAAATAATAATTCAAACAGGGGAAATCTTCCTACGAGCCCTGTAAAGTATTTGTTCCTCTCTCTACCAAGACTGTGATTTACAAAGCTGACTATAAAATTGCGCAAAAAATTATATTATGTTTATAGCTTTCAGCTTTTTATTTCTTTCGGCACAGGAAGGAGGATAAAGATTTCTGCGCGCGTACTTATTCTGTTCCCACACCAAAAAGATTTTAATGAAATACCGTCATTCTAAGCTAGATAATAAATAATAAATTTAAAGCTAGATATTAACTTAGTCGTTTCGCCTTGTCATTCTAAGCTTATAATGAGGGTCTCTATTCTCGTCTCGAAGTTTCTCTGGGGGCCGGGGGCCTTGTTGCCCAATTTTTTAAAAAAATTTCTTGACTGCCTCCTGTTCACCAAGGAAAATATGAAACGAGGTTGGTTTTTATTTTGTTGCCATTGGCATACAAAATGGTAGATTTTTTATGTTGTTGAGCGTAATTGTTGAGTAAGTATTGATGTGAAGAAACCGAGGAAAATTTTGTCAATCCGAGAAAAGGATGTCACACGGGTAATTTTATAGTTTTGTTTCGTTGAAGATTATTCAAATATGCTTACCATAGAGGCTTTAAGCTGTACAAGAGCGCAAAATTGACGCTCATTTTCAATTCACAACGGCAAAGGCCGGCTTCATTGAACTCTTAGTGGAAGAGTAGTTTTCTGAAGTTTTCAGGATTGGGACTTTTGCAAAATACTAAAATATCTAGGTTGCACTCAGTATTTTGTTCATTACTTTATTTCTATCTGGATTGATCTAATGGATAGATCTTTTTGTCTAAACGTCAGCATTTAATTTGTGCCAAATGTCAGAAATATTGTTCATAAAATGGTTTTATAAAGCCTTCTTGAAGTTTTAGTGAAATATTTTGTTTAAACAACAAACTAATGATTGTACGAAACATTGTATTACCATATGTGTCTTAGCATCATTTACTGGGAAGGTAAGGCAAACCTTCAGGAATGGCAGATTTATGCTAGTCTGTATAAGAGATGGTAGTCTGTATAAGCTCTTTGCTCATAACATTGCCCACCCACCAGCCTCTAGGTGTGCTATTTCATTTCAGTCTATGTGTGTATGATGATTCTTTTCATTACTGTATTTCTTTGAAAAGTGCTTTCAACAAACAATGGGCAGATGCTCAAGCAACCGTCGAAGATCTGTTGGAGATTGAGTTACCAAAAGAACCCCCAAAACCTGAAAGGGTAAGACCTCCAATATCATTTGATAGCCAGCATAATTTCAGCATAAATCTGTTATGTATGACATTGTGTATTTAAGAAAGTGTATATAAAAAAGTGTATTTAAGAGTTTTTTAATTTTGACCACATAACATAAAAAACACCAGTTATGGCCAATGGAAGAATTGAAGCCTGCAAATAGATTACTGTTAATTTGGCTTTGTTCATAAAGCTATCAACAGAGACCAAATAACAGGAGGTTTGATAAGGATAGGGAAATTCATAGCACATTTAATTGATTTTGCATACTTTGAGAATATTCATGATGCACTTATTCATGATGATGAGGTTATTCAGATTAAATATAGATTTTTGTGAAATCATCAGTGAAGAACTTATTGTTTAACATGCATAAGCTATGTGGCAGTTTGAAAATTCAATTTTTAAAAGAAATGTCATAGTTGAATGCTTTATTCAAATTTTTTTGCTTGTTTATTTTAATTGAATAGAAGATATGCTAAACTGGTATAATTATTTAAAAAGTCTGGGACCTTTTATGGGAGCAACCTTTTGCTTTTCTACTCTGTCCATGTAAAGAAACCTTGCTACTGACAAATATTGGCAGGTAGCTGCAATTGATAGTCTTTAAATACTGTAGTAAAAATATGTACTGTTGTATTGTAAGCTTTCAATGGAATTACCTTGCTCGTGAGTTTTATCAAAATTAAAATTTTAAAAATAGCCATTGCTTAAATGTGGGTGTACCCCAAATTGAACAAATCATAACCCAGCTCATCAACACTTGCATCTCAAGAACTGTTTGCTGCTTGTGGAAAAAAAAACAAAATATTGTGCTGCTCACAATCTGACTTCATCTCGCTCTTGATTACCACCTCAAACAGTTGAAATACTTATTTCCAAAAGCAGGGTATGTCATGTTGTCCAACCTTGGCTGTAAGAATGTTCCCATATTTTTCCTAACATTTTCCTATTCTTCCTGCTTTAAAGGATAGAATTGCAGCATTTCAATTTTTGGCAGTTATGTATGTGAAGTACATTCAAATTTTCAGAAGATTGGAAGAATGCTATGATCAGGTAGGTTTTAGAATATTTACAATTTCAATGATATATTCATGGAATTCAGGCCTAATTGTTATTTTGCATTGAAAAATGTTTAAAACTGACTTTAGATCACCTTGATTTAGATGAAATGATGGTATTTGAAATGCTTATTCAAATGCTATTTGATGGAGTGAAGTTTCTCCGCTTTTGTATGCTATTTTGACAATTTTAAACGCAAATCATTTTTTGAACTCAGTAGTGCATCATTAGATTTTCAAATTGGTTAAATTAGGGCTGCATCCTAAACTTCATAGTTAGGGTGCAATATTAGAAAAATATTGGTGGTCAATTATAAACATCAAACACTATAGTAAAATAATTGAAAAATCTGGTAGCATCCTAACCCCCTTTTTGTCACAGCCCCTGTACAAAAATAATTTTCAATAGTTTGGTTTCACTATTGATGTCATTTTCCATTATAATTCTTTTTGAATATTTTATGTTCAGAAAATCACAGGTCTGTTAATGGTAATCTTACTTTCTATGATAGATTGTGCATCCCCAGAAACGTCGAGTTCTCAGACATTTGTTGGATGGGACAATGGGCAGGTAATTCAAATTGTATTTAAACCCAGACCTTTCATGTGCTACAGGGTCAGAGGCGTAGGAAGCGTTGATTTGACCAAGCATTGGACAAGAAGTCGTAGCAAAAAGAGCACTGTGATATTAAAAAGCAACCTAAAAGGGTCACTTATTTTTCCTGTTTGGCACTTGTAACCATTTTGGAACATGTTGCTCTTCAGACTCCCATGTTTTCTACGTCTCGTTTATGATATTGAATCTATCTTGATCTTGGCATAAATTGAATAAGCTTTGCAACATTGTGGCTTGACCAAACTTATATTTTTCTTTGCCAAGGATTTTGGAACTGAAGAACGAGATGGTCGTTTTAGAGTACTCAGAATACCACTATCTTGACGATGTCCTGTCTGATCTCAAGCTCACTCCTGTAAGTTCTACATAACCTTATCTTTTCATTATCTTCTCACGTGATTTCATCTACATTACACAACAAATTAATCAAAAAAGTATTTATCCTTTTGCCTATCATGTCTTGTGTTTTGGTGCCATTTGATTGCCAAATTCTATGATTATATCATGATTTCTAGAATGATATTGAGATACCGATCCCCAAGTACTTTATTCACGAGAACAGTCAGGCGATCAAAGAACGTGAGAAAATGATGGGAACGGTCTTGGCCGGCATGAAACAAACCCAGCCTGCAACTCAGGTAATAGCATTCTCCTTTTTCAGCTTTGTATGTCACTTTCTACGATCTTTCAGTTCTGTTTTATGCTGTATACTACTAATATAACATGGACGACATTCATTCAGGAGTTTCCCCAAGACAAACTGTGTCTATTTCATTGTTTTTGAAGTAGTTATCCTTTTAGGGGATAGCAAATAGCTAGCAAGTCTTTATAAACATCTGATCTAGAACTAAGTTTTGTCTGCTTATTGTGCACCTCGAGAAAAGTCCACATCTGCAGCCATGTACTTAACGCGAGAGAATACTGCACACGCCTCCTTCCATGCAAAAATAGCCAAACATTTTATCAGCAAGGTAATAATAGACTAAATCAACAAAAATTTTGATATTTTAGTATGGAATAGTTTTGTCAAGATAATGTCTTCTAGTAGACTATTCGTGCAATAATACTGGAAAAATTCTGATGGAGCATTTAAGGTGTCCTTAGTCTTTAAAGTTTTCTTAGTCTAGCATGGCAGAGAAACATAGTTTCGATTATTTGAACTGAAACACAGAAATGCCTAGCAGTTCTTGTTTCGTTTGTAAAATTTCTGTGTTGGCAGTTTTATCAAAACTGTTTCAAAAATACCGAATAAGAAAGAGGAATAAAAACAGGTGTGACAATATTACTAAATAAGAATAACTATTTTATTACTATATCAAACTTGCACCAGTTTTTAACCATTGATGTTTTTTAGTTTTTTATTACTCCTTTCAGTTGAATGCTGACCTGTAAGGGTTGGTTTGAATAAAAAAGGCAGTGGTATCGCTACTTTTACTTAAAGTTGTATCATATCTTTTTTTATGTTATAGATGGTAGAAGAAATTCAAATATCACCAGAGGATGCAATTCGTATTGTGCAGGTAAGATCTTTGCAAAGTTATTGCCAAGGACAAGAACAAAATGACGCCTCTTTCGCTAAAGAACCTTTCTAATTAGAGAAAAAAGCAGTAGAAATAACTCCAAAGTAAATTTTTTTGAAATTATTTCTGTAGACATCTTCATCAAGTTGTCTGCCAGAGTTTGTCACTTTGAAACTTAAAAGCGCTGTGCAACGCAATTGAATAAAGAGGTGCTCTTTCACACGAATAAATTACCATAAGAACCTCAAAGTTATTGCATTTAGGGCGTTAATGTTTGTTGTTTTAAATTCTTTTGTTTAAAAGTTTTTTACCCAATAGAAGCTATAGTTATCAAGACAATAAGAAATAAAAAACTTCATGCTTAAAATTGATTTTTTTCTTCAGATACATGAGAGAGCACGCCAAGGAAGACTTAGAGCAAAGTTTATGAGAGAAATAAGGTGCAACATTGTTTCCTTAATAGATGTAGACTTTAAATCGGAGTATAAGTAACTTAATGTTTCTCTTTTCTTCATTCACTCTATAGTGCTGTCAAATTTCAATCAGCTTTTGAAATCAGTTTGTCCTTTAAAGTACTTAATTCATTTAAGTTGTAATTCATTAAAGTAAATTTAGTGCTTGATTGACTTTGAGGGATAACTAGCAGGAGCAGCCAATCAGAGCTGATGTTAGATGGCCCAAGCCTCATTGTTCATATCAACTATTCGTTGAGAAGACAGGCTACCCTTAAGATCTTCGTATATTCGTTTTAGCTTCCTTTTAGAGCTTTACATAACTGTGACTCTTAATCGTATTCTACTCTGCTGTGTTAAGACAATCTTTTGCCTTGACAGAATTTTACATAATCTTTATTACATTGAATGAAAGACCCAACGTTTTTGCCTTGATAGCATATCCACTCTAGTTTGCTACCAATGTAGACCCATAGACTGCAAAACATCTGTTCGTGTTTCAAAAGTGTAGATCTACCTTTTTCTTATAAAATCTTTATGTTATTTAGTACATGTCTGCCAGTTATGGTCATTAGGATATTGTGGAAGCTGCACGATTTTTCTGAAAAATTCTTATTCTTTATGTTAACTCCTGTTTCACTTTAAGGCTTTTTAACAACTTTCTCTCAAACATGCCAACAAAAATGCACTAAAACAATTATACACTTCCTAGATAATCAACTTTTTACCTTTATTCTTCTACTTGTGTGCTTTTAGCTATGTTGTATTGAAACTTATGATTCAGCTCCCTTTCTTGGCAACTCGTAGGGCACAGGAAGAGAGAGAACGCTTGGCAGCCTCCAAAGGTGCACCAACCATAGACAGAGATTTAGCAGCTACTCAAATTCAAAAGGTGAGGCCATAATTATTTTCCACTGAAAAGTATCTACAAGGAATCTTCATAAATCTACTTATCAAATTAAATTTTTATTGTTCGTTTTGGTAAGGATGATAAAGACAGCTAGTCTATGCAAAATGAGAAACTGAAAGGCCTGGCCAAAAACGTATCCAATTTTCTGACCTATTTCATCAGAGTCGTTTCTAGAAACATTTGTCCTTCATTTGCCATGATGTGTAACTGATCACATGAAGCGTTTGTTTGTGCTAGAATGATAATGCCCTAGTATGAGTAATCACCTGATGATCACATGAATACTCGCATGGAGACCCAGAGATACCAGAGTAATGTTTTATACAGAATCGTTGTCTTTAACATTACCAAATTGGTATCAAAATTGATTTCAAAAATTACATCAAAAACGTATTTGCAAGGTACACAGTAATCTGTGAACAAATTCTACACTCTTGCATCCTCTTAGAAGTTTGTAGACGTATTAATAAAAAAACATTCCATTGCGCTATGGTAGGCATTTTAACCTTTAGTGGTTCCGGTTGCTCAGCAACGCAGCTAGCAAGCAGCCTCCGTTACAAAATACTTTATTTACCTTAACATCGATGTCAAGATATTAGAACTTTTCAAGAAATTTTCAGTTCATTGTATTTACATTCTTTTACAGATTTGGAAAGGCTTTTCAACCCGAAAGAAAACTGTGAGGATGAGGGAAGAGGAGCTTATGTTTGTTGGAATGGTAATAGTTATTTGGTATCAACAATGAATGTCTCTCTGTATTTGTAGTGTTTTGTATTTGTTTCTACCTAGCTTCTGAATATGGTTTTTAGACAGCTTGGCTTATCGAGCTTTGTCCTTGTCCTTCCTCTTGATGGGATCTGTCCAAGTCTTGAACTTACAACAATAAGATATAAACTACCTGAAATATCTCTTTCCTTTTTTTTGATACATTTCTTTGTCTGAATATTATAATCTTTTTCTCTACAGAAAGCTCCCCAGGATGTACCCTTCAAAGAGACTCCCATGTTCATTTCTGACCAAACAAAGGTAATTGATATCCCTTAAAACAATTATCGAGTCCTTGGTTGCATATGATGATATGCATTAACAGATGCCCAAATGTCTAAGTCGTTTGTATGTAATAAAAGCATAAGATGCGTGTGTCCATGGTTGCCCATCCATTAAATGTGCTGTCTGATGTACTTGTTACAGCAGCATTTGAGCAGTGGTCTTTGTTGAAATAGACTGTGATAAGAGAAGGAGAGAGCTGTTTTTATACTATTTCCTTCTAAGACCTTCTAAATAATGTCTCTATTCTTTTTTGATTTCGATAAAAGCCATCCTCTATGTGCCTGGCTCTAAAATGTGGACTCTCAGATCTTTGAAGCTAGTATAATGCCTTCGCCTTTGGTCCTGCCTCAAGAAGTTATTCTTAAAAGATTCCAGCTGTAATTTGTTCTGAATTCATAGAAAATGAGCAGAACCGTCTGCTGATTAATAGCACATACAAAAATTTCCTATTAGAAAAGCTTGGTGATTCTTACAAACTGAATTTTGATGAGCATGATTATTAAGAAGCAGGTTTGATCTCTCGTATGGTGCTTCAAAAGCTGATTGAAAGAACAAAATGTTATTCTTTTTCAGGATCATCGCAGAGTTGTTCAAGAAGAGTACGAGCGAGATTATCAAAAGGTGAACTTGCTTGTTGTGTCTTGCTGGCCTGTTCTTAGCAAATTGTCCCATAAGGGAAAAGCCCTGAAAAGTCTTCCTTTGATTTCAAGGTAGCTTCTCCTTAGAAATAGCATGCCTTTAGGGGAGCACAGTTTCGTCTAAATCAACTAGACAAAGCAGCTTAACCATATCCAAACTGATCACGGCTTAGTTATGTGCTAGTATTTCATCAGCTGCTTTAACGATCGTCAATTCCACTGTCGTCTTTTTGTATTCTTCATTAAACGCTTTGCAACTTTTTTGTATGACTTACGAAGCAACTATGAAAGAAAAATTGAAAGTTAAAAAGAAGTAGATCAAGCTTCAACGTTTGATACAACGAAAGAAATATTTTAAGCCAATTTTCTTTGGCTATCAAGAATGTTCTCTTGTTTTCCTATGTACACTTCTGTAAAGGATAATGAGCAATTATTATTTGTACGCAAGCCATTAGTGCGCGGTTCATTTTATTCATCATTGCTGGCAATAGTGTCAGAATTTACATACAGTACTCGGCAATTAATTAGCATATCATCGAGGGTCATCGAGGGTCATCGAGGGATGATGTTATCAAGGTAACTACTCTGATCACAAACTTAACATTTAATCTTTATTTATCAAAGGCTTTGATTACGGTTAAAGATAAACTAGTGGAGATTGAAGGTCCAGAAATGAAAGAGAAAATGCAAGACCAAGTTAGACAATGGTTCATCGAATGCAGGTAAATAATGCACTTGATAATGCCTCCTATATTTGAGTGTCTCTGCCAATATCAGTTGTTTTTCTTAAAATCTCGTCTACAATGCGTTTGGATGTATTAAACATTGTGTTATTTTATTATTGTGTTTTAAAGATATACCAGAAGATGTTAAAGTTTAGTCTTACTCGTCTTTGCAAAAATATCGAGCACTTTACTCATTTGTCTATAATACTTTTCTCAATCAGTGTAACTATATTCCAATTTGAAATGAACTCACATTCTGCACGACTCGAATCAAAAGCAATGTATAATTTGGTTTAGGCCAAAAGCCATTCTTATGCTAGTATAAAAATGATAATAATTTATTAAAATTTACAAGTGTTAATAAATGAACAAGAAACTTTGTTATAAGAAAGAGGTCCAGTTAAGAAAATTTGGAGTACCTTTACGCTTGTACTGTGGACGATCTTGAAAAGCATATTGCTTATATCTATAATTAGTTTGACATTCTCGACCATGGACAGAAAAAATCCAATTTTTATTTTTTTGAATTTCTTTGTTTTTGAATCATCATACGTTAATGATCTAGACTATTTTGCTTTTGTAAGCTATCTTACATTTTTACATCTCATATTATTTTGAATATTTTACTTTTATTAGCCTGTGTCTTTGGTTTTTTACATTGATGCTCCATTTTTTTCAATCAAAGAGATGCCACTGGAAAATTCCCAGAATATCCAACTGAAGAAGAAGGAGGATCTGCTGCAATATTCACACAGAAAGACCCTGCACAAGTTGAAGAGGAATTAAAAAAGAAGGTTTGTAATAGGACTCTTTTCAGTTGGGTTTATGAATAGAGAGGCAGTTTATTGACAAGCCTACTGATGATTTCTATGTAGCAGATCTTAAACAGACTAATTTTATGATTTATTTTAAGCATGTAATAGAAAGAATTTAGCTATGCTGCTATATAATGTTTGTTTTGTGTTTATAGTTTTTTCCTGTGTTCTAACCCGTTTCTGAAAACCAAGTCAATATGATCACTGAAGATATTGAGAAATTTTGCTGAGAAATTTTGATAATCGGACACGTTGAATTTTTGCAATGGCCAAAAAGCAACTCGTGTCGAAGCTTCACGTTAAAATGGATGGAGTAAAGCACATCGGAAGTTAAACACTGTTTTTAAGCGTCCTACAAAAGAAATTCATATACATAATGGCGTCATATGATTTTGCCTTTACTTAGTATCAGTTGTAGTTGAATGTGGCTTGTGACGAGATGTTTTATGTTATCCTTCCTCTTTCAGGAAGAAGAAAAGGCAAAGAAGAAAGGCAAAAAGGATAAGAAAGACAAAAAGGACAAAAAGGACAAAAAAGGAGGGAAGAAAGGAAAGAAAGGAAAGGGTGATGAGGTATTTAAAACTACAGCTTCTTTCTAGCATTATTCGAAACCAGTAACCATCATGGTTTTATTTTAGTCAGATCTCGTGTGTTTATAATCTGCGTGCGTTTGCAAAACCACTAACGGTATTGTCACATTCAAATTTTGATATCTAGAGTCATAACTTTGCTGGACCAATATATCTTTACAGAAGATATCTTACTTTTATTTTGTAAATTTAAACATTTATCCGGCTAAAAATCTGTAATAAACTCATGTATTATCTTTAATCTAAAAAAGTGCGATGATTAATCCTTACTTCCTTTTTAATAGATAAATATGGTATTTTCAGCTTTTTATTCTTGAGCTCAAAGGAATAGAATAAGTTTTGCTTATTGAATTGGCTCCTTTTTTAGGATGAGGAAGAAGGAATCAAATTCCAGCCTTCTTCGTTTGTTCCAACAGTCGACGAAGCAAGTCTGTCTTACAAAGGTACAATTAACATATATTCGAGGACACTTACTGAAAAATTACTGAAAATTATTGATGAAAATTGTGAAAATTACGGTCTGTCAGGTAATGAGCGATGCCGGATAGGCGATCTGTACTCACTAAATTGGAAGACAGTTCTGTGTTTCAACTCTTAATGCAATCATTAGACAGCTGTATGGTATTTACGGATTAGAGGGAATTCAGCGGGCCAGAGAGCCTTAGAAAGTATTTGTCATCTTTTCTCTTCGAAAAATAATTAAAATATATATAGTTTTCTTTTTGATGGAGAATTGGACTGTTTTTTCCCCGTAAATTATATACCTTGTATATTTTGCATATTCAAGCTGTATTGATTCTCATAATGTTTTGGTATGAGAGAATATTAAAGGCAGTAGGTAATCTAGATTTATCATCATGACTATTAAAAATGATTTTATTCTACTTAAAATCAAAAAACAGAATTAAAGATTACATGTAAATGTTGAAACACTATGATGTTTTTTTTATCTCTATGATTCATATTTGAAATATTTTAGATGTGTGGTCAACTCGAGATGAAACAAATAATTTTGCGCAAAAACATGACGCTGAATTGATCAAAGAAGCCAAAAGGTAGAATTTGTTTCCAAAGATTGCAACTATTAATCTGTTATGCAATCGTTCTAATGTACATTGTGTTCAACAAACAATACTAGCATTTAAGGGCAGATTCTCTTTTCTAAACCTAAATGTGGTAGTTGGTAAGTCTTTCAAAACAGGGAAGAGCTGAGAAAGGACAGAAGTTAAACGAAAAGGATGTGCAAGTCTTAAGTAAATGATTTTAAACAATCCAAAAGAATAAATAACGTTAATATAGTTAACAAATAAATTAAGTATCAGAATACAAACAAATAGTATGATTCTGGTACTCAAATTATTTGCCAACTGTATTATCGACATTTGGATGAAGTACCACACGCAACATACATATTTGATCAGAACAATATGTGTCCCTGAAACATTTTGCTTATTGTCCATATTCATATTGTAAGCACAGAGATAAAGATATAAATTTATTTTCTGAATTATTATGTACATTACCATAACAGTAATTTTATCCGGCAGCAGAAGCATTTAGATTCTTCTGATTGTATCTTGTTAGGTTTTTTTGAAGTTGTCATGTCCAAAGCTTCAAAGCTCCACTGTTTAGCTGATTTTCAAGTATCTATGCATATCAACATATTTCATTCTAGTCTGTGGAATTTATTGAACCATTTTGGTAATATCATTCTTCGTAAGGTTTTTAACGTACGATCTTGCAATTGTAAACGCATGAACGTGAAGGAATGGCCTTTTATCTGATTTTTAGAATTGGAGTAAAAATTTTATAAAATTTTCAATAGAGCGCTAGATTTCTAAATTAAAAAAAACTAAATTTAGTTCCTTAAGCATTGATTTCTAAATTTAGAATATCGTTTTTACAATGCAATCATTTTTACTTTAGAGTGGAAGTGGAGAATGAGATACGATTGCATGTTGATGAGTTAATGAGACAGGAGCTCAAGAACTTAAAGCTAGTAAGATGCATTTATGTCAGATATTCATAATCCTATTTTGGTTAAGGGTTCTTCTCATTAGTGTGACTTAAGGTCCTTCATATGTTCTTAGGTAACTTAGGTATCTAACTAACTAATGTCTTATCTGCCAATTAGTTGCCTTTTGCTTATTCGTTTTTTCTCTTTCCCTATTTGAAATCTTCATCTACATATTGTGCTGGTTGAGCAGTTAGCATCATCAAATTACTCAGTTCACGCCTTATGCCCATGCAATCGCTGATTCTTCTGTAAGCCTCCCTGATGGTGGTAGAGAAATAACGAGACATAACACATTAATCTATGATCTATTGTTGATTTTGCCAGCCAACAGTTAGCAAGTTAGCAGGTGCCATGTCCTCTACACTACCCTTTAGATGTATTCTGGATGTAGGATCTTTCTCTCTCTGTGTTTTTCTTGCTAATTGATTCAATGTTTCTGTTCAACAGGCTGTAGATCGTGACAAGCAAGGCAAGAAAGGAAAGCGAGGGAAGAGCGGCAAAGGAAAAAAGGGTGGTAAAAAGGTTATTTGACGTTTTCATATTTTGCCCCTTGGTATCTTTGCAATTGTTTGAGAAGGAGATATCTTTGGATCATTGAATAATAAAGGGTTTATGTATTCCAGGGTTTATTAAAGGTTGAAATTCTTTGAAGGGAGTGAAGTATCTAGGATTCCATTTTCAGACCCTTAAAGTTTACATTCAGTGTAAAAATTAAGTTGTGAGTCAAATTTCCAACTTTATTTCAATTAAATATCTTCTGTGTCCTGAATGATATCACTATTCTTTGATTCGTCTACCATTGTTAACAATCTTCTTTTTATGTTGTAGCTTCCAGTCTTACTGAGAATTTGCTATCTCCAAATTTCCAGTCTTTCAAATGTCCAGTGTTCAATTAAGGAATGACTGACTGATCGTTTTTTTTTGACTGCCTTTATCTAAGATAATCATGTTTACTTTAAGAAAAAGAAAAGTGGCAAGAAAAGTGGAAAGAAGGGAAAAAAGGGAAAGAAGAAAGAAAAGGATTTGACTGCGGATAGGTTTGTAAAGTTTTATATATTCATGGACGTAAAAGGTTTTGAATACTTGATTTTCAGTTATGCATTGTTCTTCTTACTCTTTGGAACACTTGAAATGTTTTGATAAGCAGTTTCACTGATGAAAGCTCCATTTAAGGAAACGAAAAGTATAATCTTAGCAATAGCTGTTGAAAAAAAACAATGAAGGATATTTTCTTGAGGTAATAGCTTTTTTTGCTTCTCACAATATTTTGGCTTAAAGATGTTTTTCTTACAAAAGAAATACAAAGAAAGAACTTTTCTGAGATGATCGCTTTTTTGCTTCCTACATTTTCTAGTTTATAAAGTCATTTATTTTTGTCTTCGACGAATTGTATTTCAAAATTCAAGTATGGTTACAATGCTCAATCTTCACATGTAAATTTTCTGTATTGAGCGGACGATGAATGAAATCCAAAAAGATACATTTTCGTTAAATGATTGAATAGAGATATTTGCTTACTAGTTTAGTTTACTGAAATCATTTACCGTATCAAAGTTGGATATTTGTCGTTATGGATTCTTCTTGAAACTTAAGTGCCGCATGCATTTCAAGTTTAGATGTGACGTCAACGATTTCAGTATTCTTTTTCTGTCTATAAGGATGCCTGGACCTTTCGTGTGAAACATCAGTTAAAAGAGCAAGAGAAAAAGCAAAATAAATGAAATAATAATCAAATTTCCTTTAACCCTGCTTTAATTCTTGTTTTTGGTCATTTTACAGAACTATCGAATCTTTGTACGAAGAGCTCGTTGTCGAAGGCATTTTGGTGCGCCCAAACAAAGTCAGTGTGTCGGATTACATTGGGGAGTACAGCTATTTGGGAACAACATTACGTCAAGCAAATATCGAACCAATGCCTTCATTATCAGACGTCCGAAGAGTTATTACTGAGTTCTGTATTTTACCACTTGGTATGTCCTATATTTCTTTTCTTCTATTTGTAAATTCATCCTTATTTTTTCTTTTTGTCTCTTGATAAAATTGCATCTACTTAAACCAAGCAAGCAGTATAAGACTCATAACTGCTCTAGAGCCATGACAATAAACATATACTATAGCACTCTCTTTCTTCGTATCCGAAGAGTGACTGTATAGAATAAAGCAGGAGTTAGGGTGTTTTCTTGAAATTGTGAATGATTCTAGTTCAAGTCCTACCATTAAAGTATACTTGCTTGTTAAAATGTAGTTATAAGTTGATTTATCTTTGCCCCCATCAGTCTAAAAAATAGCTAAGTACAGTATCGAAACATTTATTTTATAAATTATATGCAAATGTGATTCATTTATCAAAGTTTGCACTTTCCAGAGATTTTCTTTCTTCTGTATTTTTCAATTCTTTTGGCACTGTTCTGACTTTTTATTAAAAAATTAATATTTCAAGTGAAATGTAAAGCTTTTAAAAATGAAGCCTTATATAACACAATTCTAGTTTAGTATTGCATATTTTTTGTATTCAAATCCAGGATCACAGATTGTGCACGAAAAAGCTCCCCACGTCAAATCAGTCATGATCGCAGGACCGCGTGGCTGTGGTAAAAAGATGCTGGTTGATGCTATATGCACGGAGGCTGGTGCCAACTTGTTTGACTTAACTGCCGCAAACATTGCTGGGAAATACCCTGGAAAAGCCGGTCTGCAAATGATGTTGCATCTAGTCTTCAAGGTACGTCCAACGCACTCGTGCTAGGTGACCCCAAGGCTCAGTAGACATATTAAACTCCACGCCTTCATTGACCTCTAAAATGTTATTATCTCTAGAATATGTATTATTTTTTGTTGCTGAGTACATAATATGCCTCTTATAGTGAGAACGCAAAAATGGTAATTGTATGTAATGCTGGTTCAAGAATGGTACTTTTATGCTAAAATTTCTTAAAAAAAAGTTCGAGAGAAATAAAGTTATTTTGCAAGAATTGGAGGGAGGAAATCGGAAATAAGAGGAGAAGAAAGACACTGACTATAGTTGAATGATAGAAGACATAACAACATTGTCAACGTTGCCTCTTACTTTCTGATTATTAACTAGAAATATTGACAGCAAAAATGTTTGCTAACGGATTACTGTTTTCTTGGCACTGTTCATGAAGTTATGAACAGAGACCAAATGACAGAAATTTGATGGGGAAAGAACCTGTACTTATGTGGCCTATGTCAGGCGATTAGTATCACATTAAGCTGATTTTGCATTTTTAGTGGTATTCCATGATGCTCTTTCAGGTCACGAAATCCAAGTTAAAGGATATTAAAAATAGACTTTCGTGCCGTCATCACTTAAGAGCTCCAGTGAAACCTTTTTGGTGTATCCAGTTTCAATTTTCCTCTGATGTACAGTCATTGCCAAAAGTACTTAGAATACGCAGCAATTTGCGTTGTGTTCTTATTTTTTCCATTCTTTTCCCGGATATTCCTTCTTCCGCAGCCCCTTCCCCCCTAAGCAATGTTGATAATTTAGAAAAATAACATAGAAGTTGCAGAAAAAAGCGTTCTTCCTAATCCCCTACGTCGTTTTGTAGTAAACCAACATTGTCCAAAGAGGGGGGGAGGGAAATGGCTTAATTTGCCCTTGGAAACTGATGCTAGTGTACCAAGACTTTAGGCAAACATTGTATCTTGTAATTTAGAATATGTATTCAATATCAAAGTTTCAATTCTAAATATTTTAGGAAAATTAAAATTTAAGCCAAAAAAGCTCAATATACTCGATTTGATCCTTAGGTTGCTCGTCAACTACCTCCATCTGTTGTTTATATTGGAGACTGCGAGAAGACATTCCTCAAAAAAGTCCCAAAGACAGATAAGGTACGGGATTCTAAGAATTTAATCTTGTATAAAAAAACAGTTGATATTGTAATAGCGATCATCCCAATTTAAAAGAATCCGTGGATACAGATATAGTGATCTTCGTATTAAGAATCAACTGGATGCAAACAGTGATAAAGACGTACAGATAATAAAAATGGTGATCACGTTGTTTATAGATAGGCAACGAATCATGATGAAACTCATCTTCGAAACTAGATTTCTCATGCTATACTATCTTTGAATAGTCCATGCACAGTTCTGCCAATTTAATGGAATCGAAAGTTGTTTCTAGATTGTCAGGTTTTATTTTCTTCAATTTGATTTTGTTTAATATTCATCTATTTAGATTCAATTGTTTCGATCGCTGATGTTTTTTTCTAGATAGAACCTTGACTTTAACCTCTTTCGTGTTTATTTACAGACAGAGCCCAGGAGACTCAAAAAAGACTTGCCGAAAATTTTAAAATCACTGAAACCAGAAGACAGAGTTTTGATTGTCGGAACTTCAAGAACACCATTTGGTAATTATTTTCTAGTAATTTTAAGTTGATCGTGTTTTCTTTGATTCATTTTTTTATTATTTTACACCTCTAATATTTTTCATTAATCATCCTTAAGTCATCGATTAAGTTTTTGTTTTTCACCGATGAGTTCTTGCTTTCTCTCCATTTTCTGTTTTTTTTTCAAGCTATTCTGGCCCTCCATTTACCGTTTCACCCTACGTTGCTCGTAACATTGCATATTTCGTGTCCTCAATCCACAGATGCCGAGGTAAAACCATTATGTGCAGCTTATCAGAAGATAGTTCTAATCCCAAGACCAGATTATGCTTCTAGATTCGGTAGGTGCCAACGTTTGATTTTGATTAAAGAAAACCTAAAAGATTTTCTCTTTCTATAAATATCAACTTGGGGAATCGTTTTTTTGTTCGTTTTGAACAAGTTACATTAAATTCTGAACAACCTTCTTTACAATATTGGTCAATATCAAGGAACAATGCCGTACCTCTTCTGCCTGTAAAAACACAATGTTCGAAGTATTACCAATAGTTGCTTGGTTGCCTGTCACGGGTTTTTTGCCTGTCATAGTTAACTTGTGGCTTTTCTTTTGCACAATGTACGATGCCCACTTTACCACATCATGACGTCACATTATGTGAACACATATAGACCGAATGTAATTGAAATTTAAATAATAGTCCCCAATGTTTTTGTCTTCCATCTCTAGTGTTGTGGCCAAGTCTGATAAAGAAATACGGAGGAAGAATATCAGATGCACTCGACTTCAGTTCTTTGTCAAAAATTTCTGATGGATACACCCCTGGTCATTTGCTAACAGCCATTAAAACCGTTTTGACTGAACGACGAATCCAACAGGTATTCCAAATTCATTCTCAAAGAGATTAGTCCCAGTCAGGGCCCACGCCACTGGGGAGGGGGGGGCACAGAGGGGCCATGTCCCCCCACTGGCCCCAGAAGCAAGTAGCTTTAAAGCTGCAGAAAAGGGGACAAAGCCTTGGCCTTCTACTTTTGCTAGCCTTGCCCCCCCCACCCCACTTTCAAATTCGTGGCATAGGCGTGCTGGTTCAGCAGATGACGAGCCATATTTCTGTAAGGGCTGCTCTCAAGCAAAATGGTTAATCCAGAAAAGAGCCAGTTTGTATGAATCAAAATTTGGGTCCTGAATTTTTGACTTAGCCTCTCATGTTAAATTTTTTTGGATGGAATTGGTGGCTGAAAATCTTTAAATACTTATTCTTAAAGGCAGTAGCTTAACTTGTTTTGTTTTGATTTTCTATTATCTAGATTTACTTTTTATTTATATTATACGGAAACCATTGGACTGAGCCCTTTGCTAAACCAGGCTGGAAGGCAACCATTTGAGATGCTTCATGTGGCCCAAATAATATTGTATTAGGTATGATATTACTGGCCGCGCCAAACCACTAGTTGTTTAGAAAAATATAAACTCCACGTACATTTGACCAACAAACTAATAAAATCATAAATATTTTCTAAATGAAAGCTTATTCACTAGAAACGTCTTGCAAGAATGCAAAAGGATTTAATTATTTTACAAGACTGAAGTGATATTATATGCAATGCCAAATTTCCCTATCTATGCTATATTTTTATATTTCTTGCCATATTTTACAGCTTTCAAAAAAACCACTAACAGCGGCTGAGTTCATCCCTCCACTAGCCAAGATTGACCCAATTTACAAAGAAGAAGAAGAGGCTTTCAAGGTACCAGATCTATCTTCACTTCGAGTTTCATCAATTTTATTGCAGGATTCAGAAAATTACTCGTGATTTTACCACCTCGGGGTCAGGCAGGAACGTTTTTGCGAAGTAAAGACAACAAGAAAGGAAAATATTTTGGAAAATACGCAGATTTAAGAATAAGGCAATTTAACTAATTTGGAAGAAAAATATTTCGCTGGCAATGAGGAAGGAATCGAAGGTTTTTCTTGTAAAAGGTTTTTGGAATAATTGAGCTTCCCTCACCTTGTCATAGGACCCGTCACTGACTTTGTTTTTCACTACCTTCACCATCGACATTCACAAAATTCACTCCGGGTATTTTCATAGGGTCGGGATCGAGGAAGATTCTATTTGGCAAATCTAGGGTCACAGGAAAATGTGATGCTTTTCAAAACTCACTCTGAGAAAATACAAGCATTAATAAAGACGTTCACAGAATAGTACCTTTCAGTCCATGTTTCTTTTAAAAGTTTGTGAGCTTCATTGTGTATTTAAAGGAAAGTGATACAGACGAAGTAATCGTATTTCTTTTCGTGATATAGTGATAAAGCTATTTCTTTTCGTGGACCTAAGCTTTGGAACCAACATGAACCTGATGCCAAATAGGCACCTTTCCATTCCCAGAAGAATCAAAAACTAACTATGAATGACCATTCCTATTTCGTAATATCTATCTTCTTACTTATTAATGTTTTTGTCACGGCCCCCTGAAAAGCATTTCTCGTGGACTGACGGGGCTACCGTGCCTAAATAATTAAAAATGTAAATGTAAAAATGTAATGTAAATGTATAGGCAGAGTGAATGGTCGATCATGTAAAAACATTAACACAAACACAAGAAGCACAAGCTCGAAAAGTTTGTGAGTTCCTTTGTTCTTCATTCTGATTGTGGGTTTAGTTTCCTGAAAATGGTGTTAGGCCCTAATGTCTTGTTCTGAGGTTGTAGTTGACATTCTCACAATTTTCACCAACCAATTAAAGGTTCCTTATCTCCTTTCGTTGAGATTGCCACTACAAAACTCTTAAACTCTACAAAATTATCAACCCCAAATGAAAATTGTATGTATGAATAAAGATAGAGAATAAGGTTTAAATATCATACAAGTTAGCAAGAGAACGCGTTATTTGAGCAGAATTCGACCTTCAATTTAATGGTAAAAGCGAAGTAAGTCAAGCAGATGTCTATCTACTCATTCCTAACTGAATAAGTCTGCAACTCATTAAAAACATTTGTTTTAACTTCCTACTTTTCGGTATACAACGCTATTAATGCTTCCACTTACAAGAAACAAATCACAGAACTTGCAACTCAAGCAGAAACGTGCTATTTCTAATAAACTGTAAGCTACTAAATTCTTCCATTACTAACAAGCATGATGTGAAACAATGTGAAACAACTTGTACTTGAAGATGAAACAGACCTCTTTCACAGCAACACAATTGGCGAGAGACCTACTCAGGTTCTTTACTGAGTGAATTTTGTACTATAGATTTGGTACGTAAAAACGCCGCTTGGCAAAAAGCGAGCGAAAGCTGCAAAGGAGGAAGAAGAGGGCACTGGAGGAAAGAAAGACAAAAAGGGGGCGAAAGGAAAAGGGAAGAAAAAGAAATAAGAAAAGAAGAGGAAAACTGAAGTAAAGAAATATATTTCTCTAGGTTTAATTTGCTTCCAAATTGTAAATATTTCTCAAGCATTAATTTTATAAGCAGAGCAATTTCTTGACAGGTAACAAAATTTCTAAATGCACTTGATTATTGTATGTTGTTAGTTTCACAAAAATCAAGTAAATGTGTCAACATGGCTGCTTTCTATCGCCATTTTTCTTTTTAAAATGTCCTTCTGCCTGTAATAAACTGCATAAAAGGAGCGAAATGCTATCAATGTTATTCTTAACTCTTGAAAGAGTCGAGAAGCAGTTAGTCTTTCAACCGAAACACCCAAACTTCCCCGTACAAAGGCAAATCGTTTGAAACTTGAGCTCGTCTGTTTTCCTCTCAACGATTTCCAGTTTGAAGCACAGCTATGCATTCCCAGCATTTGCTAAGAAATTCTTGTCAACCAGCAACCAATATCTCATTTTCCAAAATACTACCGAGCGAGACCATTGGTTTAAAGACTTTGAAATATAAGTGGGATATCAAAATAGAAAAATAACGAAATTGTGCAGACCTTCATTTCCATAAAATTAATTAAACTAATTATAATGATACAAAATATTGAGTTTAGATTTTGCAACTATTTCGTGATTGATGTTGGGTGGGTGGTGCCTTAATCGGATCCTTTTTGCTGGAAGTAATGTCCATAAGGGTTACCACCAAAGTTGGCAGTTCTTAAATGACAGTTCGTTGCAATTAATTTAAGAAATTTTTCTTTGTTTACATCTGATATTTTCTTGTTTTTTATTCTAGTTTTACAAAAATTAAAACCATTTGACCTAAATCAATTAGATCAACTTTGCGAGTGGTTGTGCATTCCTTTTTGTGCATGGGCAGTTTTTATTCTCTCTTCGATCACTTTCGTGGCACCCATTTGTACGTTCCTGAATATGTGTAGCCATGCTTCTTGACAAGATCGTCTGCTTCGCTAGGACCACGGCTGTAAGAAGAGAGGCTCTTATCAAGCAACAGGAAAGGCTACAAAGCCTGCCAAAGTACTTAATACCCAGCAATTTACGCTGCATTTGATATCTTTCATTCCATTCATGAAAAAAAATTGCTACTTCCGCCCCCTTCCCCCTAAAACAATGTAGAGAGATATCCTAAAAGAAGTGAAAAAGAAGTGCTTCCTGAAATCCTAAGGGGCCATTCACAAAGGACCTCCAAGCTGAAGGGGGAGAGGGTTTGGTGAATCCGAGTAGATTCGGACATAGGGGGAGAGGGTGTTTTTTACGCAATGCGGACGTCCAGGTTTCAAGTTATGGGAACGAGACATTTCAAGTCTCAGTTTGCATTGACCTTATCGTCAAATATTCGGACAGTCAAAAAGGAAAGGTATCTTCCAGGCCTACTTCTCATAAAAAGAAATTTTGAAGGTGGCCAATAACATATTTCTTTTTTGGAAATTTTGGACCCATTGTGTCTGCCTTGGGTCTCTCTTACGTATATTCCTAGAACCCAAGGAAACTGGAGTCAGTCGATTACAACGTATTTTGCTGGAGAAACTCTTGATTAGAAACTCTCTGCTGAACAGAAATGTGATAACATCTATTACTTGCTCTGGAATGCCTTTTGAATTTCAAACAAATCTTATTGAAGAGACCCAAGTGATAATTCAACAAACATTTGTTTAAAACCTATTTGTTAACCGAGAAGATGGGAAGTTGGAAAATAAAATCCGTCAATTTCAACATGAATAACAAAAGACAAGAATACAAAATAAACTCACGTTCCAAACTTGTAAGCGAGTGGCTTTATCTTCTCATTTTCAATTTTATGCAGGACAGGTGTGAAAATTCTCCAGGCTTCTTTCAATTCGTCACTGAAAAAAACAAAACGGGCGTGACAAATCTGCGTTAGTTCAGTGAAAGCATCTTGAAGAGGCTTCAATATCCATTCAGGGGTCCAGAAAAGTGCGCGGCGGCAAGACAGGGAGGCGATCAGGTTCCCTACCTTTATTAAAAAATTTCGTACTTTCTGGGTCTTATACATGCTCCTTTCTAGGTATTAAAGGAATTTATCAATAGTCTCAAGCTGTTTGCTCATCCTAAAATGTTGGATCAACTGCACTATTCAGGTTTAGGTAAGTGGCATCTGAAAAGTCTCAAAGTTTGGATTTGGTAGTCAATTTGAAATTGTTATTCAGAGTAAACGTTCAGTTAGACTAACACAGTTGCACCTATTCGAGATTATTCTCAAAGATTATTCAAACCTCCCAAACTATATTATTCCTTCACGATGTGCAGAAAATGTTATGCTTATATTGGTGCTTAAAGCGCCCTAGCGAACAATTCAAAAAAAAATTTAATAAACAATTTCAGCTCATGCAGATCCACCCAAAAGTGGACAAGGGAAAATATTTTTGGAGCCCATCTCTACCAACGGGTTCCGGCCATGAGCTCAAATAATCTATTTCGAGTAAAGCTACGGAAAGGAGGAGAACAAAAAATAAGCTTTCAGAAGTCCTTATAGTTGGTTTCATTAAGAAGATTTATCGAGGAGCACCAAAGAGGACTTTATGATGTTGCTCTGGCATTGCTTGCTGCAAAAAGACTATTTAAACCCCCTGCAGTAACGTGTATTGCAGCATATGGTCATATATGGTCATAAGACATGTGGTCAGTTTATCGACATGAAATGAAACACAATCGAAGCAGTAAAAATAAAGATCTGAAGCTTTCTTCTGGTTTCAAAATCCAACACTATCCTGTAGGGCCCCTGTGTGCTGGATATGGTCTTAGTTAAACATGATTTTCAAATGTTTCCAGGGAGGCGAATTACCTTCTGACGAAATTAAGCTGACTTCCTGAGAATACGTCCATGATGAGTCGATCATAGGCGTCTGGCATATGCACATTCTGAAATAAAGTGCAAATTAATTAGAATAAATTATGTGGACAGTAATTGATTGCGTTATTTTTCAGTAGAAAATTGACGAAGTGTGGGCAGAAATAAGACTCTTATAGCATGATATGCATCAAATCCAACTTGGTAGCTTTTATTACCTGGAATCTTTCGTTATATGTCAAATCCAGTTCTGACTCCAACGGATCAATGAACATACCAGGCTTTTTCGTCATCATCTTACAGTACACGGCCTAAAAGCGTAAATCGGTTATCATTAGATTTGGTATATAAAATTTCACCGAGATCATTTCTGAACGACGGAGAAGTTACTTTGGTCATATTATACGTTCACCGCCTTGCCACCAAGTGCTTATACCAATCAGATAGAAGCCAAAAGGCGGAAAATGAAAGGAGAATGAGTGTTCGACACATATGAAAAGATACCGTTTAAGAAGTTTCTGAAGAGGCTCCATCAAACTGCTCAAGAGGCTCAAGATGAAGAGAAAATAAAGGCCACAGATAGAGAAAGGTTGTCAAACGGGTTCTCCTCGTGCAGTAGGTGGACCTGAATAAGTACAGCGCAACCAGCCATATCATACTAATTATTTCTCTGAAGAATAAAGAGACCTTAAAGTATGAAAATCACCAGGCATAGAGCATTACTATAAATAAACAAAAGGGCATTTTTACGTGATCATTTTTAAGCTGTTATCAAATCTAGTGTATCATTAATACCTAGTTTCTTAAACCATAATTTGCAATCCCTGTAATTATCTCCAAACACGACGTAAGGAAAATCAATATCACGTTGACTGAGGAGCCAAGAAGTTTTTTTAAAATCTTTGTACCTTTAAAAATTAGAGCATAAACCTGATGAGGAACAAGCTTCAAGATATAGTAAATTCCATAGACGATATGATACCTCGTTTGGCTGAACTCGGATAACTAGTTCGTTTCTTTGGCATTTTCCATCAAAAATGTCGCCTGGAACTTCCTTGAATTGTATTCTAATCTCTCCTTTTCTTTCATTTAATGCTAAAATCGAAAAGCAACTTTATCTTAAAGCGAATACAATTTAGAAGGCACAGTAATTCAAAAAGCACAAAATAAACGACTAAAGCATGACACGTTGATGTTTCTATTTATAAGATTTTGGTCTGTGGTAGAAAGTGTTAAAGTGCTTTACGGTTTTAAACTGAAATTTGAATTCGATTCAGTAAACTGAATTTTTCTCCATATTTCTAGACAATCGAACTTTTATGTAGTCAGTAAGAAATGATGAAAAGAATGGTTTACCTTTGCCACACTTCAGGATGAATGGTACACCTACAAATAAGCAAAGAAATCAAAATGCAACGATAATTTGTATAATGATGGGAACGACCACCGGAAAAAAGACAGCGTAAAACGAATCTTCCTGGACTTGATGGAGATGTTATGAAATTTAGTTTGGCAGAGTTTTGAATGTAAAATAATCATCATACATAAAGTTACAATAGCAAGACTCCGAACGGTAGGTACATCATTGTGAAAAGAAAATTTAAAACAAAATTCTTTGAAATTAAAGCAGTTTTCTAGACATATAACCAACACTGCTAAAGTCTAGTAAGATGGACATAACCAACAGCTGTTTCACGAATTGTAACTTACCATCCCATCTTTCATTGCTGACGTAACCCACAGCAGAAACAAATGTTGGTGTTACAGACCCTTTGGGCACCGTAGGGTCATCCAGGTACCCATGGACAGCCTCGCCCTTGCCTTCTGGATCCCCTTCATATTGACCCAGGACCATGTTCTCAAGCTCAAATGGTTTCATACATTTGAGAACCTTAAGCTGAAAGAAGCAACATTTCGATTCATTACAAACAGTTCAATTGAACAATTATGAGCCTGGAAATTATAAATAATTGGAGATATTTGTGAATATGACTATAGCTTGTTTTCGTGTTTAGAGACAAGTTATATTTGTTCGCCGTTGACGATCTACATCGTTTTGGAAAAAACCAATGCATACCTATAAATGCTTGATAGAAGTCCAGCTGTTATAAAATTAGACAGCCAGCCTGATTGCAGATAATTTATTCAATAGTAGGCATATCTGAACAAGATGAACACAATTTACAGGCCCACCTGCTCGGATACGCAGAAAAGCGGGATAATCGAGGAAAACTTTTCTCACCCTTTTTCCCTGCCCCCCCCCTATTGAAGTGTAGTTTTCTGATAAAATCAATAGAAAGATTAGCTGCAAGGGACCATAAATGACATTAGGCAAGGGGGAATGGAAGGGGATTGTACTTTTAGACGTCTCTTTTTCTTTTGGAACATGAATCTCTTTCTTATTGCTTTGCTAGCTGCTGTTGCGGACTTTAATTCAATAAAGTTGAATTGCTGATGGTTTAGCCGATCTTGCTCAACCTTGTTCGACCTCCCCCCCCCCCTCAACAACTAGAAACCACAGCGGCATTTTGCGTTCAGAAAATCAAGATTCCAAAAAAGGGGTTCGGATAGTTGAGGATGCACTGAATTTCAGCAAAGTAAATGTTAAATAAATATCTGATTTTGTTTGTTAACATCACATTGGGTAGTAAAGGATTTTAAATGCCTTTTTGTTGTCCCTACGTTAATAACAATTGAATTTTGAAAAGGTCAGTTATCATTATAAGATTCCAAAGATACATTGCTCTCGCGAAAAGGAGTATGTTGCTTGTAAATAATAAATGAATAGGAACAGGAAAAAGATGGAAATTTCAAACTTGAGACAATTTTTTACAACAAGCATACTTTTTCATCGCGAATGTCATCAGCACTTGTTGTTGGTGGCTTTTCCATGGCAACAATCGTCATGATTTGCATAATGTGATTCTGCAAAACGTCCCTACAGGATAACAAGGAAATGTACACAAACTGAAACGGTCATACAAACGAATGAAAAACTCAAACTGAATTCCTCACCGACCTATCGTGAATTGACACTAGACCAATTCCTTTTTTTGCACTTGATATCAGATTCTCTCTTGATTTGGTCAATTGCCCTCTCTGTTGGATTGAATATGAGGGAAATGATAGCAAAAGCAACTAAAGTTTCCAAATCATTGTAGAATATTGATACTAGCTTCATACCGAATGACACCAAATTCGTCATAGTAACCACCACGACCATATGTGCCAATGTCTTCTTTGAATTGAATCATAACACATTGGATATTGTCCCTGTTCCATAATGGTCCAAAGATACGATTCCCAAATCTACAAAGATACGATTCTCAAATCTAGATAAAGAGCTTTCTTAAACAAGTGGCACTACACAGTAGAACAGTGCTACAGGATAAAGAGCATTGATATTTCCTCCGAGCTTCGTTTAACACCTCTAGACAGTTGGCTCATTTACATTCCAGCTAATACTAAATAAGTTAACTTCAAAGTCATTCATTTCATTAAGACAATGAAACCTGTTATACAAAATGATGCATAAACTCTTGAACCAACCTTAGAACCATCAGATTTTGAACCATTTCTTTGCCAAGGTAATGATCAATTCGGTAGATTTGCTCTTCATTAAAGAGTGAGGAAAGATGTTCAGACAACTTTGCAGATGAGGCAGAGTCATGTCCAAACGGCTTCTCTACAACAACTCGATTGTAACCACTGCAAAAAAGAATGCAAACAGAGTCTTCAGTATATTTTCAGCAGTCGAAATTTCTTTGTAAGGCAAAAGTAGGAGATGACAATGCAGCCAATTTTCAAAATGAATGTCGCTCCATGCAACACCCATCAGATGATGAATACGAAATGTTTGCACTTTTATTAGAAAATTAGATCAAAAGACATTGGCAGCTAATTTGAGCTGAAAAAGTAACTACCTATTTAGAAGGGGTTTTCAGGGTTATCATTGCCTCTAAAAACAAAATATACCCATGTGTTGGTTCAGAGACCACAGAGCATATTACTTATTCAGGGGCCAAAACAATTGTAAATAAAAAGGTGAAAGTTCAACATGCAAGAAGCCAAGAGCAACATGATCCATTTGATGGTTTTACTTTTAAGAATTATTGGAAAAAGGGTATACCCAATCCCAATAATGGATATAGTTATTCCGAATGACCTCATTCCTGAAAATGTTTTAACAGGCTGGAATGTTTAAGGTGGTTGAAGGAAGATTTGGACATTTGTCCACACTTGGACAGTTATTGGATGCCAAATCATGGAGTGTATAAGAAATCCACGCCAAATATATCTGCTGTGCCACTTGCAGCTCTGGTATGTAAATTGTTGCAACAGGAGCCATAAAACTTTCGAGCCGCTTATTTTTCTGAAAGGTTAAATTTTGAACACAGGCAATTTGCAAGCTTTCTGAGCCAGGAGGTAAAACTGATTTCTTTGTCGGGTCTTACTGGGGCAGGAACAAACATTCAGTATTTATATCAATTTTTAGGTGATTTATGTGGACCATGTTTATAAGAAAATAGGGGGATAGGGATAATTACCCCCATACCATTCCTTGGTGCTGCCATTGCATGGTATAATAAGGTGCTCCCTTGGAATTAAAGGTAACACTTAATTTCATTCAAAAAATTCATAGAAATATTATGGAAAATAAGGGAATTTGGGAGAAAATATTGTGCAGACAACACTCAAATATTAAATATTAGTATTCAAATTTGCAAAATATACATCACCTTGAGCTCATGCAACACTTCTTGATATTCTCAGTGACTGGCATAAAAACTGAAGGTGGAAGAGCCAGGTAAAAGATTCTGTTTGCTTTCAACCCATTTTCCAATTTTTTCAGCTCAACATCAAGGTTCTGGTATGCACTGGCTTCAGTATATGAACCTTGAACATAGTAATTAGCTTTGAAGAAAGCATCAAGTTTATCTTTCTCATCATCTTTAACCTGCAAATGAAATCAAGCTACAGAGTGCCATTTTCAAAGCCTTTCAGAACCTGCAAACATATTTCAGTTGCTAAAAAAAGACTTTACAACCACCAGAAGGTCAATCTCATGTTTCTTAAAGGTTTGCCTGTTTTCAGTCAATTTATTCTTTTTAGGCAAAGACTACTATTTCTAGCAGGCAGGACCGCTCACATAGGGGGGCCTGAGCAAGTTTTCCAGGGCCCTGGCCCATTCTAGGGGTCTAGGGACAATAATTATGGAATCTATATTGCCATATTCTGGAATATATATTTGTTGCCAAGCAAGAAGCCTACACTCATTGGTTGCCCTGGGGCCTGGCCTTGCTCTCAGAGGCCCTGCTGGCAGGATAAATCTACTTAAATTTTTTTGGATATCAGAATATGAATAAGACAACTATATGAAATTCATGAGAAATCTTACCTTCAGATAGGGTTCTGCCTTCTTGCGGAGATCAGCAACAGTCAATTTTGATCTTGCATATCCAACAAATATTGTGTGCTTTGGTACTAGCTGGCTTTTGTATAACATCCTGGTTATATTGAACATACATCACATTACTTGAAATAACATGTTATCAAATAAATAAAAATAGTTAAAATACCATATTATATTATAATCTAGAAAACATAGACAATGTGAATATTACAAGTCAACAAGAAGAAAAGTTTCTGAGTTTCGAGTCAACAGGAATTACGGGTAGGATGGTGCTAGGCACAGGACTCCACCACAATTCAGCCCTGATTGGAAAATTTATCTTATGATTTCGATATTTTGGCATAGAAAAAAGAAAAAAGGAGCTCCTAGACAAGAAACTCAGAAAAATCAATACACACCTGTGTCACCACTTAAAATTTTATTTTATACCACTGCTGCAACCGATGCTAACAGTACCATAGGAAGGAAAGAGGGACACCAATTCTGAGAACAAAAGCAACAGAACTGTTTTCCTGATATGAAAATTTAACAATAATTCTAGATTTATTTCATTATCAGTCCATCTTTAACAAAAAGATAGTAGACATAACGTCCATCTTTAATAAAAAGATAGTTAAGATATTTACCACAGTGTTGGGTAGATCTTCTTCTTGGCAAGATCACCCTGGAAGAGATTTGATGCAGAATGAGATGCGCAGCTTTTCAAGACAGTGTTACAAGGTTGCTAATAATATCCTATATTTCAGGTTATGAAAAGAAAATACTACATTTTTACAAAGAAGCTTCCAAATTTTTGCACACCAAAAAAAAAGCTTCCAAAATATTGCAAATTTGTATAAGGGCAAAGGTTTGTAAACAGTGCTTTCAGTAGGCAAAAAAGGATATAGAAACTGCAAAACAATCTGGCAAAAAGTTCCACTCCTTCTTGCCTTAAAACAAAAAATATGATTTGTACTCAGAGGGGTAGCAGGGTCAGTGGGGTAGCTTGACATGCCTGACTAGGGGGTGGAGGGTCATCAAGAGTAAAACTTAACTACCAAAATCATAGACAAAGAAAATTTAGGTGCTATTTTATTTACCTATATGCATTTATACTGACTAACTAAGGATTTTGTGGACCAACTAAAGATTTACCATCCAACACATGATTAATTGGGGGTGTCACACCCCCTACACCTACTGCTAGCTGTATTTTCCAGTGCTGTGTGTACAGTCATGGGGCTTAAGGGGCTGGGTCTCCTTTTTAAATGCCAAAATTGGCCATTTTCTACCTCTTGTTGCTGTTTTCAGAAGAATTTGCTGAGGTCCCCTTGTTCTTTTCATACCACGCCTGTGACTACCCATTTTGAATTAATTGTAGACAAGATGACATAATTCTTACAACAAAATGTACACTGGAACATTGCTGACTTTCAACATATAACAATTTTATCCTTTTGAGGCCAGAATAGGCATGAGTTTATAGAGCGAAAATCTTTTCATAAAATGGGCGTAGTTATTGGTGGGTATGGATCTGTAACAGTGTCCTGTAAATTTCAAATGATATGATTTTGAAAATGTGCAACACGCTGGAGTTTGATAAAAATAAAAAATTGCGAACGATCTAATGCATGAGAAGTTCAATTATTCATCTTTTAAAGTTGCAATGTCAGATTTTGCCACACCACCAGTCGTGCACAATTTTGGTTTCATGTTCTCTGACAAGGTTCACAGTCTTGGGCAAACCACTTCCCCCAAAAGAGAAATAATATCGGTCACTTACAGATGCACCGAGGACAACGAAGATCTTGCTATCTGCATCTTTTGGGACATAGTCCAAAAGGAGTGAAGTAGCGTTTTCTTGATTAGCATCCGCCATTTTCCACAAACAGAGCAGCTCGAAGAAAGAAGGGAGATGGATGAGACAGCAAAACTGCTAGCTAGAACGTAAACACATCGTGCATTGCACGGGGGTAACTTCGAACTGACTAGAATACTGTCTGCCAAGGGCTGCCAAGGGCCATGCGGTAAATTTTTTTTTTTTAAAAAAAAAGAAAATATACCATCAAAATATTTGAGAAATCTATCTTTCAAGCCAATGCAGCAACGGAAAAAATATAAAATTAAGGGGCGGGGTATGGGGTTGCAGCCCCTGAAGTTGATAAGCTCGTCATAAAACTTCTCAGCGGGTCAAGCATAAAGACCCTAAAAGTACTTAAATTTTAGAAAATACAATGAATGCTTCCCTAACATTTTTTGCTCGTACGTCCAAAGAACACAAACAAAAATAGTCGGAGTTTTCTCGACGGGGGCTTCTTGGAAATTTTCACAGATATTGCGGTCTCGTTTTAAAACGCCGATGCCTCTTTTTCGTGGTCTCGCAGTTTTTCTAAACAAACTTCAACAAATTTTACAGGAAAGGTTGGAAACTGAGGATATGTTTATAAACTAGCAAAAGATTTAATTTCAAGGGTGAGTTGTTTGCTTTATGTGCTTCAGCACATAATGTTTTGTTAACCCTTTCATTTTTTCTGAGAAAAATTTTTCCAGAAGGTTTTATGAGAACTTTATTTTTGGGAATGGTAATCCCCCGGGGGTAGGACAGAACCTTGCCAAGCTTCCACTTTTAGAGGCCACATATTAGGTTTCTATATTTTTTGAGTCTTTTTAGCAATAAACTTCTAAGTCAATAGCAGCCCTTATGGTATTGGCAATGTAAACAAGGTGAATGCAAGCAGATTTTAGGCTCACTCATCAAATCAGTATTTTCTATTAAAGGAAAGATAGACTTTACAAATCATGAAACCAAAAGAGCAAAAAAATCCAAATGAAAACGGAGGGAAAAGATCAGATAAGACACACAGGTACAGTGCAAGACGCAGCTCTTTTGGGAACAAAGGACAGCAAAGGTGGGTTCCTTAAACAAGAAGATTGAAGAAAATTTCCAAATCCTCTCTCTTGCAAAGATAAAAAGATTTGGAAGTTAAATTTCTAAATTCATCTTTGTTGCTAGAGAAAATTGTGATGAGGTACCAACAGATTTTGTCTTGACCAGTAGAATATAGGCAATCTTTTACTTTATAAGAGATTAAGGGATGTACTAGCCGCATTTAGACAGAGCCTAAGCCATGTCATTTGCCTGGATCCTCGTCCTTTTCTTCATTGCACTGTGTAAGCATTCTTCATTGCAAATTTTATATTCTTCTTTCATTTCGGACTCTGTGAGAAATGGGGAAAACATAGTTTATGCTTTTAATTTTCTGACTGTAAAAGTCATTCTCTGATATTAAGCTAAGACTTCCCTTTGTTATAAAAAAGCAACAAAAATTCTAAGCATCAGGATATGCAGAAATAACATAGAACAATTACCTTGAAACACGGGGCGTGATTTAATAGGTCTAATTTGACCTATTACTTGTAATTGTCCCAAGTAGCTGTGCGAGTAAAGAGCTTGACATAAATACATGCTACTCTTAGTAAGAGTGAGATTGTTCTACCCTGATGCTTTTCTAGCTTCTGTGCCACAGAACGAGATTTTGAGCTAAGAAACTCTTTGGTCAATTCCAAAAAATGAAAGCAACAAGTTTTCTCAAAAATTTATTTCATTTTCTTTAAGTCATCTTTGCTTTCAAATATGTTCAATAACATTATTGCATATCATTTAGCCAATTCTGATGCACAATGAGGGCATTCCTCAGCAAAGGGTCATTTTGCTGTCTCTTTTGGTAGATCAAAATTTTTTTGTTTTTTAATGTACCAGTGATGCTAACAAGGCAAATAAGAATGATAGTTCTGAAAAACAGAAGAAAGCATCCAGCCAAGAAGTGGAAGTAAAAGAAGAAGAAAAGGTATGACATGTTTTACTTGCATGAAAATAAATGTTTTTGACCAGTAGCAAGCTAGATGATACCTTTTATTTCTGTTATTGAACATCTTTTGGTGGTACACATCTGTAGTTAGCTTAAATGTTTTAACTTAGGCCATCAGTTACCAACTTCCTCTCTCATTCATTCATCATGCGATCTCTGTGATATCTCTGTATGTCATGCATGGCATAGCTCACCACATACCATAGCTCATTCTCTCTGCCATTTTGTACAACTTCCATGTCAGTTGTGCCTATCTCATTTCACTCATTCATAATATCATTAATAATTTTCCAAAATCTTTATGTTCTTCACTGCATAACTCTTCATGCTTAACCCATTTATCTCATCTTCTGGGTCCCTCTTTATCCAGTAATTACATTTATAGCGATACTTAATTTATTTTAATACCTATATAAAATTAGGCATAAAAAGTCAAAACACAAAATCAAGACATGGCAATCTTTTCTTAACATAACAAAGACATAAAAAGGAAGACATGAAAATCTTTCTTTCTAGTTTTGATACAAAATCCTTTTTTCCTGAACACATTTCTTTTTGATAACAACTCTGGAGGGACCATTATGGAAACAAGGTGGTACTGACCTTTTGAATGCCTTTTGAATGCAACTGCCATTTTTAACCATGGGGTGTTTTTAAACTACGTTTTTAAACTTTGCCTGTAAATTTTATCAATTTCTAAGATCACTTTCCTCTTTAAATTGTAATTTATTTGATGGCAAAATTATACATGCATACAAACTTTCTCTGGCTCATTATTCTCAATTTATTGAGTATTACTTGCTGGTTTGATGTTGATAACAACACACATGGAATTTGTATTTGGAGAGACATCTGAAATGATGGGACAGACAATTCATTCTGTAAAAGATTCCCTAAAGTATTTATCCGTTTCATTATTTCAATAATTGTTATTTCTCTTGAAGGTTGCTACACCACCAGAAAGTAGTACCCAGGAAGAAAATACTGAATCAGTAAGTCAGGAGGCACAGATGATGCTAGAAATTGAAAAGGTGAGATTCTAGGGAATGTAGCTTAAAAAGTTAATGCAAGTGTTGAGTAAAATCTTTTTTTGGCCTTCAGAAAAGTTCAGAAATTCTTTGTTTTATGGAGTTTTAATGCCTTTGAAAGAGCTCAAATAAACTTGAGCTGGAAATATGAGTTTGAATGTTTTTCTCTACTTTCTGCTCCTAATTAAGTTAAAAGGTAGTATGGCTAAGTGTTACCAGTTTTTCTAAAAATGCTAAAAGTCTGATTATCATTTATAACAGAATTTCTCAATGTATGTTTTATGCAAGAGTCTTGTGATCATTTATAGGTTGTGTGTGCATATTATCAAATGTAGTTCAGCATGTTGTACATTTAGTGAGTAATAAAACAAATTAAAATAATAAAAGTATGACTTTGTACAGAGATGTTGAATATTATGAATTGTGACATTTCAAGCCTAACTCTTAATAATGTACACAAAATAAAAAAGCAATGGTTAAAAAGACAGTAAAAGAGTATAATTGAAAAATTACCTAATGTGCAATGAAGCAGGAATAAAGCATAGAATGTAAAGAGATGTGGAAACATGTAAGTGGAAGGGAATCAAATTTTTGAGATAAGATAAGTTTACTAGATAAGATAATGCAATGTAAAAATATTATGGCTACATTATCAAAGATATGAAAATTGTTTGTCAAGTCCATTAGGAATAAGATGTTGGGTAGTTGTTTTATGCATGTCTGCCTTTTTGCTCAGGTTATTCACCTTAAACCTGCTAAGCCATAAGAAAAAGAAAAAGAAGTTACTGAGGTCTCTAAAGGAACACCCTCCACTTATTAATGCTTAAGTTTTTTCCAGCATGGCAGCTCTCATCCAAGTATCTTAGTAATTTTCCACAAACAAAAAGTTAGTCTTTCCCTTACTGTGATTTACAGGCAATTCACACGAAAGGATTTTCAGTGCTTTCTTTTCCTTTAATGCATATCTCAAATGATTTCCCCTGAATGGTACTTTTGAAAATTTTCATACAAACCCCTGTATGCTAACTTTATTCCCTCACTTGGTTTGGTTGGTTAAACAAATTCCAGACCCTCATGCTCACTTATTCCATCCCTGCAGATAAGAGAGGCAACAGATAAGAGAGTAAACCAATATTTGATAATATGCACATAAATCTCTATCGCTACTTCTAGAACCAGGCAATAGAAGCTGAAACTGCTGCTAAGGAAAGAATTGCAAGTAGAAAAGCTGTAAGGCAAAAGAATTTGGCTGCTTATGGTAGGTTTTGGTTCCTGAAGTTTATGCTTTTCAAGGATCTATTTTCATTAGTTCAATTCTCATTTTAGAGCTTTCCGTGTCTAATAGTGATTCATAAAATGAATTAATATAAAGTGAAACCTAATGATCATGATACAAATAAACATAAGATGCTGCTTACAACAATATTTTGATCATAGATCAAAGGATAATACAAAATAGGTTTTGTTAGTTTGTTTAACAATCTTTTTATAAAAAAGCTCTTTTTATGTCAGTTGATTAAGGAGAGACTGCTGAATAATGTGCCCTTTGTTAGTCTCAGGGTAGAGCTAAGAGGACAGTAGACTATGTTATCAATTCAATAACATTTGCTCCTAAAGATCTGTCGAAGAATTGAAAGAAATTATTTGGAATGTGGTAGCTAGATCAATTGCATTTTTGCATTATAAGAAAATGATGTTTGGTTGCAATTTGATACATTTCTATCATGTTTTAGTACGGTTTCCAGCCACTTTTCCTGCACCTGTCTTGTAGGGTTTTTAGCAAGGGTTTGATAGGTTTTTAAAAAACACAAATTGACCTTATTTTGGCAAGAGTGGGAAATAATTTACCACCCCAGTATCCCAATGATGGTTTTGCTATTGACCTTATGTTGCTGCTCTGCTCACCAATATCAACATTTTATTTGCAACTTGTGTCTTTGTTTTTGCAATGCTGATTTTTCTTGCAGAGCTTCGCCCAGATGAGTCATTCTTCAAGAAACTTGACTCTTCAATGAAAAAGAATACTTCATTTGTAAAGAAACTTGTATGCATCAAGGCATTATTTTTTAATTTTTTGAACTGCTAATTAAACAGCATTAAATACAAGTTGAATTCTTCAGTTTCTTTTTGTAAAGGAATCCCACATATATTATTGCAAAAGTAGCAAGAAGATTGCTATATTCATAGAACTTTATACTCTTTCTTTCAGGATAACAATATTTCAAAGGCTTGAAAATATCAAATCCAATGATATGCTATAATGCTTCTGCTTGCTTTCTTTGATGTGCTTTTTACCCTGCCATCATAGGTTAAAGATCTTTTTGCTTCAATATTCCTGATGCATTCAGTCCACCACCTATTTCCAGTTTACCTCTGTTTTTTCAATGTATAGCTTCACTGTTTTTTACTTTTATAGGACAATCACATTTTTGTCTCCTTGTATTTCCATGTAATGTATCTGTGTATCTCTGCATTTTATCTTCTGTTATTTATCCTTTTTCTTCTGTCTTAGGAAAACTCAATATTTCTTTTGCCAAATAATTTTCATATTTTTTCAGCTCTAACATCAATTTATTTCCTTTTTTAGAAAAGCATCACAGAGCAGCAGCGTGACACACTGGAAAACGAATTCAAAGGTTTAAACTTAACCAAATATATTCAGGAGGCGGTAAGTTTCCCTGACATAGTATCGATTATTTGTGAACAATTATTTGATGGTGGAGATTTAAAAACCAAATATTTCTAGATGTGCTAATGCATTTCGTCTGATACTCCACAGGGTATAAAACGTCAGAAAATCTCCACAGAGTATAAAACGTGATTTGTATGTCTCGAATTTTTGTGGGATGAAATGAAGGCTTTATCATGTCTCAAATTGTTTTCTTTTTATCAAGGCCATGATAACAGTTAAAATTTAATTAATTTCCCCTTCACAGAGTATTTCATGGAAATAATAGACTATATCCGCCTACTTCAATCCAATTTTAAAAAAGCCTCACGTCCTCTATTATATGATATTCATTGGTAAAGGAGAATTGCGTATCTTTTGAAACCCTATCAAATTATACAGAGACACTTCTAAGCAAAAATCTTTCCACCTATAAATTTTCGAGGTTTTTCAAGTATTATGATGCAAAGCAAACAAAAATATCAAGGTTTCTCTCGGTTGAATTGTAAATCTTTTATAATTTTCATTTACATATTGTAATAATTATGGGTTGTTTGTTTTGTAATTTACTCGAATCATGATACATTACAAGTAAATTACGAATCAGGACTCTGCTCCTAAATTAACTCTACTTATGTTGATAATCGAACGAAGTGACCTTAGCAAGGGCCTGACCCAGTGTTCAGTCCTGTTTGGGCTTAGTTCACGGAACATTTGCGGTCCAGTTTGTTGGCTAGGTGTATTGATTTCATGAAAGACGATCATGGCCGTAGCGGAGGCCAAGCGTTTAGGGTGGTTTAGCTTAGATCTTGTCAGAATATTGTTGCCTAATTGAGATGAAAATCTCGAATGGACATGAAATTCGACAAATTTTTCCTGACTGGGGAGTTACATCCCCCAGCCCCTAGGTCTTTTGCGCCAATGAAGTTGATAATAAAATTGCCCCAAATGCTCTTCTTTATGAAAATCCCTTATGGTCTTCCTTTACAAAAGATCACTTAAGTTGTGAAACAAATTAGAATTGGGCGTTTTATGCTAAGAATGGTTGACATCTCAAGCTTTGGGTGTGAGTTTTTGGAGGTACTTGTTGTTTTTTGTCACAAAGTATTAATTTAGAGTTTAAGGTTTATTGTTGAGGTATCTAAACGGAGCTGGTGTTTTTCCATCTTAGGTAAACTCCATAGTGGATGCCAAGATCAAGGTAAGATCTTTCATTGCTAATTGCTAATGACGCATGCAAAAGAGTATTTGAGTAGCAGTCTTCAGAATGAACATATTTTGACTACGGTGTCTCCTTAAATTAACTGAAGCACCCAACGCCTGAATCATATTTTACATTTTTTTTCCCGAATAATGTCAATTCCACTTTTCCCTGCTGTCAATCGAAATTCTCATAATTTTGCAAACACCAGAAAATCACTAGAAGAAAAATGTGTTTCATGCGTCAGTTATCATTTGCTTGTAAACAAACAATGTTTCAAAGGGACAGTGTGTTGGTTCATTGTGGTATTGGAAATTGACATTAGTAGTCTGAGGCTCTTACCATTTATTTTTCAAGTTTAACAGCATATCATAAGTTACCACAAAAGAAATTATCAATTTTGCCTTTACATTACGTATCAATTTTGCAAATTTGGTTGAATTAATAACTGATAGTGATAAATTGCTCAAGCTGCTCTGTCATTTTATTTCACCCATTTCCATAAATTTAGTAAAATAAAACAATTTATAAAGATTGAAGGCGTCATTAAAACACCGAGGTTCTTCCACTAGGTCGTCTTTCTCCCTGGCACTGCCTATATATAGTTAAGAACAGATTTTATTTCTTTATTTCATAATCAACAGCTTCTCTTTCTCCGCCAATTTCTCCACAGGTCGCTGACGTCGGCTGTGTCGCTCATTTGTGTAGCCTGTTCCATCAACGATATAATGAATTTACTCCACTGTTGAAAAGGCTGGTCGACAAATCTTTTGAAAACATTAGCTGCAAGGACGAGGAAAAGGTTAGATATTTTCCTCATTTTTCCTTGTTGTGTGGCAATAATACAAAACTGATAGCCTTTGATCTCCATTAAACTGTAGTAATATGAGTCCTCCGGATTGTTAATAGCAATTTGTGACAGCCTCAACGTAATAGGTCCAATCCCTCTTTATAATTCTAAAATGGTTTCTTGGAAAGCAGTGACTTCAATTAGCCCTTAATTCCAAGAAGCCAATAAGTCTCGACCCCAAGGAAATATTATTCCCAAATTATCCTTGACTCCAAGTAAAATCTGACTCCAATTAACCCTTGACTTCAAGTGAAACCTAACCCTTCCTGAACCTTGACCTTAAGTTAACCTCCACCCAACATTTACATGGCCTATTCATCAGTCTACCTGATAATTTCAGCTTAATCATTAGTGTGAATTTTTTCCTCAAGATAACCTTTGAGGCAACCTTTGCTCGTTATTTTTTTCTTGGTTTTGCAAGGCAAGCTTAGTTTGTCGTCGTAAACTTAAATCTTTAATCTTTTTAATCGAAGGGCGCCAATGTCCCTAGACTGCGCACGTCACTGCGGTTGCTGGCTGAACTTATTCTTGATGGTGTTTTTGCAAATATAGACGAAGGTGTTCAGTTACTTCAAAGTATTTTTGCAACTATCGTCAATAGTGACAAGGTATGTACAAGAAAGCTGAAAGGCTAAAAATTAAGAAAGTGATGAAAATCATACCAGTCAAGGGAAGGATAGAGAAACAACGAGAATGACACTACGTCCTTTCAAGTTCCGAGACACAAATTCAATTCATATTGGATTCTTTCATTTTATTCTAGCTGAAATTATGATAATCTTATTTCTGAACCTTCGTCTTGTCTTCCGTGGCACTGGTTTCCTTTATACATTATAAGCAGTAAATATTATTTTTGGAAATTTTTGCTAGATTCTTTGAAATCTTTGTCCTTGATAAAAACTAGACAAAATATTGTTTGGTATGAAGTCTTGAACTTTCCCAGCCTTATTCGTATTACATGTTTCACGTGAAGAGATGAAACTGCTTGATGCAGACTTACTCAAGACTCGCTAGCTTTGTAAAATAATTACTTGTATAATATATCTTATCATCGTTGTTGTACGCAACCAGAATCTTCTTTCTGGGTTGTAAATATTCACAGAAGTGCTACGGTAAGCAAAGAAAGGTTTGCGATCATATGTGCTGAGATCATACTTTTTGATCATGTTACAAGTCCCCCCCCCTCCTGTACTGCGTTCGTCTGAGTAGAACCTTTGCATTGCAGACAGAACATGTATATGCACCGGTTATTCTGACTTTCCTAAGACATTGTGGTGAAGATGTGATGGGTATTTTGCCAAGAAAACAAAGGTAACTATTGCATTGGTAACTTGAGAAGAACGCTGATGATACTTCCTATGTATTTTTTGTAAGATTTAAAATCATGCTGTGTTTTTATTACTTTTGTTCCGCTTCTGGCTATCAATGTTATGCCTACCGTTGGTCACTATCCGATACTCATACCCAGAGAAGTACCAGGCGAAAAGTGCTGTATGTGCTATCTTCATATTGCCATGTGAATTTGCCCGAACATCATTTTTGTGTTTTAATGACACATTGTAAGGCGTGCAAATAGCCTGATTTTACAATATTCAAGGTTAAAGGCATCGAGTCCTTGTAAATAGGCATCACCCGCAAACAGCCATTTTTAATGTGATTACTCGTATCACGTGATTTTACAAATCCATTACTTGCAACTAAGTATAGACGTTGCCTCCTTTCAATATCAGAACGAGGTAACTTCATGTAATCAGAATGAAGTCCACTAATGACGTGACTCAGCGTGTCTGGGTATACCCTTTCCTTTTATGGTTACTCAATGCCTTTATAGATGAAAGCTTGTATAATCAGAAGAAGGTAATTGTTAAAGTGGCTGAAATAATTACCTTTAAGAAATTTTAGTCACCATGCATCGCATTTACTTCATAGAAATATTTTAAGCATATCTAGTATTAAAGAGAGATGTTTTGTTGCTAAAAGATATTTGCAGAATTAATAAATTTACAAAGCTGCTCTCTATGCTAGCCTGCCTGTTTGACTATTAACTCAGGAGTGGTGTTGAATTGAAAATGTTAATGTCTGGATTTTTACATCTTTAATTTATGATGTTTTTTTTTCAAAGAACAATAAAACTACTCCTTTCCTCAATGAAAATATAATCAAAGCACCTAAAAAAATCAAGCACCAATAAAAAAAATCAAGCACCTACCGATTCTTGAAAAGGAAAATTTATTGCTAACTTTCAGTTAATTAACCCTTATCCAATAACCCATTTCCATTAAAATGGTAGAATTATGTTCTCTTTTATATTTAAGGATGTGGGCAGAAAAGTTTGATATTCAGTTTCCTGAATGTGATGTAAGTGTTGTCTCTTTTGTAAGCATTGTCGTTTAGGGAGAGGCGAAGCAGAGGCTGCCTCTCCAGTAATACTGCAATCAAGTATTTATTGCTTTGGGATAAGGGGCTCTACAGCTCTCCCCAGAATTTATAGCAACATATCTGTGACTTATTTTTGTTTTATTGCACTCCTAAGCCCTGGCCTGCCCGAGAAGGCATGTGGGCAGATTGTCCTAGGCCCTAGGTTGAGAAGGGGCCCTGAAAGGCAATAACAAAGCTCCTAACAACAACAATAACAATCACAGTTTGATGACGTCATTATGGGTCCTGTGTTTCTTTTCGCTTCAGGCCCCAGAAAAGTTCTGGACGGGCTCTGCTTACACCTAAATATCAATTTGACTTTTTAATCTAAAATTTCGTCTATCATTTGCTATTATTGTATTGAAATTTCCCTACAAGAATATTGTAGTGTTGTAGAATAACGATCGAAATCAAAGCCGCTTTGACGTAATGCTATTCGCTACTAGTTGGTTTTAATTAGCTTGACTTTAGCTAGAGATAGTACCAACTTTAGATAAAGAAAGAAAAAAGATACTTTGAAACTTAATTTCATCATAATACAGTGTGTGTTAGGTACTATAGCTTGAGCATTGCATGGAAAATTTAAAATTAGACTGAACCTTAAAAGATTCTCTTTATAATTTTGCGTATTTTGCAGCCTCATCAGCAATATTTTCATTTGTTATTTTTTTACTCTCTGCTTATAACACAGGCAGACAGAGTAGTTTATCATATTATGATCACATTAAGCGTGAAACTCTAAGTTTAGAACCGTCCTGTTCTACTCACTTAAACGTGTATATCTCTGCCTATGAAAAATTTATGACAATTCAGTATCACAGTTACTCTCGTCAATTCGATATGGTGCATTTCTATTTTTGCAGATTATTCCCGAAAGTAAGAAAATATTATTCAAAGAAATGTTCAAGGATTATTATGACTCGATGGCAAAGCATTTGACAAAGGAACACAAAGCTTTACAGAACAGAGAACGACAGAATCGACAAACTATTGGGGTACAGTTGCATAAAACTTTCAATTTTAGCATCTTATATAACAAACAAATTACGGAGCACTTAACGGTCCTTGAGAGTCTAGTACTGAATTATAGAAGCGTCGATGCCTTCCACTGTAGACAGTATCGAGGTACAATGTTCATTGATAGTGTATACTGTGGTACATTTGGTACAATGTGATACATCTTACTTTTGTACACTATCGAACTACGATGTATCACATTCAAAAGAAAGCAAAGTTGTGCTGCGGAGTGTCTAAAAAATGTGAATAATTCTATTATCCAAGTGCTTAGCTTTTTTATCTATATATATCAGGTGTTTTATCACTAGCTCGTTAACCATAACATCATGTTTACTTTTGGGGGTGTACAGTAACACCCCGTTTATACGAGCCAAGTTTCTAAGACCCTTTAGGCCTAAAAGCGATATTTTAGACCACTTTAATAAAAATTTGTTTACCCTTTTCGAGAATGCGTTCAGTTTCTATTTTCATATATCAGTAGTGCAATGCAATTAAACATAAATCGGGAAAATGCGAAAACAAGGCTTAAAGTTCCAAAATGTTTAAAAAAATACATTATTAAAGTGCAAGTAGAAAGCATTGATCTTGATAAGAACTTTAACTTTGAAAAATGTGGGTCCGTAATATGCGGTGTCCTATACACCGTCTAATTTCTTTTACGAAATGTTGGGCAAAAATTATTCACGTCATTGCTCTTTCAGCTCAAAGGGGAGTTGCCTGCTGACAGAAAGGAGGCATTTGAAAAGGCACAAAAGTCATACGAAAAGTTGCTTACAAATACCACATCGGTTGCGGTACTGATTAAATGTCATTCCACTTTACATCCACTTAACTGAAATTCTCAAAGACTTTGGTTTCTACTGAATAATCCATCATTGCAAGACATGAGAAATCCAACAATTGCCTACCATTAGTTTTTGATTGGACTTTTTTCGTTACCTTTCTAGTGATATTTGCTATAAACACGCCTTAGAACTAATAACTGGAAGGGTAATATGTTTCTTTAGCCAAACTGGATATTTAGATTCCTGTTTGTGACATTAAACAAATATGCCACACTAGAGGATGGTAGAAATTCCCTTATAAGATATCCTTGTAAGAGATTATCATGTTTTGGGGATTAAATCTTCTGCACAGCGCAAAGTTATTAATTTCAGTATAAAATCTGGATCCATCGTTGTGTAGCCTTCCAGACATAATTGCTAGTTTTATATCATTTATGTCTGTTACGAAATGTAATCTGAATATCACCAAGTCACTTGGGTGGCCAATATCGTATTGAAATTATAAATGATTATACTTCTTTATTTTATTCTTTTTTCAGGAAATGCTCAACGAAGAGGTTCCGGATCTCCCTGAAGATCGTAAGCATAATTCAGCAACTATCCCTTATTGTGGCTTGATATTGCAAATCAATTATATCCGTTTTTTATAGTTGGCGAAGAGCTTTTTGACCTAAATACTTTTTTTGCAAAAAACCTAAATTTTGCTAAGCATCAATATTCGTAAAAAATTTGTCATTCTGAACCTTGAATTGCTCTATAATATCATTCTTAAGCGACAGAACATGTAAGTTTGGTAAAAATCGAGAAAGATAGTTCCAATTTTGCTGTTATCTTTTTTCAACATTAAACAATCTAGGAGTTGAAACATACCAGCACAATAAAAATTTAATGATTGTCCTTCAAACTTACTGTTTGAATGTCACGCTTATATTTTTTCTAAAAAAACACAGAAGCCAAAACTGTCGATGAAATCTGAGCCTGGCTATTATTCTTAATTACTTCTTACTTTTCACTAATTTGATGTCTTGATAAATTCATTTTTATAGAAAGAAAAATGTGTATTTTTGAAACTTTGATTTAACTTCAGATAAGCATCTATGTCTTTTCTTTTTTCTATTTCATCTTTACCCCTCTACCCCTACCCTACTTCTAGAGTTAAAAAACGTAAACATTGTATATTGACTATTTATTCTAGATGCTTGATAAGCTCTATTTTTAATATGTTTTTTTTCAAAATTTCTCTAATACGCAAGAGGCAATATGAGAATCTAAAATTGATATTTGGTGCTTTACACTACTCAAACTTTTTCGCAAAAAAACATCACATGCTGCACTCATGCAGGTTTTATCATTAATCAAACATAAACGCTTGTTTTAATAAAAATTAATTTTTTTAGAGCTTGAAGAAAAAGATGAAACAGGCACTGTGAATATATTCACCCCTGTCAGGGGCAACGAGGTTTGCTTTACTCCTGTAGAGTTTATTGTTTAGTTAGAGAAAAGGGTGTATCCCCTTTTTTCTAACCATTGTCTCTTTAAGATTGCAAAAATGTGGAGCAAACCCTATTTTGTAGTACACACTTAACACCAACACAAACGTGACAGAGCACCTTCGTGGAAAATATTTAGGGTCATGCACTTTAAATTAGCTTGAAATACATTTCAGAATGTTTTTTGCAGTCGTTTACCACATTTTACAACTTTTTGGGCATACTTTTTTGCGTTTCGTTGAAATTCAGTTCTTAAATCGGACTTCCTGGCTTGAAGAGGCCCTGGGGCAGTTTGCCCCATTTTGTCTCCCTCTCGGCGGCCCTGTTCATATTCCACGCATTTCTTTTTAAAGGGGCCTGTTTGTATATGTTGACCTCCTCTAATTCTGAACTGTGAAATTGAGTCTACATGTAAGTGAGGAGTTTTCTCACTCAAGGATTTTATTCATATTAAATTTTTTCCGGGGTTTTACAAACTCACTTTTAAGGGGCTCACCGGGAAATTTCCCGGTGTCCCGCCTAGCCACAATTCCCCTGCAAGAGGTCACTTAGAAAGAGAACCTTTACGTAATTTTCGAGAATCATACTTTTATTTATCTCTTCCTAGTATGACGTTGAAAACGGGCTTTGGGAAGATGAAGACACCCGAACATTCTACGAGAACCTGAAAGACCTGAAATCGTTTGTCCCGCAGGTGAGCTATCATGGATCTGTTTGCATTTTTGTCCAAGTTTATATTTTATACCTATACCCGTTTGAAATTCGATATTTCTATGTTTAAAAGACAAATATTTCTTTAGAGATATGAAATTCAACTAACAATGGAGGTAACGATAGAGTATAGTAAGATAAACGTTTTTGACACGATATTTGGCTTTCTTTCCCTAAAAGCAAAACTGTAATGGAATCGGATTGAATTAGCCATCATTCAATGCACAAGAATGTGGTGATTCCAAACATATCAAATTATTCGCAAATATTGTTAAATGATATTTTCCAATCAAATATTTTGCTTAAAAGTGTGTAGCACCTTCAAAAGATTGTACCCTTTCGTTTGAGGCAGAAAAATTTGACTTATATCAAAAGGAAGTGCATCTTTAGCTATCAAAGTTTAATTTGGATTTTTTTTCGTATTCCTGCTCCCTTTGAAACCATACCTTAATCTTTCTACCCTCTAATAGATGTATTTGGCTATAAGAGACACACCAGAGCAAATACAAAAATTTTGAGACACACTTCTTTCCCGACGTCTGTCCTGGCTGTGTGCAATTTTTTGGGTCTTTTGGTTTGTTTCGAAATTCCATTTTCAAAACTTCTGTTAGTTTCAAGCATTGTATCATTGTGTGCCTTGAAGCGCCGGCTTATAGAGTGTGAACAATTTAGAAAAATAGATGTTTTCGTCCAGAAAACGTTTACCGTAACCTCAATCAGCAGTTTTGCTGTTAAGATTCGAAAATGCATGTTAACATTTAAAGTGCCAAAACTTTCTCGGCAGCTTCTCAGCTTCAACAATGAAAATTTTTTTGGAGAAACTAATATCAACACACCTTCATTGTGAAACTACTCAACGTATATTTTGGTATTTATTAGTTGGTTTTCAATCTTTATTTGATTTTAGTTTCTAAAATAATGCTTCTCGTTTTAAAGATACTATTTAAAGAAAAGGAAACGAAGCCAAGCAAGGACAACAGAAAAGACCCAAAGAAGAAACGAAAATTAAGAAATGATCGTGAGTTTTATCCATTACGCTCAATTTGCATATTTCATTTACTCTATTGTACTTACCTTATTCACGCTCAATCTTTCTTAACTTTGTATATATATATATATACAAACAAAACATAATTAAACTACGAAAACAACATATATTATGTCATTAACTATGCCATTCACCGAGGGAAAAGACACGCTGTCATCAAGTTCCCAATATCAACTGCATTCACATTTCTTTAACACCTTACAGCTAAACAGATCCAGAATAAAAAAACTAAAACAATAGCAAGAAAAATCAGAAGGGCAGTTGCTGCATCGGTGTTTTAATTGAATTGAATTAACGATGCAACGTAGTTATCTGAACCGCTTCTTCTTTTAAATAAACGAAATTGAAGCTTCAAACATCATTCTGCTCGTCAAGATATTTAGATCAGCTTTTTCCTATAAGAGAAATTACACAAAGCATCTGAATTCATGTCTGTAATATCCAATTCTTGGACTTCTGCAAGCTGACGTAAGAGATTCATTCATTCGATTCATTCGTTAGACAAAATTGTGGGTAGTGCAGAAGAAAGTGTTGATTATCTTCGTCATCACGTTTATAAGTTAACTGAGATATGCAAATATTACCGCTGGTGGACTCTGATATTTTTGGTATACGGAATTTGAAGCCGTTTTTATCAAAGATAGGGGTCACGTATCTCATTTATGTGCTGTTGACTGAGAAATGACTTAAAATGTGTTTGCCAGGATATCTGGTAACATGATACCATGATAGATTTCTAAAATGATGACGTCCCAAAAATCTTTTTTTAGAATGTCTAATTTTGGATCACATTACCTGGAAGAGCATAATGAAATATCTCTAAATGTACGAAATCAGCTAAATTTGTTCATAACTTCACGAACGAAGCCAAGATAACAGAGATCCGCTGGCAAAATGAACATCTTTCATTGGCCATGTCTCACCCAGTTATGAACATATTTGACTGATTTTCCGTAACCAGCGGTGTTTCATAGTGCCCTTTGAAATCATGTGATCAAAAGTAAAATATACAAAAATGTATTTTGATGACGTCACACTTCAAAACTCTAAAGCTGTATGATGTAGGAGGACCTTAATTTATCTTGTCACCCTAACACAATTGTAGTCACGCATGTTTTCACAAAATTCCTCGTAGTCATCTACGAAAATCTCTAAAAGATTTCTACAGTAAATGCCTAAATGTCTGTCCAAACATTTCGACCCCTGGTCGAAGGTAATCGATGGTTCATTTACCATGCCAGCGAGCCGGCCTGAGTAGCTGAAGTTGACTATAGCATCCGAATGTTTAGATATCTCGCGTTATGATACACTTAAACTTGTCTCTCCTTCAACTTCACTTCCCTTTTGTTTTACTAACTTTTTTGTTTTATTGATTTCCTTTCCTTTTTTCTTTCTTTAATACTTATCATTTGTTGCATTACAAAGTTGTTCTATTAAAGAATAGTTTTCGTTTTCAAAAGCTGTTCAATTTAATGCATTATCTCTTTAATAGCGTTAAACGAATTTCATTATGAAGTCAGGCAAGATTTTTACAGAAGCCAAAAATATCAGCTAATCCCTTTTTTGGAAACTGGGGACCGATCCCTGATAAATCCTACTAGGATATCAGAGCTTCCTAAGGTTTCCTAAGAACCAAAGATGTTTGCTCACTCAAACCTGCTCACCCAAAAGACCATACACAAGAGAAATTAGCTGCATTTGGTACCAGTTCTGCTCCGAAAATTGGGCACTCAAAGGCACCTATCTCTGTACTTGAATCTAATTTATACTTTGTTGATTGTAGTGTGTAGTGTGATAAAATAACATTTATTTTATCACATTTAAAATAACATTAGGTAACTTCACCCATTTATTGAGTTTAAAAAGCCATAATTGCAATTACACTTTTCCTTTTATAATTTATTCTTTAAAAAAAACTAGATTATGAGCGTGTAAGTGTGTTTGGTTTTTTAAACTCAATATAGGTGTACAGTTGCCTAAAAATAATCTGTCTTAAACACACGCGATATCAAATCATTACCTCAAAACACCAGTAGCCGAAAACAATTACATTTGATAGCTCAAAATAAGACGTTCATGTTACATTTTTGCGTCATTTAAAATTCCCTCCTTTAAGAGCTGGAGTTTTGTCCATGGGCCTCCAAGAGACTACTTTAGTGGCTTTTATTACTAAAAACCCAATATGAAATGTCGATGCTCTTACCTTGTACCTACCGTGTCGTACTCATTCATAACTGATCTGATTCTAAATGTAACACGACCTAAATATAGCTAAACGATCATTTAAACTAAACTAGCACTATTACCAGAGATGTTGGAAGGATTTTAAAGTTGGAGGTGCGCAGGGTGGAAGGGGCACAAAAAGAGGGCCAATTTCAAAGAGAGTACTTCTTAGAAAATAACATTTTCCAACTGTTGTGGGGAACGTGCCCCTGGTGCACTCTTGGCACCTATATCCCTGACTATTACAAGACAGGCCCTTAGGTTACTAGGTGAGTTTTCAAAGTTGAGACGGGGGTAAGCATTAATAAATTCCTTCTCTGTATGATTGTGTCGAGCAATCAATATAAAAGCTTGATTAAATGAAATTTAATCACGTTTAATATGTGACAGGGTACGCCTTTTAGGTGCCCCTTGGGCTTTTGTTTTTGGGCACAGATTGCACAATTGTTGAGTTTGTGTTTATTGTAGCAGTGCTCGAGTAAGCTTTACATTGTGTTTTTTATACGGCTAAAGCAACCAGCGTGCAAGTGTGCATTGGCTTTGGGTATATAAACTTTGTCTTAGCACAGTTTCATTCTCACACGTTGCACGACAACTTGAAGTTGGACTTTGGAGAGGAAAGGTTTTTCCTTTGCGACCCTGCCCACCCAACCCTTGTCTAGAAATTTTCAGGGGATTTTATTTACATGCACGTTGACTTTCTACTTATTTTCGTGCATTAGTTAATGGCCGTATGGCTTGCGACTTTTTGCATGAACAAGGTGCTGCTAGTCGGCGGAAAAAGGCCATTGTTCTTCTTCTCAACCCCCTCAAAAACGGTTGGGGTTTTATTTATGGTCGTCTTTGCAATTGGCGCACCGACAGCCCAAAACTAGATGGTTCAAATGATGAGAGAACACCACCTTCAGTCTTATGATTGACAATGGTAAAACATTCTGAGGACCATCCTACCCTTATTTGCTAATGGTTTTTGTTTAGTAACCTGGAACAAATATTAACGCTGTTTTTCCAGAAAAAGGGAACGGAATTTCAACTTAATGTTCTTGTAAATAATTTGGATAATACTTCTGTTAAGAATTACGTTCTATTTTCTGTTATATTTGACAAGATATCGCTGTTTTTCGAATCTTCATTGGCCCTAGACGCACCGAACAAGATTTCAGAAAGAGCTTCTGACACACTGAAAGGCATTGAGTCATTATAAAATGGATTGGGTATGCCGTGAGTGCCAAAATCCGCCGATGCATGATTTTCATGACTGCGATGCTATTGGTTGACCTGGAACTGGGCACATGAACGCACCTCGTACTGATTAACAAATAAGCTTCCACCAAGTGCAAGTTGTCAACAACGAATGCAATATCACATGAAACAGCAGCGATCACGCCGAAACAAAATGGCCCCCTAAAGAGAAGGCCTATTTACCATGACTCAATGCCTTTAATCTCTATTGTTCATAGAGAAAAGGGTTTAAGCTTATTAGTAAACAAATGCTGATTTTCCAGTGCAGCCACCCCATCCAAATTGCCACTGAACCAAATTCACTAATCCCTCACTCAAAGGTCCCGTCGTCTTGCCCCAGAGCATTTTTCTGGTGCCACACAAAACCAAAATCGTTCTTTGTTTTAAACCCCATTAAATTAGCCTAACAGGAAACAACCACTTCACACACGAACTGCAGCGCGCGCGAATTTCCAAACGCGGATTATATTTGTCAAACTTGAAAAAGGATCTCGATTTTCCATTTTGACAAAGATAATGAGTTTTATGTCAGAAATTGGTGCGTCTAGGGCCAATGAGTTTTATGTCAGAAAACAGTGCGTCTAGGGTAGCCTTAGCCTGCGTGCAGACTCAAAATTTCCTACGTGAAATAGTCGAGTCTGCACGCAGGCTAGTCTAGGGCCATGGTACTTGGAAACCAGAAGCGGATTCTGGTCCCTGAAAACACGAAAGCCGCGGAAGTGAGAGGAACGTCGTACTGCTAACTATGCATGATGTCATCATGCGCACTAAAAAGACGGGGCACTACACTGAAGTAAACAAAGCACCACTCTCAGCCTTCGTAAAGCAAGTGTACCTGTCCAGAAGTGTAGCAACGTTGAAAATGAGGATTAAAATGAAGGGGAAACGACTAATTCTTATAATAGGCCTGTTTGTCTGCTTGACGACACTAGTTTTTTATGGAGGAACCTTTTACGGAAACAAGAAGCGATTGCATTCCACAGTGACAAGCGAACGGAAAACAAACGGACTTAAAAATGTCTCGCAGGTTGCTGATGAAGTTGCTCGCATTTCAAAGAAGCAAACCTCGAATGACTACCCTCACAAGGATACTAAAGTCATCCTTCTTTACTCCACATTTTTCTTTCAAAGACATTGGTCTTGGATGGTTGGAAAGCAAATGCGCGAGCACTTTAGTTTCTGTGATCGGTACAAAGATTGCCTTGTGACATATGACATGAGCTGGATAAATGATGCACATGCACTTTTGTTTCATGGAAGGGACTTAGAAATGGATTATAAAAGACAATACCAACCTGAACAGTTAAGACAAGTTCAAAACAAAATTTCAAAGAAAGATCAAAAATGGATATACCTAAGTCACGAGAACCCAAAGAATGATCCATTAATGTATGGCAAATATAATGGAATTTTTCACTGGCTTGCAACCTTTGATCGGAACTCCAACATCTTTATCCCTTACTCAAATTACATTGCAAAGAAGAACCCCCATAAAGTGACTCGAA